TTTCTGGCCATTTCCCTGACCTTCACGCCTCCCGGCGGTTGCCCTATATGGTAACGGCAACTGCCTTCGCGCTGCGTTTGCTAAGCAATATCGCAAGCGCGCAGAGCGCGCGCGCCGGCTTCGTGGGCCGGCGCGCGCTCTGCGCGCGCGCGCGCACGCATTTGGTTACCAGACTACATTAGGCACATAGATTTGTCATGCATGGGCTCCATGTGCGCTAGTGTTTGTATTGCTGTTCATGCCATACAAACGAGGGGAGGGAGAGTTCTGCACTGTCATATTTGGTCGTCGCGAAACACTGGACGGGCGAGTCGGAAGCCTGATTTTTCGGTTTGAACATAGAACAAGACGAGTCGAGGGATTAATTAGCGATGCTGGCTACGGTATTGGTATAATCTTGCATAAACAACATTCATGAAGCCGATCATAATTAACAGCTGTAGTTACACCGCCATGTGATCACCACCTCCAGTATAGTACCTTCCCATATCCCATGGACATGCAGCTGTTGCAGGCCTCAGCCGCGCCCTTGAGAAACGGCCCGAACTGCGACGACATCGAGTAGGTACTAGCACGCAAGGACGTGGTATGAAAGTGCACAACCCTCCCTCCCCCTCATTTGTCATGCAAAACCCGAAATCCAGTCGCTGCCGACGTGTGGCACTGTTTGCATGACAAATTCCGGAAGCCCAATCAGTACTACAACAGCAATAGGGACATAAGTTTGTCCTGCTTAGGCCCCAAGTGTGCTGGTGTTTGTATTGCTGCTCATGCAATACAAATAAGGGGGAGTGGGAGTTGTGCACTGTCATACGTGGCTTCAGTACCGGCCAGCGCGTCACTCGACTCTTCCGCAGAAGTTTTGCTGGCTTTGCTCCCACCCTCCTCTCCCAAAGAGGCGGATCTCTTGGTGACAAATTTGTTCGGAATGCTTGATGTGGTCGAAGATGTTGTTTTGCTTCTTGCTACAGATCCGGTGTTAGTGTTGTTCCTGTTCGCTTTCTTATTTTTCCCGATCCTGTTGTTCCTCGAAGTTGTACTACTAGCAGCTCCGAGAAACTTCGAGTCCGGCCCCGAGAAAATGTCGTTGTCCAACCGGTCAAAAATGCTGCGGTCCTCAAAAGGCGACTTCAGGGCAAGGGCTGGCTCCGGAAAAGTAGAAAATAAATCGTTCCCGAAAATATTGTCAGTGTCGAACATTTTCGGCGCCGGGGCGAACAGATCGTCGGCCGAGGAAAACAGCGAGCTGCCGTGCGACGGCAGGGTCAGGAGGTCTCCGCTGTCATGTTGAATGTAAAGTTCGTTACATTGCAAGTTCTTTTCGAAAATTTTACGAACCCAAATCTGCACTTCTGCCTCCAGTTGCACTTCTTGCTGTTGCTCCATCACAGACAGGTATTTTTACAGAAGCTGATGAAACACATCAAGCAGCACAAAGAAAATCAATCAGATACAATAAATCCCCCTGCTGTGCCGAATCCCGGTCGTCCAGCTGCCTTGCCGCGTTGAAAAGTGTTGATTTTCCTTCATGTTGGCCGCTTCTATTCTCCTTGCTGGTGGTCTTCATCGCTTTCCTGTCCAGCGCAGCTGATGTCCCCGCGTCACTATTCGCTCCGTCCCCAATCGTCCCCGAACCCTGCTCCTCCGTCCCACCCAGGTCTCGCAAGTCTTCAAATCCCCCACAACTACTCGCGTCCGCCTTGCATTGGCATAAATTCTCGGATTTGATTCGCTCCGAAAACCCCGCGGACTGCAACACGTTCTTGCTACTGCCGCGAGCAAAGGCGACGGTGGAAGTTGATGCAGGTGCAGCTCCAGTAGTGGTGGATGATGAAGATGATTTTATTTGTCCGTCACCTCCTTCAGCTGCCGAGCTTGCGGCGCCGCTGCTCTCGGAGGCATTTTCAGCAGCTGTGGAAGCGGAGGTGGCTGTGGGGGATTTTTGCGCCATGCAGATTACGTCCCCGTCCTGGCCGGCCATCTTCTGCTGACACGCCGCGCCTGAGGTTAGTTTTTTGCGTATAGATAAAATTCGCTTCATCGGGTCGTGTGAGTAGAGGTGAATCAACTAAAATTATACGGCTAGGTACTTCTAGCCCCATGATGATGTTGCGTCAGGAAATGTTAATATACTGACTGCATCATGCCAGTACAGAACTACTCGCATCTTCAACAGTAACGATTTACATGCCGCTTTCTCGCTTTGGAAGGGTCCGAAGGAGAAGTCGACCGATCGGGAAACCACCGCTTTTCCATCAGGCCCGACTTCGGAGGACGAGGAGCTAGAACTTTCCGACGTCTCGAAGGTGCTGGAACTCCAATCCGGCGGAACTAGCTGCAAGCTGTCCAGCAATCGCCTCTGCAACTTCCGCGCGGAGACTGCGGAGTTGGGTGGTGTTGTGTGCGTTACGAGGAGGGAGGGCGCTACCAGAGTAGTTGCAACTACGCGGAGGGCCGCGGAGGGGAGGAAGGTCGCTGGAGAGCCTCGGCAAGGCATTTTTGAATGTTGGGCTGACATGCTTGTCGCGTCACTTGTTCTCCGGTAGCAATGTGACAAGGTAAATACTTCTTGTTCCACCTTTTAATGTCATGCTGGTGTCGCTCTCTTTTTAGTATTAGTCTGTCTGTTTGCTTCGAAGGCGGCGGCGCGGCCGATCCTCTCTCGACCACCTGCAACACGTCCTTCACCCACTGATTACTACCTAGTGCCCCAGACCTGCTGTGGGCACCAGATAAGCAGAACACGACGGCCAAATACTTCCTGGAGACGACCCGAAAGGGGCGGGCAGATGCCTCAAAAACTAACTGATGCCAGACCTGGCTGCGACAGCGCTAACGGCCGCGAGCCTTCCTGCCAAGAAAGCCGCGGCGCTGGCTTCGCGCGCGGATGGATGCACACTCACAGCAGGCAGGCACAACGGCAGGGCGGGCCAGCGGCTGGTGGCGCTTGCACCAACGCAGCCGGGCGCGCCGCTGGGGAGCGAGAAATAAGCCGACTGGCCCGGCCGCCAGGGAGGCCCATGCCCGGCAAAGCCGTCGCAATTTCGCAGCCACGCCGGCTAGCCGTGGCTCTCACATGCCAAAAGCCCCAAACGCCTGAACAAAGGGCCCGGCCTCCCGTGAAACACGGCGCACGCACGCAGCCGGCCCGCCCGGCGGGCGCGCCGTTTTGCGCCGGCTGGTGGCGCGGGCTGCCCGCCGCGCCGAAGAAGCCCCCTCGGGGCGACCGGGGTACATATTAAGTGCGAAACCATGCGCCCCCCTTCCCGGCCGATCTTTGCAGATGGTAGATCTACCCTGCCGGCCCCCCCAAAGTCGCCAACCAGCCGGGCGCCCCCGCTACCCTGCCGGCCCCCCGCCTCCGCCACCCTGCCGGGGGGGGCGGGGGCAGAGTGCCCCCGGCCGCCAGGATTCAAATAAATGGCCGCGCCACACTGTGGTCGCGGGCCAATTGCAGGCCGTCCGTCCCTTTGCCGCGGCGGCATTTGCTACCGTCGCGCGCGGCGGCATCGCGCGCATCTGCACCCAAGCAAGCGCGTCGGGCGGGGCCACGGGGTCGGGGCCTCTTGCGCGGGCCAACCTGCGCGGGCTCGGGGCACCGCTCGCAGGTGCATCCGGCTCCGTGCCGCGCATCCATGCCCATGAAGCCGGTAGGGGGCGCGCAGCCAGCACGCGCGGGCCAACCTGCGCGGCCGTCTTGCGCGCCCATCCTTCCCGCAAACCCCCGGGCGCTTTTTCGGCCAATCCGAACGCGCGAAACTCGCGCGGCCTCGGCCCCTTCTAAAGGACTGCCCCGGCTTTCATTCGCTGCGATCTGGATGGCAACGCGGGACAGGGTTTCGCCTGGGTTGTACTTATATACGCAGCGCGCGCGACTTCTCCAAACTCCTCCTTGCGAACAGACACTGCAAGGACACGACACACGAAGCGACGCCGCTTGAGTCTCAACCTCGAGGACGAGTGCACATGATTAAGGCGAACACACGAAGATGCTCATCCTCCTGCTCATTCGTTCGATCGGAGCCTTCGATATCAACATGCTTGCTGGCATTCGGAGATGACGAGTACTATTTTTTTGTTTTTTGGTTTCTCCATCTTCGTTTTTCTTTTTGTCGTCACACTGTGACAGTCCTTCTCTTCCTCAAAAGTACAAAAAGTCAGAAAATGCTTCAGATTAGATCTTCTCATCATCACTTCATCGCTCCCCACCTCCAATCCGCAGCCTCTAATACCCGTAGAATTCTGCGTTCTTTCTTGGATACTGCTGCACAAGTAGTGCCACGCTGGTTTCTCGATCGGTTTCACACGCGAAGCAACGGCTACCAGCGCCATCACTGCTACAACCGGGCAAAACTACGCACTCGCCAGCTTTTAAAGTAATCGCGTCTACTACTTCTGTTCCCCCGACGCCGTCGCCTCCCCCATCCCCCACCTGCGTCAGTCGGGTTTCGCCCTCAATTTGAAACACCAGCGTCTCCACGCCGTTCTTTGGTAAGTCAATCGTTGCCGGCAACCCGATTTTGATGTTGAATTCCTTGTCTGGATGATCGCTTTTATCGTGGGCCGCTGCGGAATCATCTTCAGCACTACGATTTGCTTCTGTCGAACCATCCTTATCTGTTGCGCCGCGTGGTACTATTCCGCCAAACAGCGGCAAGGACTCTCCCGCTTGCAATCTTTGTCGATTTTCCCTTAGAAAGTCGGCCAGAAGAAACGGCTTCGGGACTGAGAAAATTTTCTGATTCACGGGAAATTTCGGCTCCTGACTGCTGTCCGTGGCTTCTTTCATTTTCTTCCCTGTGTTTGCTGTTGCGGACGCGTGCGGGGCAGCTGTAGAAGTAGTATTATCGCTAAACCAGCTAAACACGTTTTGGAAGTCCGTGGCCCGCGGGTCGTTTTTCGCACACTCCTCGCTGGACAAAAAGGCCTGTATATCCTGCGAAAAAACGTGATCACCTACCCGGAGATGTCAGATTAGATGTCATGCAAACGCGCATGCTAGAGATGTTTCTCATGCGGCTGTCCAACATGAGAGGCATTTTCTCTATGGCTTTGTTTTGGGAATCTGTCATGCGCTAATCAGGATAAGAAAGATTGGATTGGTAAAATGCATCTGGACTAGCTAGCCAGCGGACTACGCAACTGCAGAGCCAAAGAACTTGTCATGCGTAACTCCCAAAAGTTATGATCAGGAGTTGTCTTGCAAAGTTCCCATCTTGATGAATCTGAGGTCGACGCGTGGGCGGCTCCGTTTTTACACAGGATACTTTACGACCGGTGCCAGGTCTTCCTTCAGGCTGCGGCAGTTAAAGAACCGCTCCCACAGAATTTCGTCGATTTTCAACGCCTCCAGGTTCTTCTCGTGCTTCAAAAAGTCAAACCCCACGAAGTACTATCAAATGCAAGGGTGTCTGGGTCTGGAAGAGTCATGCAGTTTTTGCATGACGCAGAAGGTCTGGTATGGAAGCTCCAGCATCACAGGTCTCGAGAAGCTTCCGCAATGCCGAATCCGCATGATAATAGTCCCCATTTCGGTGACAAAAAGTAGGCAGCTTTTGCTACCTATGCATGAGAGATTTTTCTGTGTTCTGAAATGCGCATCACAAAGTTTGTATTCTTCCAGACCCAGACATATTTGCAATCCATAAGTACCGGAGGCCGTCCACTTCGTCCTCGTATCGTTCCCTCTCAACCACCAGCCCGAGGGAGCCCTCTTCCGGCCGCTGCGGGCTGTGGGGGATGCAGGAGGGGAGCAGAAACACCTGCCCTTCGTTAATCTCCACGATCTCCAACTGCTTGTTCGGCAGTATGATTGGCAGCTTCATGTTGCCCTTCAACTGGTAAAAGAACTCACTGCCCCGGTCGAGGTGGAAGTCCCTGCGCTTGTTGGGCCCACCGACAAACATTACCGTCATCTGGTTCTTGTGCATCAGCCGATTGCAAATCGGAGGTGCGAACTCCGCTTCGTGCTTCTTGTACCAGTCAAACACGTTGACGGGCTCGAGCAAACACTCCGACTCGATCCCCATGGTCTCGGTCGGTGGTCGTCCGATGGTCTCTTTTCTTCCTAGAGTAGTACTGGAATCTACTCGCCGTGAAGACCACAAAGACTTTGAACGGTCGTGGGGGGTTCTCAGGGTTTCATCTCTTGCTCGTCGTCAGTACGATACTACTTGATCAAAGTTATACTGTGAGTGTGATGGATATAATCTTCCAAATCGCTGAGACCTGCAACTTGTGATCCTCGGGAAGACGGTAAAGAATGATCTCTTGCAGGAGTTCATCTTTTGGTACAAAGATTTTTCTGCTTAAAAAAATTATTCAAAAGCGAATTTGATCTCATACCAGAACCAGGTGATGTGCCCTTTTTGCATGAATACTTTAGCACTTTCTCGTCGGTGCATCAGACCACTCAACTCTACTGCTTCTCTCGGTCGAGAACATCATGACATGCATCCAATGATGGGGCCCCTGGTTAAATATGCAACGAACACTGCCTCATAGATAGGTGGTCTGAGAAAATTCTGCGAACACGGTAAGACAAGCAGGGACGCGATCACAAGTAGCTGCAACAGGATTGATGTGCAGGTACTACTCCAGGCGACCTATTATCAAGGGCCCTCCAATTCCGATTAATTTTTTCTACGCGCAGGTGGAATACTTCAATGTTTTTCTAATTTTGTACACGACGAGCAGAAGGACTGCTACAATTTTCTCTACACAACTACATGAGTGCACGACAATTTTTTCTCAAGTATCATACAGTCAGTTGAAGTTGCATACAGATGACTACCTGCCATCTTCGGCGTATTTTGTTTTTGACAAATCTAAACCTATCCCTCGGCCAGTTCATTGGGTTGTTGTTTTCTCCATGAAACTTTGGAATTATAACGAGCTTCGCTTTTGTGACGAGACTATATTCTTGTTATTTTGTCATGATGAAATTGATTTCAAAATAATCGACATCTTCTGTTGGGCGAGTTAGGCGCGAATAAATAAACTTTGCTTGTTTGTACATGTAGGACGAGATAATAAAAGTGGTACAACAACATCGGTGAAAGTGAAAGCGAAAGTGAAAGTGAAAGTGCAATGTCCGAGTCCGACCTGGGGATAAGGAGGACAAAGGGTTTAAGACAAGAACCTATGTGGAGCGGTAAGAAACAAGAGAGCTATGCCATCGGCTTTGTATCGTCGTGTCTCTGTCTTCCCGAATACCGAAGTAGTTCAACAGAAACACAACAACGAAAGGCAGGGCACGGAGTCTCAGGCTCTTCCTCTTCCCTGCTTAAGGTATGGGTAAAAAACCGAAAGCAGGGAATGTTCGCACCGACGAGCCGGCTAGGAAAACTCGGGCACTGCTAGGCAAGTAGGTGATCCATTTTCGCAGGCGGTTTCTCCCTCCGGCGGTTCCTACGTCGATTTTGGACCACTACAGTCCGATTTGGGAGTCAACAGGGTGCTGGGATCCAGACTTGAAGCATGCAGACGGTTTTCCAGTGAAGCGGCAACGGGGGGTGGGCCTCGCATGCAAGGTCATGACATGTCAAAAGTGAATAGATTCCAGAACTGACTGCCGTGAAAAATATCAGCAGCCACGCACTAACTCCGACCTGAAGCCCGTCAGCGCTACTCAACAGTCAAGGGCAACGGGCTGCATGGTTTCGCCCGTTCGCTTTGGTTGGACAAGGTTTGCTACAAGATGAAGAAAAGGGGCACACGATAGATCAAGACCGGGCAATGCAAAGACGAGATCGGACGCACGACATCCCCCCGAAGAAAGCAATAATCATTCCCACTCCTAGCTTTGTCGCCTGTTTTGAGCCGGGTGGCCCATGGGGGCATGCAAGAAAAAAAGGAAGGACGAACCGCGCCAAGGTCCTCTGAACAATGAAAAGGCTGACAAGATTGCTCGGGGATCCAAACAAAAAGGCAAACAATCCCACGCCTGGCGGGCGGACTCCTGACAAAAATACAGGAAAGACACTGACGAGTCTCTGTCTGCAGCCAAGGACGCCATGCAAGTAGTTCGGGGGGGTCGCAAGCTGTGCCAACATAACAAAACGGCACGGCAGTCAGGTCTGGCACTGGAAAACGACCAAGACAAAACCCACCATCACAAGATGGAAAGGAAACATGCAAAATACGGCCGGCCTGCGAATTACGATTAGCACCGTCGTCCATTGCTAATCGTAATTCGTGATCAAGCGGCGAATGAGGGTGGGGTAGAGCCACGGGGCTACCGGATGAGACCGGGGCTTCCGGGTGCAGGCACGGAGACACACCTGCGGGGCGACCGAACAGAACACAGCAAAATATAGGGGAAGGGGCTTCGCCGTTGGGTACTTCCTGAAGTGGGGAGGGGCTACAGGCTAGAAACGTTAAAAGTCAGGGGCTTGGGCGGCTAAGATGCTACAGATCTCTATTGGCTAACTATGTGCGTGTTGGCACGCGCGGCCCGTTCTATCTAACAAAAAAAGGAAGGAAAATGACCCAAGCACATACGCAGAGCAGGCGCGGGGGGGTGTACGACATCACTATGCTATTCCATTCGCGCGCACATAGAGGCCTGCGCCTGGCGCGCTGCATTCACCAAACGGGCGCAGCAGTGGCAAGGCGTCCGAAAGCTCGGACCAGAAGGAAAACGAAGCACGCGGCTACGGAAAGATGCAAACTGTGCCTGTGCCACGCAGACATGACCACGAGCCGCCCAGATGCATAACCCACTGCGTAAACCTGCAAGGACTCGACTTTTAGCTGTAAATTGCGGCCAGGGGTGTGCCGTTTGGGACAGTTAAGACGGGCCCCGCGCCTGCCCTTGTGGTTGTGTTCATGTTCGGTCCAGCGCAACGGGTGGGGGGGGGGATTGGTATGGGTAGGCGGGCAATGGTCCATCGTAATTCTTGGAAAAAAACATGACCGAGCAGCAGATGATACACAGAGGGCAGAAAGGGCCTCGCGAGGGTGCAGGTGGGATTCACGAAGTTGATCAAAGATCATCTCTGGCATCATCTAGAAGGACCGGGTCGCAGAAATTAAAACTCAAAAGCATGCCTTGTGGTGCACCTGTTGTTCAGTTTTGTCAGATACGCTTGTTTGTACATGTAGGACGCTTGTTTGTACATGTAGGACGAGATAATAAAAGTGGTACAAACATACGAAAAAAACAGTACTACACCCCTGTGCAAATTTGCCATGCAAAACCGGCATTCTTTCTGATGCTTGCATTGCCGTTCGAGATGCTATACAAATGAGGGGGAGGGGGAGCTGGGCACTGTTATACAAACGTGCCCGTCGACGGAAAATGTTTCTGTCCCGTGAGCGGTGCGCAGCTGGAAGTGGAAGAAGTGCAGAAGCCGGGTGGAACTGCAGCTCCTCCTGGGCAACATCGTCAACAATTGCTTCTGCAGAACAACATGAAGCAGGATCATGCTGTGGAGGTTTTGCACATGCGGAACAAATTTCTCTCTTCTTGGCCGAACTCCCACTCCCAAGCCACGCAAGATGAAGTAGCTGCCCAGGAGCAGCAGGCCGCTGCCAGCAACGGTGACGACGAAGGGGATGCAGCTCCACACGAAGACGAGATCCATGTGATGCCCGTTATGCTTTCCAACACGGCACTGAAGCAGTTTTCGGAGCTTTGGAACGACCAGAACGGTGGATCTTCCGTTTTCTCCCAAATGAATCCGGGGGATGATCAACAAGCAGGAGGACTGCAAGGAAAACCAGGATTCCCGGCCGCTTTTATGTGCAAGGACGCTAGAAATATTTCCACATCTGGTACGAAAACTTCTGGCACGGCACATGTTGAAGTCGACGTTCTGTGCGAGTACCCGGTGCTCGCAGTGGTGAAAGACGCGCACACGGGCGAAAACACCTTACGGATTGCAAATCTGTCTGGGTCGGGAAACTTGTGATGCTGGTTGAACGATCATGCGGACACGCGCATGACAGATTTTTTACTTGCTAGGTGTTGCCCATTCTGCATGCCAAACTGTGTTTCTGCATGACATAAAAATGGGGCGTTTATTAGGTAACGTGCATGACACATTTGAGAGGCATGCTGGTCGAGCATGACAAACCTTGCGCTCTTCCAGATCCAGACATATTTGCAATGCATACACCTCTGTCTCCTACAACTTCGAGCCGGCGTACTATGTGGACGAGACGGCGGGTACATACATACACATCGGTCTTCGAACCTTCAAAAAGGTTTACAAACATACGTCGTCAGGGTGGGGTATTAAATAGCGACTGTTCTCTACCTCTGAGACCAGGAGGAGTTTTTGAATATATTTGCGCAAGAAGACTACATTGCTCCTTCCTAATCATGCCCTTTGCTCACCTTCAACATTTCTTCTTCGCTAGTAGGTACCTCCCTTCTGTTTCATTTCCTCCTCGTTTTTGTGGATTTTTTATTGCGAGGAAAAATCTCCCCCCCCCATATCAACCCGGGACACTTCTGAAAATTTGTGATGCTGTTTTGTGACGTCTCTGTATTGCAAGAAGGCAAATCGAAAAACCCCGCCGCGTTCTGCAGGGACTTTGTAACGCTGTATGGCCTACAGAGGACGCGACTGCCTTGCTAGGCGCCTACACCGAAACGCGCTTACTCAGGCTCTCTATCTGCCTGCAGTCCTCTACTGCAAGACAAAACCGATTTGTGTACACAAATTCCGCATCACAGATTTCCATGTCGATATAATGGGGTGGGGGGATGTTTCCTTTTGATATTTTCCTGCGCTCCCGTTCCACCTCCAGCAGCCGGTTGAGGTCTAAACTTTGCGCCTCCAAGAGCTCATCCACCGACTTCGCAGCCGTTTCCGTTTTCGTCTCTGTATCGATTGCAAACACGGCAGCATAGAATTGTCCGTAAATTTTAGATAAACCGGCGAAGTAGATGGTGCCCCAAGCCCTCCAAGTCCTATCTCTCATAAACTTTTTCTATTCGTACTCTTCATGGTACCTTTTTCATGTGGCCGGCAATGTAACATCGTGCGTACAGAAAAATATCGCGCACGCAACTTTTGCAAGACTACTTTTTTTGCAAGAACACTGATTTGAAACTGCCAGTCTTCGCATTCGATACATTACGGTAGAAAGCAGCGATTTCAGCTTTTCCTGCTGTCGCTGTTTTGCGGCGGCCTTCCGCTCCTCGAGGGTTTCTTGCTTCAAACCACTTTGTATCAGAATGAAACAACCCCCCTCCCCATATCAAAACGAAGTTTGTGATGCTGGATTTGCGTACACACACAAATCAAATTTGTCTTGCTGGCGAGGAATGCAGGCCCATGCTAAGCCTGACGCGCCAGGTTTTGGCCTAGGCGCTTAGCATGGCAGACGTCTATGCTGTAGGTGCAACAGCATGACAAAGCACCTGTAGAATGCGGCGGAGCCTGTGGAGTTGCCTTCATGCAAGACAGAGGCGATTTGTGGTCACAAATCAGCAACGCAAATTTTCGAAAACGTGCCTTGGCAATATGGGGAGGGGGGATTTTTCCTTTTGATACTTTGCTCCACGACCCCTGCGGCGGCGGGGTCTGTGTCTCTGGATTCTGTGTCCACCTGCGGGTGGAGATCATCGGCCTGGTCTCGCCCTGACCCTCCGGCTGATGTCGCAGACGAGGACTTTCTGCCGCGCGTATCAAATGCAAATATGTCTGGGTCTGAATGAAATTTGTGATGCTAAGTGGCGAGTGTTGAGCATGACACTCCTGAATGCAGACGGGCATGAAAAATTCTGAGGACGCTTCCTCATGCGTAGTGCGCAGAGCATACTGTGCTTTTGCCTGACATCAAGACAGAGCTCGTTTTGTTTGTTGATGGTCATGCAATACAGAAACAGATTTTACATCAATCCGAATCTTCCAAGACACGCAAGTATAGAGCTTCCTCTTTTCGAGACTCAGACATACTCGCAATTCATAGCGCGTGGCTTTGTCTTGTTCCACCGTGCCCTTCTCTAGCAGCACGTCGCTGATGGTGTGAACTGCAAAAGTATCGCACTCGGATAAAAAAATGCATTACAAATTTTCTCAGCATGAGAGATAAAATTTGCTATGCTGATTTACCTTCAGAACAAGATTTGTATATGCATGATCGCGATACGAGTACGATACTTTTGCACAGGATAGATGGTATCTTGCACGGATTTCCGTCGCTTCTCCGTTGTCTCCCGGGTGGCTTTCGCGGAAGCGGCAAGCCTATCAAGTGCAAAAATAACTGGGTCTGGAAACTTGTAATGCTAAAAGTGGATGATAGCTGGACTGCAATACGCAGCCAAGCATGACAAATTTTTAAGCTGCTATGTGTTGTGTATTCCGCATGAGAAACTGCGTTTTTGCATGACAGATAGGAGAGCCTTTTCGTGCCCATGCATCAGAGATTCTAGCGTCATGTCAGACAGGCATGACAAATGCAAGAATCTTCCAGACCCAGACACTTTTGAATTTGATAAAGCCCCTGCAGCAGCACCGCCCGCTTCACGGCGTGCCGAAAGAGCTGACCTAAAAAGTTTTAGATTTTCATCTTCTGTGAAGACCCTGCAGTAGCATAGCTATTGCTTGTTTCTGTTCCTGTTCCTCAATCTCAACTAGTAGTATCTCCCTGGGATCACGTGCTTACTGTCCTCCAGTTCGCTAAATTAATATGATCGTCGTCATAATAGTGCAGCAACTCAAGAAGTCTATACATCGAGATCGCTAGTTGATATCCGTATCAACGATGATAAAAGTAAAACAGCAAGTAACCCGTGAAACATTTTCATCAAATTGTCCGTTTTCGTAAAATAGTTCAACTTCAAACTACCTTGTGTGATTTTTTTTTCCTCGCAGTAGTGCTCCAGCTTCAGGTTCTTCCGAAGTCGCACGAACTCCTTGCGGGTCATGGGATTCAGGTGCTCACAAAACTCGTATGGATTGCAAATATGTCTGGGTCTGGAAACTTGTAATGCTGAAAGTGAATGGTAGACGCACTGCAATATTACGCAGCTACGCATGACAAATTTTTTGACTCCTATGTCTTACGTATTTCGCATGCCATGGCAAGCTGCGTTTTTGCATGACAGGCAAGAGGGCATTTTCGTGCCTATGCAACACAGATTCGCGAGTCATGCCAGACAAGCATCACAAACTTGCATTCTTCCAGACCCAGACATTTTTGCATTTGATAACTCGTGAAAGTACACCATGAAAAACTCCATTTGCTCGTCGTTTTCGGCCAAAAAATTCCACTCCTGGATCCGCGTTTCGTTTGGTGGAGGTGGGTATGCAGATTTACGACAAGTACTGCCTCGTGGTCTGGGCCTAGCGCATTAACGACAGTGGAACGGCCGCATGTACAACTAAAACGGCTTCTTTCATCGCACTAATTTTCCTACAAAGTTCATTCGTCGTCTGCCAGGTTTCGCTGCGAGTGAAAGCGACAGTGCGTTGTGTCTCAATTGTCCAATAAGTTATGCAATTATAAATTCAGCATAACAAGTTTCAAAGCCGCCGCCGCCAGACGAGGACGCTTTGTTTTCCAGTGGATAGTTGGTAGTTGTCATCCACGTCGCCATGGTTTTGGTACACGAAAACCGATATCAAATGCAAATATGTCTGGGTCTGGATTTGTGACGCAGGACTTCAAGGACAACAAGATCTGTAATGCATAAATACCATTGGCCAGGTTTTTTGTCGTGCTGGAAGATGGCAGTGTGTAATGCTAAACACGAATGAATCCGCAAGGAGCCGAGGGAAATTTCTCATGCTGTTATGCCGTACAAGCAGCAAGTTTGCAATGCAAGTATCAGCAACACAAGTTGCCAGACCCAGACATTTTTGCATTTGATAAGCGAGAAGGCCAGCCACGGATATCGACGAGGAAAAAGCGAAAGTCCTTGTTTGTACTACACGGAAAAAATGAGAATAGGCAAACGATGATCGCATTCTCCTGTAATGGGATCGAGCTGCCTAGAAGTACGGCCTGCTAGTCAAGAGTCTATGCTCTGATCCATGATACAACTTCTATTCATTCTCGCAACACAAGTATGGCACACTCGCTTTTTTCTCCGGGATAGGGGAGTGGTCGATTTGGGGCGTTCGCGGTAGAGACTGGAGAGAATGAGAAGAGGAAGATTTATAGAAACAGTTTCGTCCTCCTATTCTTTTCTCTTCGACGTTTCAGCAAAGTAATATGGACATCATCAAAACAGCCAAGCATCTTCCGAAAAGCAAAATTTTTCTTTTTCTCACTACACTGCGCTCTTCTCCTTCTTCTTCTTCATCTTCATGTTGAAAAAAATAAAAGTGGAAACAAACATTTATCAAATTCAGTTACGTGGCTTCCTTGCCCCAGCGCAGCGAAAGGACGTCATCCAGGTAGAGTTGCGGGACCAACTTTCGCTCCTGCGTGTCGTTCTGGTCCGCGAACAAAACAGAGTTGTCCGGACCAAACTGAATCAACCGGCGCTCGAGTAGAAGATTGTACTTGTTCTTGAGCCGCACTTTCACGTGCACGCCTTCCAGTCGCGCGCGCTTTTGTAGGTTCCGCAGGTCCATTTTGTGCTGCATCCGCTCGATGACGTACTCCTGGGTTCGCTGTTGCAACGCCAGCCGTTTCCCCTCCAGCTCCGTGAGCTCTTGCCGGTACAAGGCTCGCTCGGCGTCAATGTACTGCAGAAACTGCAACGGCTCTTTCGCGTTCAGGTAGTCTTTCAGCTCGTTTTTCATCTTGCTGCTCAGCTCGGGATATGAATTGCAAAGATCCCTGGATGTCTCGAAACTTGTGATGCAAGGAAGGGAATAGTGAGCACACTTTAAAAATGCGCTCCACAGCATGACAAGTTTTTCCGTGCTTCAGAGTTGATGCGTACTCCGCAAGAGAAGCTGTGTTTTTGCATGACAGACAAGAGGACCTCTTCGCGGGCACGCAATACGGAGTTCAGCGGTCACGCAATACGGAGTTCTAGCATGACAAATCTCGCAATCTCCCAGACATCCAGGGATATTTGCACTTGATACGGGAAGCACTTTCAGCACCACCTTCGCTTCCTCAATCACCTCGCTGACCTTTTCGGTCGTGAGCAAGCGGAGCTCCTGCAGCTTAATGCGCTCGTCCATGTTTGCGTGCCGGTTTTCCAAGTGCGAGATAAATTGCAGATACTCTCGCGTTTCCTGTTCGTACGCGTCTTCTAGGTTTTTCAACAACACCAGCCACGGCACGACCAGATCGATGCCTTTCTGCAACTTTTCATCGTCGTTCAGGTTCTCTAAAAACTCCACACTGCCAGAATCGCGGACCTTGTATTGCAAGGAAAAATACCCCCTCCCCATACTGAAAAGGCATCCTTCGGAAAATTTGTGATGCAGATTTCTGGTCACAAATCATTTTTGTCTTGCAAGAAGGCAAGCGCTGAGGGATGAGCTGCATTATGGGTGCGATTTGTCATGCTAGTTGGCCGACAGGGTAGGCATTTCCCATGCTATACAGCTAGACCCGTGCGCTCCTAAACAGCCTAAGAATCTGGCCACAATTCCTTACAGCAAGACAGATCTCATTTGTGTACGCAAATCCAGCATCAGCAATTTCGTTTTGATATGGGGAGGGGGGATTTTTCCTTTTGATACCTTGAGCATTTTGTTTTTTTCCTCGTTCAGTTTCTGTTTCAGTATCAAATGCAAATATGTCTGGGTCTGGAAGGATGCAAACTTGTGATACTGCCTTTCGATTCTACATAAAATCTGTATTGCATAAAGAGCAAAAGAGCTCCAATTTTTGCTACGTGGAGAGGGCATTTCTCATGCGGTTTGAGCATCAGAAAGCCCTCGCAGAATCTGTGATGCTAGGGCATGCATCACCGACATCATGGGTCAACATGCAAAATCTGCATGACAAGCTCCTGCACATTCTTCATCTAGACCCAGACGTATTTGCAGTTGATATTCAGCCGACGGACCTCCATTTCCGTCTCCACCTTTTCCCGCTTCGTTTTCTCGACGTTTTTTTGTACGTATCCTGAGTAAAAACGTCCCCACCCCAGAGTCAAGATGGGGATTTTGCAACACAAACCTTGAAATTTTGGGAGCCACGCATGACAAATTGCAGGCTGTATTGTAATGCAGTTTAGCAAGGGAAGTCGCATTACAAATACATATGCTTATCCTGTTTACAGCATGACAAGTTCCAAAACGCGATCGGGAATGCCTATCATGGGGATGCGCATTACAAGTCTTCCTGTCTTAGCAAATCTGCATTACAACTCTGGTGTGGGGACGTTTTTACTCAGGATAGTACGGCCGCGTTCCGTATGCATTGCAAACACGTCTGGGTCGGGAAAGTCCTGTTGTGAATACTCGCGTCGCAGAGTTCTTGTTGCCCCTTGTAGGGATTTCATAACAGCATATAGAAATTCAAATTTTTTTTCGAAAATTTTTCTGATGCTGTAGTAGTTACTGCGGATTGATTCGCAAATCGTGTGAAATAAAACTGTCTTGTTCCTTGCAGTACGACACAAAATCAAAACCTTGCAGCACTCCTCTCCATGCATCACATAAGTACTACATCTTGTTCTTCAATGAAACCCGCATGACAAAAATCCACAGACCCAGATCGATATAATTTGCAATGCGTATTCCCGTCGAGCAGGTACATCAAATTGGTTTTCTCCCGCTCGATCTTCATTTCCATCGATTTCAGGAACTGTTTCTTCCGCGGCAAATCGCTGTGCTTCAGCTCTTCCCTTGCGAATTCGGCTTCCAGCGACAACTGGTTCAGTTGCTCGATTTTCTGCGCCGTCTGCTGCAGCTTTAGTTTCTGTGCGGAGATTTCGTTCTGATAGGCCCGCTATGCATTGCAAATATGTCTGGGTCTGGAAACTTGTAATGCTATGAGTGAATGATAGACGCACACGCACTGCAATACGCAGCTACGCATAACAAATTTTTTGGCTGCCATGTGTTCTTACGTATTCCGCATGATAAACTGCGTTAGTGCATGATAGGCAAGAGCAGGGCCTTTTCGTACCTATGCAACACAGATTCTCGAGTCATGCCAGACAAGCATGACAAACTTGCTTTTTTCCGGACCCAGACATATTTGCAATTCGTACCCGCGACTGCATGTGCAGCCACGCATTCGAGCCGCTGGACGAGGACGGCGCGTCGAGGGCGGTGGGAAATGATATCCCATGTAAAAACGTCCCCACACCAGAGTCAAGCTGGGGATCTCGCAACACAAATCGAGAAGTTTTGGGGGTCCAGCATGACAAGTTCGTCTCTGTATTGTAGTGCAGTTTAGCAAGCACAGCCGCAACACAAATCCATCTACTCATCCTGTCGACAGCATTACAAAGCGCAAAACGCGATTGGAAATGCCTCTCAAGTGGATGCGCATTACAAATCTTCCTGTAGCTGCAAATCTGCATGACAACTCTGGGGTGGGTACATTTTTGCTCAGGATAAATGAGTGTCGTGCTTCTTGTTGGTGCTGTGGTCCCGCGAAAAAAGTGTTACAGTTACACATTTCTTGTAGTGAATTCAGCAACACAAATTTCCCTGCATGAGAGAGAAAACTTGTAATGCAGAAATCCTACGGGAAAACACCTATGAAACGAGGCTCCGATGCATATCCGGCATGACAGAGCTTGTTTGTCTTGCTTGGCCTGCAATACAATGTGTAAGTGTAACACTTTTTTCTTGCGATAGCTGTGGTCCCGCAATTGATATTTCCCGCCCGCCGCTGCCTTCCGCGGTTTTGCTCGCCGTCTCGGGAAACGTTCCGTATGCATTGCAAAAGTACTAATTGGAGGTATGCATTACAAATTTTTTTCCTAAGGTAGATCCGCATTACAAATCTTATTTCTCATGCTGAGGAAATTTGTATTGCAATTTATACTCGTACGATGCTTTTGCACAGGATATTCCGGATGCGGCGTCGACGTTGTCCGCCGCGCCGGAGGTGACCACTTGCCCAGGCACGATCTTCAATATGAGACTGCACATCTCCCCCTCCCCCTCGTTTGTGATGCAAGATGCCAAGCTCTCAGTTATCCTTATCTCCCGAGTAAGCCCTGCTCACATGAGAAATTTTGGAACCTGAAAGAGTCCTACGCTCCATGAGTAGAAGATTTGACGATGTCATGCGGAAGATAGTAAGGTGTACCCTTCTGGCACTCAGTCTCTTGCTGCTCATGCCATATCAACGAGGGGGAGGGGAAATTGTGCTCTCTCATATTGTTCAAAAAAGGAGTAGTTGTTGTGCTACTGGATGAACTGCCGCTAGTCCCGCCGTCCCCGGATCCCAGCCCTGCGAGCTTTTCGGCCAACTTTCCGCGCTTCAAAATTTGTCCCCGCTCGTTTTCGAACACGATTCGTTGCGCCTTCTCGTAGCTCAGGTGGGACTGCTTTTCCGCCACTTCTTCTTTCAGATTCTCCACCTTCTCCACCAGTTGCTGTTTGAAGCTTCGCAGCCGTGACACCTGCTCCTGCAGTTCTTGCTTCTTCTGCTCCAACACAATTTTGGCGGACTCTTCCTTGTTCAAGATCGTGGTTTTGGCCCGGGTGATCTCGTAGTGGTATGCATCCAGCTGCGAAGGGTGGAAGGACGTGCTAACAAGCGACCGCCTCTGTGGGTGCTGCTGCTGGCTCATCATGCTGGTCTCTCCGCCACGCCCTGCGCCATACATCGTTTTGTTTCCGGGTGGTGCTAGCGGCAGCAGCTCGTCTGCAGTCGTTAAGTAGCCGGACTTCAATATCCCGCGGTGCGTCCCCAGTTGCAATTCGGCGTGGATCATGTTCTGCGAAGGCCGTACAGCCAGCGGCTTCCTAGTCTTCGCCGCGGTTTTAAAGGCGGCGGTTGTTTTCACAGCACCCCGTAACTTCGACCAATTGCTCACTGGCGAACTACCCGCATCGTATCGACTGCAAATATGTTCTGTGGGTCTGGAAAGTTGTTAAATCTTCACGTTGCCAGCACTAGATGAACGGAGAAGTGACAGCATTCTTCATACTTACGCAGCCTAGCATGACAAATAACTTTTCGAGCAGTTCTACTACTGTAGTGCGTAAGCGTATTCACGCGCCTCAGAAGGCGCTAAGATTCCGCGATAAGAAAATACAGAGCACAACGGGCCGCGTACATTGGAATCAATGCTAAGTAATGCGAGTGCTAAAGCAATGCTAGCTCAGCATCACAACAAGTCTTGTCATCTTCTAGACCACACCGTATTTGCAACGCATAAACCACTCACAGGTGGTCGGGAAGGGCCTGTCGTTCGCATTGGTTCGTTGTTCAACATCTTTGCTGACTCTGCCTCTTCCCCTACAACTGCCTCTGCCCCACTGTTTGCGCCGATGGGAGCCGAAGGAGCCGAAGCGGCCGTACTAGATCCTCCAGTAGTTGTGAGGTAGCTGGGCAGGAAACTGGTGAAGAATGCTGCTGTTGTCGACGACTGCCCCGGTGGCTCTGCTTCCGTCTTGATGTGCTCATCATCTGCGACAGCAGCGGTGGCAGGGGACGTGCTAGCGAATCCAAGTCCTACCCCGCCCGGCACGCTCCTTGGTATCGCGGTGGTGGACGAGGACGTCGCTGTGTTAGTATTATTGCTCATCTGCATGCTTGTACTTCTCGCGTCTTCCTCTTGTGCGGCCGTGCTGGTGGCAGCTCTCCCCTTGATCTCCGCCTCCACGATTGATTTTCGAACGGCTTCAGACCGTCTCCGTATCCACAGTAAATTTCCCGTACACGTTCACGTACAAATGAGGTCTCCGCATGACAAAACTTGGGTTCGATGCTAGTGTAGCATGACAAGTTTTGCGCTCCAAATTGGCGAAATTTGTGATGCATCTTGTACATGTACGGGAAATTTGTATTGCATACTCCGCGCGTACGGACTGCTGGGTTGGTTGTCGGCGCCGTGGCCCAGCTGCTTCAAGAGCACCTGGTGTATCCTGAGTAAAAACGTCCCCCCTGTCATGCAGATTTGCAATGACGGGAACATTTGTGATGCGCATCTCCATGATAGGCATAATTTCCAGTGGTGTTTTGGAAAAATTTGTAATGCTGTAAACAGGATCAGCAGATGATTTTGTAATGCGGATGTCCTTGCCAACCTGCACTACATTACGGACTGCAACTTGTCATGCGTGACTCCCAAAACTTCTAGGTTTGCGTTGCAATATCCCTATCTTGACTCTGGGGTGGGGACGGTCTTACGTAGAATATGGTGCTCCATTTCTTTCAGCACTTTGTCCTGGTCCTGCCTCTCTAGCCGATCCAGAATCATGCTTGCTTCCTCGTAGAGCTCCTCCTTGATCTGCAACAGGTGCTCAGTGGGGGTGCTGGAAATGAGCCGGATCTTCCGGTTCTTCGCTTCTTCTTGTTCCGCCGCCTCTTTTACTTCACGCGGATGGGCCGCCATTGAGGATGTTGATGTCCTTGTTGCTGCAGGAGCGCCGAGGACATGATCCGCCTGGGGTATGCTGGCTGTACTCACCCTGGTCGTCGTGGCACGACCTCCGCCAACAGCGACGCCAGTCGGGTACAGCTCCTTGACAGAACTCGAGTCGCGGAACTTCTTCATCTTCTCCTCTTGTTGCACAACGACCAGAGGCTGCGGGGCCGCACTTGCCATTTTAGTTTCTATGATTTCCTGGCACTTTACTCATCTTCTTTCATTTTATGCAACTTAATTCGATCCGATCACGATGAGCGACTGCAATTTCATTCAAAAAGCCCGGCAGGAGAAGGACACTAGATACTGCAGAACAAATAAACGAATAGAAGGCTCCTGCACCTACGACAAGAAACGATGGCGATTTTTGTCATCAGAGGACGAAATTCGATCGCGACCAGCATAGAAAGAGGAGCAAGCGTCGATAGAGCCTCTACTTTTCCAAGTCTTTCAATCGGACGAACAAGCGACTGCGCCAACAGGCGAGATACAGTTACAGGCGATGCGAATACTTCAATCCTTATCTCTGACCGACGTAGGCGTAGTACCTCTACACGATGCCTTTTTTCGAACAACGCAAAGGAAAAGGAGTTTCCTTGTCACATCAAGCGACGAGGATTAATTTCAAATCAAGCGGCAGAACAAACATGATGCCCGTGCGCGTCTTCCCAGCAGCACTGCAGTACCGACAAGGGCAAGTCGGGTCGGTTGTGGTTTCCCTGGAAAAAACTTTTTCTGACACTTAAGTATATTGCTTTTTCATTGCGTTTGCGGGTGGAGGTGACGAAGTCATCCAACCACTTCCCATAGTCATTTTTTCGTTGTCCTCTGTTCTATTCTTTCAAATACAGCACCTCCTACATATTTTTGCGCAGAAGTCTGTAGTATTTTTGCAAAAAAAAACGAAGCATCATGGAAAATTTGAGCAAGTAGCTGAAAACGGAATGACAATTTTTATCAGTTGTATCAAATACAAATGCCTTGTTTGCTGACATATGTTCTTGCCAAACGCGAAACATAATTCGTTTTCTCGTAGTTCTCCCTTCGACACTTAGCACCAGGTCGTGATTGTCACAAAGATGAAAGTGAGTCCGAGCTATTTGTGATATTATCGGAGCGATGCGTAGAAGCGGGAGTCAATGTCAAAGTCATGGCGCCGGCTAAAATTTGTTGTCCACATACAATGTTTCATTTACAATCAACTTCGACACCCAGAAAAACCAGCTAGCGCGCAGTCGAAGACTCGGCAGATGGCCCAAACGCATCTGACTCATCCGAATGCGCGTACCCGCTGGCACAGTTGGAACCAGAGCAGAAAGTAGGTATCCCAGAGAAACTAGTTCGAATAGTATGCTGTTCATACAATGCGAAAATAGGTTTGGCCTGCTGCCTCTGAATTTTTGCATGACCTACTCAGCGCGCCATGGGCTCGCCCACGAAGTTCATTCTTGCGCATTTGCATATGCATCACAATGATGTCCTTCGTTCATTTTTCCAAGGGATACGCCTTCCGTTCCACGACGGCAACGACCACCGGTTGCGGGTGGGTTCGGCTCTCGCACTCTTCTCTTCCTCTTTCGGTGGATTGCTTCCGGGCGAGGATTTCGCGACGATTTTTGGTTCCCCATTCGTATGAAGGGACAAATTTCCGTGGCCTCACGCATCCATAAGCATCCGGAAAAAAAAAAGCTCAAATTTGCAAAGCACGAGAAGGCGCGACTTTTCAGATCACAAACGACGAGCCCCGCACTTCAGGCTCGACCAAAAAAATTGGAAACCCCGGACGGAAAAGCCGCGATGTCGAAACTCAGAACCGACATCCTCGACGGCCCACGTCGGTTTCTTAGTTCGCCGCGGGTTCTCATATATCAATCGCGACTAAAGTGCTAAAGTTCGACTATTGTTTTTATCAGATAGTTCGTGCTTTGGATTATAGCTCGCTTGAGCAAGTGTGAGGCTTTGGCTGCATTTTGTCCCTTCATAGTCGTTCGTGCTGATCTCGTAGTAAAAGAACTTGTTCTTCCCCAACTTGCAGTCGAAGCCGTACGGTAAGTCCTCGCGGCACCGGGACGTTGCCGCGCAGGTGAATTGTGACCCGTCTCCCATACTCCAAAACGCGTTCCCCCAGCCTCTGCTCTCATAATCGCAGCACGGGTGTTTCATTTTTATGGATGGAAAACTGACAAGCGCTTCACTCTTATGTATAAAATACTAGCCAGCACGGTCAAGCCGCGCTAATCCTAATGTAAGTAAGTTACTTACTTACATTACGTCGCTACAACCAAGTCGGCGCAATAAGTACTTGAAATACTTACTGCGCCGACTTAGTTGTAACGAAGTCGCCGGATTTTTACCAGGGTGGAGGCGTGCTAAAAAAGAGGTCCCAACCTTGAAAGCTGAGAAACATCAGCAGCCCCAGCGGTCGCTCGGGTCGTATTTGCGCGGCCCGGCCGTTGAAAAGAGAAACACTCTACGCGGCAATCGACTGCACAGGCAGACGCTTCCTTTTCTGCGACATCTATTCGCTTCGGCATGACTGCGGCGCGGCCAGTGAGGATTGCTAGCCAGATGCCAATCGCGCCACGGAACGTGGCGACGGCGAGAAAGTGAGCATATAAGGAGCCAAACTTTTGCTCTCGCAGGTACCATCAACACACTGCGGCAACCCTCCTTGCCCGAGAAGAATACTAAGCCTCCGCACCAAGTCCACGCGGGTTGATCTAATACTAACTTACCGGTCGCCGCTTGCTGATGGCGCTTGCGCCGGCGAAATAGTGGGCCTGCATTCGGTTCACGCTGTGTGTGCCTGGCCGCTCTTTTTAAAATTTTTGGACGAGCGCCGTAGTGGATGAGTGTTCAGCATTTTGTGTGGTGCCGCGTATTCGCTATGTCTAGACGCACGAAAAACAATACTCGGCTCCCACTCTGGACTTGGAAGGGGCGCCGGGCTGCAGAAAAAGTCTGCTAAAGCGTGCCCTGCAAGCAAGGGCGCCGACCCGGCGCCCGTCGTGCTACGGGCGCCAACACTTTGGGAAAATCACGCACATAGCCAAGTTGCGTACGGTGCGCCTTGCCTTTGCGAGCCGAGCGCGCAAATAGGGCACGGCCTCGAGGAAGAGGCGGAGGGCGCTCCCCACTTTCCGCCGCTTTTCATGCCAACCGGGGTCGCGCCGCGGGCGAACGCAAAAGCTGCAAAATAAACCACACCACCCACCGACCACACCCTGGCGGGCTTTTTGCGTTGGCTGCTTTTCTAGCACGGCCGGCCCCACCGTGCTAGCGGGCGCGGCAAATACCGCAAAAAAAGCGACCGCCCGCGCGCCCATGCTTGCAGCAGCGGCCGCCCGCGCTCTCTCTTACTCTATAGAAAAGAAGCGCGCGCGCGTTTTCCAGTAGTATTTGACTTGCCCGTGTCGGTCTGAATGCTGCACCCGTCATCAAATTCGGCAACACTCCGAGGCGCTTGCTTGCTGGCCGAACTGCCGCCGCCTCCTGTGTCGATCCAGGCGTCGGTCCCGTCCATGCTAAAGATGTGAGCTGCACAACCCCCATCCTCGGCCAAAATGCGCTGCTCCTCGTCGTCGCATTCTGGGTCGCTAAAATCGTTGTCGCACTCGTGGTAGCCACCATAATTGTCGAAGTTCCACCAAGTCCAAGGGACGTCGCCCCAACGGCAGCACGGGTGCTCCCTGCTTCGCGACGCCCAACACCCGCACACACGCCCACACACCCGCGCGCCCCCCCAGTTGCCGAGGCCCCTCAACCCGAGCAAGGGCGCAAGCGCTGGCGGACGCCTGCTGCGCTCTGTCATGCAAATTAATACGCCCACGAACGACACCCGGCAGGCATTCGCGGGCCGCTAGCCGGCCCGCAAGCGAACCACTATGGCTGTGCGGCCGCAACCGCCCGCGAAGGCTGGCCAAGCGGCCTGCGACGGACCGCAAAGCCAGAAAAGAGACAGCCCTCCGTCCCAGAGGCCACCACGAAAAGACACAACCCTCCGTCCCAGAGCCGCCTGCGTCTGTCATTCGCGGCCGACGCGAAAAAAATGGCTGCAACGCACACTGGCTGCGCAGCGGTGGCGGCGGTGTCTTTGTTTGCCTGCGAGCGCACACCAGAAAAGCGGCCAGCTAGAAACCAGCGGGGCCGCCTCGGTTTGCCACACGCAAAGCAAACCAGGAGGGGCCGGCGCGATCAGAAGCAGCAAACCAAATAGAACAGGGCCGGCTGCTTCGCCCCCTCCTTTTATTTGCCTAGGCAGCCTAGGCAGAAAAGCACGGCCGCGGCCTGCGCCTGCAAGCGAAGTGTGGCGCGTTTGTATGTTTCCTACACACAAGGCGGAAGGGCGAGGCAGGCACGCCCGCGCCAGGCACAAGCGGCGGGCGCCGCTTGCTTCGGTCTGTCGTGCGCAGCGAGCGCAAAAAAATTAATCGCAGCAGGGGGGCGGCCACAGGCGCCTGGGCCTGCGTGGGCGCGTGGGAACGCAGACGAGGAAAGCTGCGCCAGACAAGCGAACACCGCCGCCCCTGTTCGCCATGCGGTGCGAAAACGCAAAAGCAAAAGCACTCACCAAAGACGCCCCACGCCACTTTCACCTAATGCGCAGCGCAGAACGAAAAACCGCAGCAAGCCGAGAGGCGGCCGCGTCCGCCTGCGCTGGCATGCGCTTACCAGAAAAAGCACTTACGCAACGGGAAGGGGCGCTCTGGTTCTCGCCCATGCGCGAGCCAGAAAAGAAAACCGCGAACCGAGAGCAACCAAAGCCGCCCGCCGCCTGCCATGCGGCGCGCAAAAATAAAAACGTATATAGGCGCAACACGCAAAGAGGTTGCGACCAACCGCGGCCGCTTCTAGTACTTTGCACGCGCAGACCAGGAAAACCGCGAACAGGAGAGCGCACAAGCCCTCTTTTTTTCGCTCACGCAAACCAGCCAGGACACTCGCAACGCGCGCAGGCTGGGAGGCAACAGGGCCGAACGCGTAAAACGCAGCGCAAAGGCTGCCGTGCGCAACGCAAAAAAAAAACAGGACGGGGGCAAGAGATGGCCCTGGCCTAAACCGTTTCTGTTTACATACTATACCCAGACCAGAAAAGCCGCGGGCCAACTACGAGCGGGCCCGCTCTTGTTTGCAATGCGCAAAGAAACCAGAAAGCCAAAGGCGCACGCCAGAAGGCCCCAAAACTGCTGCCGCGTGCCACGCGCATCGGAGAAAAAGCGGAACAAAATAGCAAGGGCGCGCGGCTCTGTTGTGCGAATGCCCAGACACGACAGGCGGGCCAGAAAGGCAAAAGCCACACGGGGACAAGAAACGACCGGGCCCGCTTCTGTTTGCCCTGCGCAGACCAGCCCGGGCGCAGGTTGGAAACACTCACCAAAAAGCGCTCCCGGCCGTCCTTCAGAAAAGCTGCAATCTGCAGGCGGCGGCGGTCGTTTCGGCTTGCAAGCATCGATCCATGAGCAGGCTGGCCAGAACGGCAAAAAGCCGCCGCGCTTTTGTTCGCCGTGCCTGCGCAAACTACAAAGGGCGCAGGCTGGAAGGAAACACCCATCCGCGGGCGCGCTCGGCTGTCCTGCGCAACGAAAAAAAACACAACTCCGGACCAATCGAGATCGCCTAAGCTCGCGCGCGCTGGCCAGAAAATAAACGCCAGCCGCGGACCAGGAAAGGCGGCCGCTGCCCCTGCCCAACAAACATGCACAAGCCTGCCAGGAAGCCCCCGAGGCCGGGCGGGCGCGCGCTGCCCGAGCGCGGGCGCCTGTTAATATGATAGCCGAAAAAACCCAGAAAATACGCAGCCATGGGTGGCGGGCGGCGCGGCGGCAGTGGCTCTGGCTGCCCCCGGGGGGTGGCCTGTCTGAGCCGCCAGCAAGGTCAGGCCACCCCCCCCCCTCTCGCCCGACGGGCTGCCTTTGGGGGGGTGGCCTAAGCTGCCCGCGCCGCTTCTCCCTTTGAGCCTTTGCTTTGGTTTGCATTTCCAGGCGCGGGCACGGCGGGGCCGCGGGCGCGACGTCCTTTTCGAAGAGGCTGCCAGGGCAAGCCCCGTCCCTCCGTCCGGCAAGTTGCACCAGGCCCCCAGAAGAATGTGCCTCCTGGGGGCGCGGCTGCGGAGCTCGTAGCCTGCCGCCTCGGGCCGGTCGGCGTCGCCGCAAGAACCTGTTGCGGGGTCCTGCCTTAGCAAGCCCCTTAGGGCGGCAGGCGCCTGAGGGAAGCGGCCGCCGCGAGGCCTACAGGAGCGCCGCGCCGATGCTGCTAGCATTTGCAATAATATTGCTCTGGCGCGTTTTCTTCCCGGAAGCGCTTGCGTGGCAAATCTGTTCCGGTTGATTCCATTGCGACGACCAGCCATCGCAATAAGTGCTGCGCTGTGGATTAATCCGCGGCCATCTGCAGCATTACGCCGGGCCAGGGGTGTCCAGATTGAAACGGTAAGGCCCCGGCTGACAACGAACAAAAACCGGGGCGGGCCAGGACGGGCGCGGGCGGAGCGGAAATTGGGCTCGGGCCCCTCAACCTGGCTAGCCGCCAAAAAAAAAAGCCGAAAACGATATGCGCGCGCGCCTGCGCGAGGGTGGCCAAAGGGCTGAAAAGCAGCACCCACGCCCCCCCCGCGCCGGCGCACAAGACAGCAAGGAGAGCGGGCCGCCGTCGAAGGGGGCGAGCACCCCGGAAGAGACGAGAAAAAGCTGGGCCGCCAAGGCTGCGCGCCCGCCCCCCTAGTGCTTGGGCGGCGCACGGGGCGGCCAAAATGCTGGAGAACGAGGGCGGGGCCTGAAAAAAAAAACGCCCGGAAGGCGAGGCGCCAAACACACGAACACCGAACACGCCCCCCCCCCGCCCGGGAAAGCTGCGGCCGGGGCCCCTTTTTCAGGTTACCGAAAACAAAAACCCCCGGGCCGGCAAAATAATTATAATTAAGAAAGCGGACCCAGGGCAACGAGCCCGCGGGCCTTGGCACTACTGCTTTTTTCTGGCGGCCCCATTCGCCGAAACCTGCCAGCTGCCAATGAATGCGCCTGCGCCGGTGGCGAGCCCAATCACGCAGGCACGGGCGGGCGCACGGCCGGGGGGGGCGTGGCCCTGACTACACGCCGCCCCCCTGCTGGACACCAACGCCGCGGCCCGCTGGCTAGGTGCGGCCCTTGCGCGGCTTCTTACTTTCTTTCATTCGTTTCATAGCAAGCGAGCGCGGGTAGAGACGGGCCGGGCGCGCGCGTCGCGCGTTTGCTTCTGTGCGGGTGCAATGCCTGCGGTTGGTCTTCGTGGCCAACTGCCGCGCATCCGTTCAAATTGTTCTCTTCCCCGTTTGCATTTGCAGGCGAGCTGGCCCCCTTCGTTTTTCGTTTCTTTCGTCGCGCGTTCCTATGACGAGGGCGAAGAACACACGCCCCCCGGGTATGCTTCTGCTTTTCCGGGCGTTAGTAAACTAACGACGGCGCGCCGCCCTTTTCCTCCTTCGTGAAATGATTGCGCCGAGGGCCCATGACTAGATCGCGAAGCGATTCACTGGAAGCAAGGAAGCATGGGCGCGGTGCGGCCATGAACATGCCTGCTCACCACAACGGCCGTCGGGGCGGGGGCCGTCGGGGGGCGCCAGCTCTTTCGCCTGGCCGCTCGGCGCTTGCGGCTTTCGCTTTTCGCGCGAGCGTGCCGCGCCCCGGCCCCCTTGCCGCGGTGCGCAACACAACCAGGGCAGCCAGGGGGGTTCAGTTCTGAGGGGCGCGAGGTAGGAGTGGCAAAAAGAGAAGACAACGGGCAAAAGGCACGCGCGCGCCGCTTTTAGATGCGCGGCACCCTTCACACCCATGCCACGGCCTAACCGGGACCAGCGGCAGGGCCGGAGCCTTGGGCGCCCAAAGTTAGTGGCCCCTCCCGTTCGACGCTGCCGCCCTAGCTAGACTGCCCCTGTACGGCCTTGCTTCCTTGTCTTCGTTCTCATTTATTACGGCCTGGGCCGGAACCCATCTGCGGTCGCGCTGATTGGAATGGCGTGGCCCGTTTTTTTCCCATGCTGCAACCACTTCGACGCCCGGCGCTCGCCGGTGCCGCCCTCTGGCCATGCTTCTGCTTGGCGCTGTGGCGGAGGGCTTTTTGAATGTGTGCCAAGCGCCTGTCCGGGTGCCGCGCAACGAACGTGACCGACGTAGCGCGGCCAAGCCTCCTGCCCGCGCTTCTAGTGACAGAGGACGCCCATTAAGTTTGGCGCGGGTTTTGCTTTTGCAGTTTGCATGGACTTTGGCATGCGAAGGAAATAAGAAACGGGCGGCATGCTACGCCCTTTGTTTGTTTCCGCAGGTGACGTGGCAAACCCTCGGCACCCGAGGAGCCCAGGTGCCTCCGCGAACTAGGGTGGGCCCGCCCCGCTCGGACAGTCGGCCCCAAAAGGGACCGCCCTTCTGGGCGACCAACCTGTCACAATCGGGCCGATGGCATGCCAGCTACCTAGGCCTAGCTCTCCACCTTTACTAAACTCGGCCGCTTTTGTTGCTTAGCTATCAAAAACACATCAGCGGGGCCAGCTTTTACGGCGCCCGAACGCGAAGCAATGCGCGGGCCAGCCCCTCTCTACATGCGGCCGCGCGCCTGTCTTTCGCGCGGCCCTTTTTAGGTTCCGCGGCATACATACCTAGCCAGTAGAGCTTGGCGCGCCTGCCTGAATGGCACGTCACAACCAGGGGCCGGCGGCGCCGCTTTTCGGTAGCGCGCCGATGAGATGCAACGCGCGCGCCCTGTTTGGGAAGAAATTCCGGACGATTTTGGCTCCTGGAGTATTTTGTCCAGTGGGTGGCAGCGGAAAGAAAAAGGCGCGCGGCCCGACGGCTAGACGGTGCCAGGCGCTTTGTTTCTTTTGTAGATGGCAAAACGGATAAGCTAAGGACGCCCTACGGGGGCGCCTGGGGCCTCACTACATACGGGGGCACCTGCATGCCTGGGCACAAGACCGACGGAAAGCGCGCAAGGCCGGGCCCAAATGATGGCAGCGCAACCCCTGAGATATCCGTGGCGCCGGCGGACCACCTGGGGTGCTGGCTGAAACTAAATAACCGCCACCGGCCTCATCGGCAAGGCCCCGCGCGGGCAGTGCCACTGGCGGCAGCGCCAAGAAGGGGCGCCGCTTTTGGGAGTATGCGCCCGGCGGCGCCACCTTCCGGGCCGCTGACTGGCAGGCGAGGCACCACCCGAAAGCGGCGCCGCACTGACTGGCGCCCGTGCGTCGCCCTGGCACCCAGGGCCGGTCGCGAGCGTCCACTGCAACCGGCCGCGGCGCCACCTGGGCTGGCAGCATTTTTGGCGCCCCTACTCTGGTGGAGGCGCGCGCGTGCCTGTCTTTTCGCCTGCGCGCCCACGCATGCATCTGCTATGGGAAACTCCGCCCGCCTGGCGGAGCGCGCGCGTGTGCTTGTAAGTAGGTTGTAGCGCAAACAAAGAGACACGCCACAGCAGTGCTCGGGCCGCCGCCCGTTCAGGAAAAACAAACACACCAAAGCACACGGGGGGACCATACATGCCGCGCGGCCCAGCCATATCCGCCGGCAGTCCGAAACATGCTAGGTTCCAACATGGCAACGGGAAGGGCTCTCTTCGCGCGCCCTCTTTCGTTTTCTTCTCTATGAATCCCGCGCCCGGCGACCGATATTGCTGCTTAACCATATGCGCGCGCGAGAGCCTAGCCTCCCTGCGTGCCGAACCGCGGGCCGCGACTCCACGGGAGGCACGCTTCGCATGCGGCATCCCCCCGCGGCCCGGAAGGGCCAGGGCCAACTACGCACCGAACGTCGCCCGCGGGCGGCGGCCCGCGCGCAGGCTCCTTGGATAAGCATTGGATGCGAAAGCCACCTACGTCGCAGCGGGGCGTCCATCCTATCTAGCCTGCAGCGACGGCGGCAGCTATTTCAAGGCCGCCGTGCCGTCGCGCACGCAAAAATTTAAGGCTGAGGAGCGGGCCCTGGTCTGTGCGGCCTTTGCGCATTTTCCCGAAACCCGCGACCACCGCTTGGCCGGGCCGCCACTGCTGGCCGCCTGGAGTGCAAGAGAACACAGGACTTGTTGGGCCCATCGATCCAGAAAACCTGAAAAGGTGGGGGCGCTGTGACATGTCCCAAGTCGCGCTCTTTTTGCGCCGACGGACCTTCGCGAGGGCATGGTGCGAGACCGGGCCCCCCCGGCCGCCCTTCCTTGGTGACCAGCTTCTTGGGCCGGCGAGGATTTTCTGCTTTTGCACCCTCTCGCACTTTTCCGATTTTCTGTAGTCAGTGGACCGCGGGCCGGCTCTGGACAGGGTCCGGCGCCTGCTTCCGCCCGCGCTGTGGCGCTACTTTTTTCCGCCCTTTCCAAAGCCTGTTTGCGTGCGCAACCTGCAGGCGGCCCTGGGCCGCCGGAGGAAGCCAGGCGCCTGCCTCCGCGCGCCGGCCGGGCCCAAATTATGGCGCGGCCCTTTTCCTTTCTTTTTCCAACTCGTCGCAACCTGCGCGCGGCCCTTGGCATCCGGGCAGATCCCAAACAAAGCCTGCGGCGGCGGCCGGCACAAGACCGACGATCGAAAAAGGACTTTGCGAAGCCAATTTTTTGGATGTAGATGCGGGGGGCCCTGCGGGAAAAGCGTCGGCCTTCCAGCTTCCCCCGTTGGTCTGTTTTTTGCGGCTGGGCGCGCCTCGCTTCCGCGCACCTCCCGCGCCGCCCCCTCCCCCCGCCCGCACCTGATTCCCTTGGCCCTCTTGACTCCATATTGTTTGCATGTAGCGGCAAAGGCCTTCGCGCTGCGTTTGCAACGCAATATCGCGGGCGTGCAGAGCGAGCGCGCGCCCTGCGCATTTGATCTACCTGACCGCATGAATTACCCGACGGGCAAGTGGGTGATGGGCTTTTGCATGGCGGCGGCAACAAAAGGTAAGGCGCAACGCTTCCTTGTCGGGGTGCTCTGAGGTAGCTGGCATCAAGCCCGGGCAAGGGCAATGCCAGTACCGCGCCCCGGCACGGAGCGACTCTGGCCGGTCGCGCCACGCGCAGAAGCCGGACGCCCCACGCCTGTGGTGGTTCTGCTGGAAGCAAGAAGGCAAACACGCGGCCAACCTACCAAGTTCTGGCACAGGCATTCGGCCGACGCCCCACGCAGAAACCAAACCGACGATCGAAAAGGAGGCGCCCATTCCAGGCCTTCTTGAAATAATTCAAACTACAAGAGCTGCGCAACATCGGCGAGACCAATTCTGATGCCGCGGGCAAAGCGCACAGCCGAGCCTGGGCCCCGGGGGGCGCTTCTTGCCCTCCGGCCGTTTTGCCAGGGGTTCAGAAATCGGCCTTCTCCGGAAGCACGGCCCGGAGAAGGGCCCAAGTCCCCCCTTTTTTGTTTATACATAGTCATTTCAAAAACATATCCCATCCGGCCTTCCCGGCTTTGGGACTTTTCGCGAGCCGAATTCCGTAGGGCGGGCGCGCCGTGGGCGCGGTAGAATGCGCAGGTGGTCACGCTCAGGGCAGTTCGCGAGAAGCAGGGTCGATCGACCTACAGAAGGAGAAGAAAGCTGCTTTTGCTCACCGCGTTGGAGAACGTTGCCGCCTCCTCCACTGCAGCGAAAGATCGGCCAGCCAGACGAGGCTGCTTCGCCTCGTCAGGCATGCCAGGTTCTTCAAACAGTTCCAGGTCTTTCGAAAGAGGGCACGACCCAACTGTAATGCGCCCGGCGCTCGGGCCGCCAAAACGCGCAGGCGCAAGCGGCGTTACTCCCGCCGTACCCTTGGGACAGCCACTTCAATGGTGGACCACCGCGAGGCCTCAATGGGCAAGCAAGCTGGCGCCTCTGTGTCGCACACCAATCAGCTACGCTGAACTCATTTGTGGAAAAAAAAACCTGCTCTGGCTTAAGTCCTTTCCGTTGCCATATCCAGAAACACCGCCGCCGAGTCGCTTCCCGCGGCTGGCGCCCCTGTCTTGCGTTGCTTTTCTTTTTCTCTAGTTTCCAACGTGCGTCACATTTGCATATCTCAATAAGCGACCAACCAACCGACCGGAGTTTGACCCTACAGGCCCACCCGTTTTGTTACTTTGACAAAAGTCACATAATCTCGCATGGCAAAAATTGACATCGCAAGCGCCAAGTCTTCAAAGGGTATTAACATGCAAGGTACTCGATGGTATAGATTAAAAAAAAAACGAAAAGAGGTACCTTCGTCCTCCTCGTCGGTCGTGAACGTATTTCCTCGCAAGTGTTGAAAACTGCCGTATTCCATGGAAAAGGATACCCGTACCCGCGGATAAAAAGAGAACTTGTATTGCAAAATTCGCGTCGCTCGGTCTTGCGGAGACCAGAGCAAGCGCCAGCAAGGCACTTTCCTGCCATGCAAAATGCAGTTTGTAAACTTGGCTTACACCTATACGCTATAGAAAAGTAGCGCAAATAAAACAAAGTATACTTGGCATGCTGAGCAGCCAAGAAGACCTTATTTGTGAAACGAAAATCCGCAACACCAATTCTTTTTTTTTTTTGTATTATGGGTGTACTACAACTTTTCTGTAGGATATACCGGAGACAGCGTTTAGCTCCATACTGCTCATCGTGGCTGCACGCGACGATATTACACTCAAAAGTGCCCCCACCGCCCCGGAAGTTGCAAATGTTTCTGATGCTAAGTTTCCAAATGGAAACTTTTCGTCTTGCATGAAAGCACCATGAGTCTTTCTGGCACAGAATCTAGGCCCGCAGGGCATCTGAGGCCCGGCTGCCCATTCAACATCGAAAATTTGTCACGGTGAAACGTGCAAAATGGAGAGCGTCTCTAACTTGTATTGCAAACATGCATCACATGCCAAAAACGGTCAAGAATTTTTTAAGAAAAAAAGCCCTCTTTTTGATGCTAACTAGCGACATTTTCATGCAGAATCGCTCTTGTTAACTCAAAAAGGCAAAAACGCGCTGCAGCTGCACCGTGTGACGGATAGAGTTAAGCCTAAAAATTGCACAAATGCACAAAAGTGCACAAATTAAGCCACAAACGTGGCACATGTGCAGGATTTAGGGCAAAGGTGCAACATTTTGCACACTCAGCAAAAAGGCCACGACCCCGGCTGCGTGGACGGTTCTGCGTTTTTACAATATTCCAGCGCAGCAGCAGAAGCCGCAGCGGTGGCCTTTATTTCAGGCGCCGCGGCCGGTTTGAAAGCAAAATCCCGCAAAACGTGGCCGCTTTAGCTCATAGGCGCACAGGGCGCAATAGCATGAACGAAATACGCGCAAACAACGGCAAAGAGACAGCTTCTTCGTGCTAACTAGGGCCATCCTGGTGCAGATTGGGTCTCGCTAAGCCAAAAAGACAAAAAGGCGACTAATTTTGCAGAAGTTATCAACTTGCATTGCAAACATGTATCACATGGAAAGAAAAGTGCCAATTTTCTTAAGGTACAGACGCACCTTTTTGGTGCTAATTCGACTCATTTCACTGCAGCACAGGTCTTGTTAAGTCAAAAAGAGCGAAATGGTTGGACGAAAAAGCGCACGGCGGGGCCACCTTGTTAAACCTAAAAATTGCGCAAATGCGCCAAAATGCAAAAACTAAGGCGGAAAGGGCGCAAATTTTTCAAAATAGGCACAAAAGTGCGCCACTATGCGCATTCTCGAAAAATGCGCAAAGTCGCAACATTGCGCGCGCCGATGATTTTGCAGCGGTTCACAGCGCGTTGGCGCTGTCGCACCCGTAAGGCTAACTCCCGACAGTTTGGTCGTACTTAGGACCAAAATGCGCCAAAAGAGCTCCCCTCAGCTCAAAAAGGTGCGCAAATGCACCAACAGACGCAAACTAAAGCAAAAACGTCGCAAAGCCATCGAAATAGGTGAAAAAGTGCAACACTTTGCAAATTCTCCAAAAAGGCGCAAAAGCGCGACAAGGCGCGCGCCGGTGATTTTGCAGGAGCAAGTCCGCAGAGCGGTGGCGCTATCGCATCCGCCAGGCCAATTCCAGACAGTTTGGCCGTTCTGAGGACCAAAATGCGCCACAGAAACTTCCTCCAACTTAAAAAGGCACAAAAGCGCGACGAAATGAACGAAATACGGCAACCCGGCGGCGAAAATAACCAGCCCCAGGCAGCTTGTTCGTTTTTAGCCCCAAAATGCGCCAGAAAAGCTCCGCGTAGCTCGAAAAGGCGCAAAAACGCAACAAAATGAACGAAGTACGGCAAAAAAGCAACGGGAAGACACCCAAAAAGGAAGACGAAGGCAAAACATGGACAGCGTCGCCACTTTTAGCGTAAAACCTTAGCAACCGCGGCGCCTCTCATGGATGCTTGGTAAGTCGGGGCTGGCGCTGCAGCGCAGCAAGGATAGTAAGCCCACAAATGCAGACAAGGAGCGAAAAACGCCGCCGCGTCACTCTTCTGCGCCCTGACATGAAGAGAAACGCCACGCGACCAACGCGCGAAACGAAAAACGCCAGAAAAATGTCCGCACCAAGAAGCAGGCCGCTGGCTGACACGCCGGACCGGCCTCCGGGATTGCATTACATGGAAAACCAACGAAGAGCCTCGCTTGGTGCTAATTCAGGGGCGCTTACGCGAAGCAGTCGCGCCACTAGCTCTGGAAGCAAAGTGCGAAAGACGCAGCCGGTGCCGCGTGTTTGGCCCACGAAAATTTCGACACGAAAAAGAGAAAAAGGGCGCCAACTGCAGAGGCGGGCTGCTGTTCATGTTCCTACTGGCATAAAATAAATAGCAAAAATGCAAAAAAAAGCCCCGGCAAAATAAAGCACAAAGCGCCACGGAGCCGCACGCCTTAGCTCCGACATGGAGACCCGCGCCGCGCGGGCAACATAAAAAACGGACAACACCCCAAAGGCGCCCACGTCAGCACGCGAGCCGGTGGCGGGGAAAACGAATCGCCTGCCGAGGCTACACTACACGCAAAGAAAGAAAAAGCCGAAGGGGCGGGGCAAAGTCTAAAATCTTCCGCGAACATGGGGAGGGCGAAGCCCCCCGGCAGCGCAAGGTTGCGCGCGCTGCAAAAATTAAAAAAGTTTCTCTTTTCATTTTTTCAAATATTCATCATCTAAAATCTCGGGCAGTGCTCGATTCAAATCTCTTGGGGAGTTTCCATTGGAAAGCTTTGCATCACAAATGCTGCCATTTTCTGGGGTGGGGGCACTTTTCATGGTAATAGACGATGAGGATGGTTCATGGTTCCGATCTTCGTGCTGGACGACGCTCTTTGTCGGATCCGCGCGCTATGCATTGGCAAGAGTGTCTGGGTCCACCTCGCTCTCGGATGATGCAAACTTGAAGACGTGCGTTGCGTGCTTGTTGTCGGGCTCTGGCATGTGTGAGACTACAGAAGTAGATCTTCACGTTCTTGCAGCCAATGAATATCGTGCTATCGAAAGGAAAGATCCCCCCTCCCCATATCGAAAACGAAATTTGTGATGCTGTATTTGAGGTCACAAATCGACTTGTCATGCTAGAAGGCCAAGAGCCGCAGTCGTGGCCTCGTTTGCAGGCAATTTGTCATGCTGTTTCCCACTCTCAGCTGCCTCCTATCATGCTGAAGATGCAAGGCTTCCCCACGCCACCCAGCACTACAGTCCGCATCTTTTCCCGTGTAGCATAACAACGCTGATTTGTGACAACAAATCTGCATCACAGATTTCCGTTTTGATATGGGGAGGGGGGATTTTTCCCTTTGATACGTGCTAGAAGAACTACTGTCCGGAGGACCACGACCCTGACGCACTTTATTTTCTCTTCATATGTCCCCGGACGACGGGTTCGTGGTCCTCGGCCGCCCACTACTAGAGGATTTCTGTGCTCCTCCCGAACTGTCCGGGTCGGCATTTGGTGTCTGCCCATACGCTATGCATTGCAAAAGTATCGCACTCGTATAAATGCATTACAAATTTCTTCAGCATGAGAAATAAAATTTGTAATGCTGATTTGCCTTCATAACAAGATGATTTGCAATGCATGACTGCAATACGAGTACGATACTTTTGCACAGGATATACGCGGATGTCGTGGTAAAAGCCGCCGCTAAGCTGGTCAGCGCGAACAAGTTCTTCTTTTTCAATATGCATTGCAAAAGTCTCGTACTCGTGCTAATAGTATCTATAAATCGCATGACAAAAAATTTCCTCAGCATTCAAAATGGAAATTGTACGTAATACGGGTTTATCATAAGAATGGTCGTGGTGCATGTCTACGCTTAAGTGCTACCAGCAGATCAAGTACTGCTGCAATGCATATTCACCGGTAAGCGAAAATGCGGAACTTGCATCGTCCTTGTCGCTATCAAATGTAAAAATGTCTGGGTCTGGAAGAGTCATGCTGTTTTTGCATGACACAGAAGGTCTGGCATGGAAGCTCTAGCATCACAGGTTTCGAGAACCTTCCGCAATGCCGAATTCGCATGACAAGTCCCCTACTTTGCTGACAAAAAGTGCGAGCTTTTGCTACGTATGCATGAGAGACTTTTCTGTGTTCTGAAATACGCATTACAAGTTACATTCTTCCAGACCCAGACATTTTTACATTTGATAGTCGCGGTTGTCGTTCGTCGACCAGCTATCCTGTGTGAAAACGTCCCCGAATTGTCATGCAAATCTGCAAGCCTCAGACGTTTTTCATGCGCAGCTCCAGGAGGAGCATTCTGTAATGCTGTCTGGCAGTTTGCTGTCTGGCAGTTTGTCATGGCAGAAGCAGGATAAGAAGATCGATTTGCCATGCAGCTACAACAGCTACACGCGATTACACGATGATCTATCAGCCCAAATTTATCTTTATGCGCGACAACCAAAAGATACTGGATTGTGTAGCAAATTTGTCATGCGAAAGAAACAAAGTTGGCTGATTTGTCTAGCAAAGTCCCCATCTTGACTCTGGCGTGGGGAAGTTTTTGCTCAGGATACAACCAGCGGGCCGAGATTCAGAGTTATCATCCTGTGGAGAAAAATACAATTTCACGACATCGGGCCGGTCCCGGTGCTGCACATGTCGCCTGTTCTGTATCACATGCAAATATGTCTGGGTCTGGAAACTTGTGATGCTGAGTGACTTAGCATGTGGAGGCGATATATGATGGCTCAGCATGACAAGTTTCTGAGCTTCTAAGTGTTGCCTATTCTGCCTGAGAAAATGCGTTTCTGCATCACAGAAAAATAGGGTTTTTGGGTAACGTGCATGACAGACTTAAGAGTCTCACTAGCCTAGCATGACAAACCTTGCACTTTTCCAGACCCAGACATATTTGCACTCGATATTCTGCTCATGTTGGCGATGATCCGTGGATGCAACAGAATCGCCCCTCCTGTTATTACAATGAAAAATGCCCCCACCCCACACTTGGCAGCATTTGTATTGCAAATGCAAACCTTTCCAGTAGAAACACTTGCCGTCTTGCATCTCAGCATCACAAATTTTCCATGCTGGATAGCTCGAATTTGTGTTGCGAAGGGGCCCAACAGCAGCCGGATCTGTTATGCACAAGGCACCTTGTGCGCCTAGATTCTGCATCAGAAAGGCTCGCAATCCTTTCATGCAAGACAAAAAGCTTTCATTTGGAAACTTTGCATGACAAACTTTCGCAAATTCGGGGGTGGGGGCATTTTTCACTGTAATACCTGTGTGGTTCCATGCTCGCGGAAGTGCAGGCCATGTCCTTGCCCTTGCGTGGTGGTCAAGAGGCTTGCTGCCCACCTGGTTTTATTTGTGTAGCTTTGTTGAATTTTCATATCCAAGTCACGACGGGGGAGACTAAATCCGAATGCGTCAAATCCCTTGGAAAATGAAACTAGCGCAACAAGCCATAGCACAAAAGAGTAGTACCTGCCCCTACGCTTGCTTGTTTGCGCCGTAAGAACCTCCGAAGTAGGAGGTCGAGTTCTTTTTATCCCCCGTGGCCCGTCCTTAAACACGGTTAGTTCTTGGATCCGATGGCACGAGACTCACTGGATTACATGTTATACCTGATTTTGTCGTTCGTGCTTATTTGTGTACATATTTTTCTTGACAATTGGCGCCAAGAATAGGCAACGGTGCAAAAAGAATTGCGTTAGACAACGGTGCAAAAACAATTGCGCAATTTTTCTTTTTTGTGCTACTAGAATACTAAGTGGGCAACTCTCCAACTGTTCGATACCGTCAGTTTCTGTTTGTGCGCGAAGAGCATCGCAAAGACGCCACAGGAACTGCAAGGAAGCCGCTTTTCACTGCGAGCCATCTTGATCATGGGCCATCGAAGTAGTGGTAGTCAACGTGGTGGTGGTCAAGAGCAGACGAGTACAACTATCTAAATATAGGCCAAGGCCATTATACTTCGAGTGCAAAACCCGCTAGGTAAGTCGTGGCGTTCCCTCGGCCGTAGTAGAAGGAAGATCTACATCAGGGTACTACTACCTAAAGCTCGCTTGATGTGATGAAACATGCCTACACTACTCTCTCACAAAAAACAGATTTGATTATGTCAGTACAATTTTTCGCTCAAAAAGTGAAGCATCCTACTAGTTGTCGCTCAAATGTTGAATCATATCACGTGACGCGAAGACGCATTAACGGAACATCTTCACAAGTAGTGCTTACTTCTCTTCTGCACCATGGTATTTCTTGTCACGACGGGCGACGAAGGAATCATCTTCATGCTACAACTTGTTCTTTTGAATTTGTATTTGATCGGTCACGCTGTTCGGGGATACTGGTAAAATGGTTTCAAGGAGACATCATCTCAGGGTTGCGACAAAAGTAAGAGCTGCTCGTGACACAAATCAATGTGTCCGCTAGAGCTCCTGCTTGTTTTCGGGGACGTCCACAGGGGGCTTGGATTTGCGTGATTGTGTGTAGGTAGTCGGGTAGCAGTACAGTTCTTCTACTTCACGTCATCGTGTTAGGGTTAGCAAAAAAAAAAAAGAGAGAGCAATAAGCTCATCCTGATTCAGAATCAATGTTCTGTCTGTTCGAACTCGATTGCTGGTGGGATTGCAAGTTTACTTTTAGTATTTCATTGCGACTATAATTTTCAGAAAAACAAAGAAGTGGCGCAGGAAAGCACGATCCTTCTGCTCAGCATATCAGCCGACATAATATGCATCTGAAAATGATTTGCTACATCCTCCTTAGCCAAAAAAAGAATAGACCCAAAAAAATCTGAAAAGCAGCATGTGTTTTACCTTACGTGCCGCTTGATGCGATTCCCAACTTGTAGTTCAGCGTTAGTTGTATCCTGAACTCGTTGTACTACTGTATTCTTGCGGCTGATGCACTTCGTAAAAGGTGTCCTGGCACGACTTCGTGAAGATTGGAACACGAAGTAGTAAGTCGTGACCAAGAACTCACTTCGACCGCAGAATGCAGCAGCGCTTCTCATTTTTTATATTGCTTCTTTCCTATCATGTATGAAAAGTTCTTGGAGTGTTTAAAACTAAACACAAAAAAATATGGAGCTCTCAAACGTTACATTCTCAACTGTTACGTGATTTGTCATGCAAAATTGCCTTGACTACTAACGCCATCAAGCTGCTTCGCGTGGCAAATTCTCAGACGGCCAAACAGGCGGAGAATCTGCGCCAAATCTGTCATGCACGACGCGCAAGGTCTTTCCTTTCACTTTTACCATTTTTGCATTACAAATCCATGTAACACTTGAGAATGTAACAGTTGAGAACGCCATAAAAAAAATCCTTTGTTTCCAGTCAAGAAGTGAGAGCATCAATGACTCCATCCTGACGGCGCTAGAAGCACAACCCCTTAGATTCATGATACACGATTAATTGCCTTTATTTTTACACGAAGTAGAGGTGGAAAAACCAAAAGGAGCAACGCAGATTCTCGATTCTTTACATTTTCGTATGTCTTGATCGCGTACTTACGCCTCACGCCAAATTTGGCGTTGCAGCACCAGAAACCCGCGTGGGCGGGCGGTCCTCGATGTAGGCAATGTCCGTGAAGGGGTGGCGGTACAGCGGTTGGTTGAGCCGCTTCTGGTCTATCCTGTGCAAAAGTATCGCACTCGTTGTAATTGCATTTATGCATGACAAATCTTTTTATTAAGGTAAATCAGCATGAGAAATTTATTCATTTGTAATGCTGAGCAAATTTGTAATGCAATTGCTATATATTATATTCATGCGAAAAAAGAGGTAGACAGAGGGTAAACAAGAGGTGGCCGAGAGGTCAAAAAGAGGTCAAAAGAGGTAAAAAAGAGGTCGACAGAGGTGGAGAGGTGGCGCGGGACCCCTTTCGAGAGGGTCGGCGAGAGGGTGCGCGAGTATAGCCCGCCGAAGGACCCACCTTAAGGCGGCGCCTAAGTGCCTCAGAGGGTGCAGAGAGGTCACAAAGAGGGGGCGCGAGAGGTCGACAGAGGTCGAGAGAGGTGGCGCGAATAAGGGCCAACCTCTCGCGCACCCTCTCGGCCACCTCTGTCGACCTCTACCCTCGAGTATAGCCGGACTATTAGCGGGGACCCCCAAAAGAGGTAAAAAAGAGGGTCTGCGAGAGGTCTGCGAGAGGGTAAAGACACAAAGTAGCGGGCGCGAATCCGCATGGGAGTCCCCATATTTAGCGTCGCAGGCTCTTCGCGGACTTGTTTTGTCCGGCGCCTGTCCCCACCACCCTCTCGCGCACCCTCTCGCGCCACCCTCTCGCGCGACCCTCTCGCGCCACCCTCCCGCGCCACCCTCTCGCGGCGGGCGGCTTCTGTTCGCCCCCGGTGTTCTTTGCAGTTGCTCCCTGCGCAGAGCGCCCACAGGCGCGGGAGGCGCGCAAGTAGTCCTGCGGGTTGGCGCGGCGCAAACTCCAGTATGCTTCGTTGCGCACAGGCCCGTGGCGTTGTGGTCCGATCGGCAAACTGTCTTGCCCCGGTCCAACAGCCTTGCGCTCCGGCGGCAGCCGGAGCATGGCTGGTTTATACTAGTACGACACTTTTGCACTGCATATGGTCCAGCACGTGGCCGATCAACCCGATGGAGCGCGCCGGTATCAAATGCAAATATGTCTGGTGTTCTCAGTTAAATGTCATGCGGTTTTTGCATCATGACCGCCCAGAAGCTTTGGTAAATGCAAGCAATAGCATCACAAGTTTAAAGTTTTGAGAAGGCTTCTTCTCGCTGATGCCCATCGGCCAGAGCTAGTAGCATCACAAACGCACAAGTCTCTTCCAGAGGACCTGGACATATTTGCGATGCCTAGCCAGCACGAACAAGCCGTTCAGGCAGCCGGAATCCACGAACTGGTCACACTCTTCGACTGTGAACGCGCCGCACTTTCTATCGTGGGAAAAAACTGTCTCAGGCGCAACTTGCAATGCGCAACTCCCTTGAGACAGTTTTTTGTCATGCTCGACACGCAAGAAAATCGTCTTTCACAGGCATTTTTCCTTGTTTCTCACGCATCACAGGTTTTCCGTGTCTTGCTGCGCAAATTTCTATTGCTAGAGTCTACTGCAAAGGCTTGAGACTGGGACAGTTTTTTCGTACGATACTTTCGCAGCATGTCCACAAAGGCGGCGGCAATGCATCCGTCGACGTTGAGGATGAGGTTGGCTTTCTTGGTGATGGTCACTTCCTCCACCTTCAGCGCAAATCCCAGCACGGACTCCTGCGGATCCTCGCTGTATCCCACGAAAAAAGTGTTACAGTTACACATTTGTAGTGAATTCAGCAACACAAATTTCTCTGCATGAGAGAGAAAACTTGTAATGCAGAAATCCTACGGGAAAACACCTGTGAAACGAGGCTCCTATGCATATCCGGCATGACAGAGCTTGTCTGTCTTGCTTGCCCTGCAACGCAATGTGTAACTGTATTAACACTTTTTTCTGGCGATACGCTGGACCAGTTGTCCAATGCGAACTTCTTCAAAATTTCCACTCGTTTGTCTCGTGAGGAAAAACAACCCCTCCCCATATCGGACAGGAAATTTGTGATGCTGGATTTCCGTACACAAGTCGGCTTGTATTGCTAGAGGGCCAAGGGACGCAGTTATGGCCGAAAATTTGTCATGCTGTTTCCCACTCGCAGTTGCCTCCTGTCATGCTAAAGACGCAAGGCCTTCTTACGTCAGCCAGCGCTACAGACTGCATCTTTTCCCTTCTAGCATGACAATATGATTTGTGGTCACAAATCAGCATCACAAATCTTGAGTATGGGGTGGGGGGATTTTTCATTTTGATAGTTTGTCCGGGTTGTGCTTCGACTTGATTCGGTGCCCGATCCCCATGATGAGTTCGTTCTTCTTCTTCATTTCGTTCACGTAGTCACGCGCGTCAATGGCCTTGTCGAACTTATCGAGACTGCAAGATAAGTATCGCACTGGTAATAATAATTGCAGTCACACCTTAAAAAGCTCTTTCCCAAGGTAAAGCCGCACTACAAATTTCGTTTCTCATGCTGAAGAAATTTGTGTTTGTCATGCGATTTCTACTAGAAGTGCGATGCTCTTGCGATGCATAAAACGCCTTGGTGAAAGACTTTGCGGCGGCATCAAGCGCGCCGCCAAACCGCGGCCCAATGGTGAGCAACCCGCTGCAGAGGCTGTCCACCACATCCTTCCCCGCGCGGGCACACACGATTGCGTTGTGCGCTCCCGAGACGGCGGGACCGTGGTCGGCGCACACCATCAGGATCATCTCCATGAACTGGCAGCTATCAAATGTAAAAGTGTCTGGGTCTGGAAGGTTGCAACTTGTGATGCTGTCTTTGGAAGGTAAAAAAATCTGTATTGCATGACCAGCAAGAGGGCTTCAGTTTGTGCTACGCGGAGTGGGCGTTTCTCATGCGGAATACGCATCAGAAGGCCCTTTAAAAATCTATGATGCTCGGCCATGCATTACAGGCGTCATGGGTTATGCAAAATATGCATGACAAACCTGGCAATCTTCCAGACCCAGACATTTTTACACTTGATAGCAGCACTCGAGCGGCAAGTTCCGTTTGAACCACAGCAACGAAATGACCGAGCCCACGCCGCGGCTCATCTGCATGATGTTGCTCAATTTCATGCCCCCGTACGTCACTTCGTCCCCCCTGTCGTCCGAAATGCTGCACACCATGTTGGCCGGGTTCGGGCGCACTACGCCGAGCTTCTGCAGCGTCTTGAAGTCTTTGGGCACTTGCGGCACCTCCGGCTCCTGAAACAGGGGAATCTCCTTCTTTTCGAGCAATTGCTTGTAGATTTTGTTGATCTCCGTGCCGAGGGAGTCAAACGATCGGGGCACTGTGATGCCGTTCTGAAGTGATATGACCCGCTCAAACGTTAGTTACAATCTCAAACGTTACAATAGAATCTGGATTTTTTATTGCATGATGAGCATAACAGAACCGCACAGCGTTCCACTTTCTGCAATACAAATTTCGGATGATTTGCTAGTGCGGTTTGGGACTCCAGAATTTGTCATGCGCAATGCTGTGGGAGTAGGCTAGGCCATTCGCCTTTTGCATCACAGATTTCCAGATTCTATTATAACGTTTGAGATTGTACTAACACCTGAGCAGGTTATAAGGGAGAGCGCCAGATTTTTTGCCTTCGCGGTTTCGCGGTCGGACCGGGATTATCAACTGCAAGTGTGTCTGGGTCTGGAAGAGTGCCAGACTTGTCATGCAGGTTTTCCATGACCCATGAGGTCTGGTATGTAAGACGTAGCATGGCAGATTCTGTCAAAGTTGTTCTATCGTGCCTATCCTGCATGAGAAACCGCCTCTCGATTGGCTCAAAAGTGGAGAACTTTTAGTAATCACGCAACACAGATTTATTTTACATGACTCAGATTTAGCATGACAAGTTGCTTTGTTCCAGAGGACCCAGACACTTCTGCTTTTGATAGGGATTGCGCCCCGGCGTGCCCGAACTGCATCTCGTCGCTGAACGCCGCTGCACAGGTATTCTGAGGAAAAACATCCCCACCCCAGAGTTGTCGTGCAAATCTGCATGCCAAAAAAGCTTCTCATGCGGAGCCCCATGCGAAGCATTTTGTCTTCATGTTTTGGAGTCAATTTGTGATGCTTAATCAGGGTTATACGCTAGGCCTGTGATGCTGCTGAACTAGCTGAACAGGACTACACTACGAGGACAAACTTCTCATGCGAAACAACCAACTCTGGTTGATTTATTGTCTAGCTGATTTTCCAACTTGACTATGGGGTGAGGACGTAGTTTTCAGACAGGATAACAGGTGCCGACACACCACGCGACCAGTGGCTTGGTGATTCGTTTGTCCTTGACCGCATCGAGCACCTCGTACTCATCCAACCCCCCGACTTCCCCGAGCAACACAATCATTTTCACGCTCGGATTCCGCTGGTACCGCAGGATGTGGTCCAGAAACCGCGTGCCCGGATACCGATCCCCGCCCACCGCCACGCCCTCGGCCACACCGTTGGTGTTGCGACATATGATGTTGTTCAACTCGTTGCTCATGCCGCCGGACCGGGAGACGTATGCCACAGACCCCGGACGGTATGGATTGCAAATATGTCTGGGTCTGGAAGAGTGGAACTTGTAATGCTGTCTGCGGATTCTAGAACTATCTGTGTTGCATGAGCAGCAAGAGGAGTGAGTCCTTGGCACGTCGCGGAGAGGGCATTTCTCATACGTGATTAGCATCAATAACCTCTCAAAAAATCTGTGATGCTAGCACCAGCATCACCGACCTCAAGGGTCATGCAAAATGTGCATGACAAGCCCCGACTCTTCCAGCCCCAGACATTTTTGCAGTTGATAGACGGTAAAGTTTCGACATGATAATGTTTTCGATCGCGCCCCCGGTGTTGCTATCAAATGCAAACATATCTGGGTCTGGAAGGATGTAACTTGTGATGCTCCATTAGGATGCTACAAAAATCTGTATTGCTTGAATAGCAAAAGAGGCCCAGTTCTTGCCACGGCGCGAGGGCATTTCTCATGCGGTATAGGCATTAGGAAGGCGTCACGAAATCTGTGATGCTAGGGCATGCATTACAGACATCAGGAGTCATGCAAAATGTGCATGACAAACCAGACCCAGACACATTTGCATTTGATAGTTGCCGATGCGAAAGGCGCCCGGCTTGATGCCGCCCACGGTGGCAGGACCAATAATGGACACGCCCTTTGCCTGATGTTTTTGTATTTTATTGTTTGTGGGCGGTGCATTACGGAAGGAGGAGCAGCTGTATAGAGGAACACACATCACAAAAAACCGTGCTTTTGTAGCAACGTATATCATGAAAGTGATACATTCATAAAGAAGAAATTATACCTCCGCAAGGCAGATCAGTTCCCGAGTTTGTCGTTCCGGCATCCCCTCCGCAATCGCTTCTCCTGAGGAAAAACGCCCCCACCCCGAAGTTGTCATGCAGATTTGCAATTACAGGAACGTTTGTAATGCGCAGCCGCAGCCCCATGAGGCGCATCATTTTGAATCGCGTTTCTGCAGACGGGACAAGTAGATGGGTTTATTGTGATCCACGCCTGTCCTTCTATACGTACTATATTCTAAACTGCACTACCATACGGAGAGACACAACTTGTCATGCGCGAGTCCCAAAACTTCTGCATTTGTGTTGCAGATTTACCAATCATTGACTATCAGGTGGGGACGTTTTTGCTCAGAATATCACTGCAATGGTCTTCAACCGGCTCGAAAACTTCAGGGCCTCCATGGTGGAATCGTAGCTGGACCGGAAGTATGCATTGCAAAAGTATCGTAGTCGTACTTCTACTAATTGCAGTCATGCATTACAAATCTTTTTCTTAAGGTAAATCAGCACAACAAGTCATGCAATTCGTACTTGTACAAGAATACTTTTGCAATGCGTAGGAATGAAGCGAAGTTGATCATGAAAGACACCTCTGGGTGCTCATCAATCGCGTCGGCGATGTTCGGGTACACTGGAATAAAAATTTCCTCTACGCTATCCTGTGTACAAACGTTCCCACCTCCCCAGAGTTCTTCTTGCCATGCGGATTTGCAAGTACAGGAACATTTGGAACGCGCATCCCCACAAGGAGTAGAGCTATTTCCATCTGTGGTTGGAAATTTGCAAAAATGCTGCCAACAGGACACAGAGATGGCTTTGTGCTGCGACTGTTATTGCTAACCTGCACTACAATACATAGTAAACCGAGAAATTTGAAGATGGCATGCGTGACTCCCCATCAACTTTCCAGATTTGTGGTGCAAAGATCCTAACTTGACTATCATGGGGTCCTCGTGGGGACGTTATTTTCACGCAGGATATACGCCCCAGTATATAACCCGCTCAGGTGTTACAATCCCAAACGTTACAATAGAGTCTGAGATTTGTCTTGCATGATGAGCATGATCCAGCCAACTCTCATAGGGTTGAGCATGACAAGTTCCGGAGCTGTAAGCCCCACTACATTCTGGCGAAATTTGTATTGCAAAAGGTGGAACGCTGTGCGAGTCTGTCATGCCCATCATGCAACAGAAATTCCAGATTCTATTGTAACGTTTGAGATTGTAACCTTTGAGCAGGTCATACAGTAGACCTTCATGTTCTGTCTCCCGCCGAACGGAAACACGACTGCGGAGACCGACGGCTTCTGCCGCCCGCAGATGCCGTCGAAGTCGAGCATGCGCTGGACCGCGGCCTGCTGCAGGTTATACACAATGCAGGTGGTGTCCTGGGTGGTCTCTTGCGTTTCCAGGGTCCGTAGTGGATAGAACGCGTGCGGGTGGCGCTCCGAGCCGGAGAGTATGCTGTGAAAATAAAGCGTGTACCATGTTCCGTCCTACATCGAGTGAGTATGCAAAGCCGGGCGTGGCTGTAGAAATTATATGTATATCTGCCATGCAAAAAATCCAAATTTTGTTCTTGACTGTCATACCCAGGAGGTCCTCTTGGACGAATCGAAATCGTGGTATACTTTTATTTTCACCGGATACTCAACCCCGCTTGATTATCCTTCGTAGGTGCGGAGCCGGGACTGGCGTCAACCTGCACAATTGCGGTTTTTTTTGGTCGTTTTGATGTGCTTTGTCATGCTAAAGAGGAACTACCAGAGGTAAAATCTACTAGATCTAGTACGTCATCTTTATCAAACTTGTTTCATACTTTGCTGTAGTACACAGTAGGTTATGGTCCTCGATGTCGACAAAAACACCAAGAAATACTTCGTCCCCCAACACCCTCGCTGCGGCCACATTGTGCCGGATCATGTTGCTGGGCCGCCCCCCATATGAAATGCAAAAGTATCGTACTCGTATAACTATAAATGCATTACAAATTTTCTCAGCATGAGAAATAAAATTTGTAATGCGGACTTACCTTGAGAAAGAGATTTGTAATGCATGTTTGCAATTACTACGACTGCGATACTTTTGCACAGGATACCCCACCGATGCGCAGGTACTCGGCGGCATCCAGGTCGGGCTCTTCTTATCAAAAGGAAAATTCCCCCCTCCCCATATCGAAAACGAAATTCGCGATGCTGGATTTGAGTACACAAATCAGATTTTTCTTGCTGCAGAGGACTGCAGGCCCACTTCAAGCCTGAGTAGAGAGGTTTTGGCCTAGGCGCTTAGCATGAGAAACGTCTGCGCTGTAGGCCACACAGCATCACAAACCGCCTGCATAATGCGGCGGAGCCTGTGGAGTTGCCTTCTTGCAAGACAGAGATCATCTGTGGTCGCAAATCAGCATTGCAAATTTTCGGCGACGTACCTTTTCGATATGGGGAGGGGGAATTTTTCCGCGGGATACTTCTAACACCTCCATGAGGCCGAGAGACATCGGGACGATGGTATCAAATACAAGAATCCCTGGATGTGTGGAAGGATGCCAGTTTGTCATGCTGCCTTTGGATTCGACAAAAATCTGTACTGCATGAGCAGCAACAGGAGTCCAGTTTTCGCTACACGGACAGGGCATTATTATATTTCACATGCGGTAGAGGCATGAGAAAGCCCTCGGAATAAAATCTGTGATGCGAGAGCATACATCGCAGGCATCCTGGTCTTCCAAAATCTGCATGACAAACTCCTACTCCCATCCAGACCCAGACACTTTTGCAGTTGATAGATGGAAGTCATGTGCGTTTCGGGACCGTAGACTTTGATGGGCAGGCCGACGCTGGTGTATCAACTGTAAAAATGTCTGGGTCTGGAAGAGTCATGCTGTTTTTGCATGACACAGACGGTCTGGCATGGAAGCTCTAGCATCACAGGTTTCGAGAAGCTTCCGCAATGCCGAATCCGCATGACAAGTCCCCCATTTTGGTGACAGAAAGTGGGCAGCTTTTGCTACCTATGCATGAGAGATTTTTCTGTGTTCTGAAATGCGCATCACAAGTTGCATTCTTCCAGACCCAGACATTTTTGCAATCCATATGGTGACCGCGTCCTTGATTTTCCGCAACCCCTATCACGAGAAAAAAGTATTACAGTCACACACTCTGATGGAAGACAAGCAAGAGAGACAACCTCTGTCATGCAGGAAATGCTTGCCAGCCTCATTTCTTTCGTGTTTTCCCTTATAGTCTGCGCATGACAGGTTTTCTTTGCCATGTCGAGCAACTTTGTGATGCAGAAACTCCAACAAGTGTGTAACTGTAACACTTTTTTCCTTGGATAACCCCTCGAGAAAATTCAGTCCCGCCCGGCGCACCCAGAAGGTGACTTTGTGGTCTTTTAACTCGTCGTATCGTACGAAAAAAGTGTTTCACTGTAGGGATTTTGCAAGTTCTGCATCACAAGTTTGTTCTACATCACAGAAAAAATTTGCCATGCGAGATTCCTCAGGGAAAAGTACACAGCTAAAAATCCATTGTCTTGCATGTGTAGCAAGACAAACACTTCCCAGATACATTTTCTGCATGACAAGTTTACAGTGAAACAGTTTTTTCTTGCGATACATCGGAGTACGCCTTGATCGCCTTGATCAACCCGGAGAAGTATCCTCTGCAAAAACGTCCCCACGATCCCATACCTGTGACGCAAATCTGCATGCTGAAACTGTTTCTCATGCGGAGCCCCACGAGACGCGTTTTCTAGTCATGTTTTGGACGAATTTGTGATGCTCAAAGTGTAGCATGACATGCTGGATTCGTGATGTTCTTGTTGCACTAGCTCAACACGATGATTTTTACACTGCGTGCCCGAACTTGTCATGCGTAACAGCCAAAGGTTGTTGATTTGTCTTGCAGATGTCCCAACTTGACTATGGGGTCTATCTTGGGGGCGTTTTTATTCAGGATAAGAAGGTGCCCGCCACATCGGTAAAGTTGGCAATGCCGCCCCCGATGATGAACACTTTGCCTTCCGGCCGCTTCGTGCCCTTGGTGAGGAGCTGAAACAGCGTTTTCGCGTACTGGTACGTCTCGTCCGCGGTCGGAGCGCCCGAGTATATTGTGAGTAAAAACGTCCCAACACCAGAGTTGTCATGCAAATGCGCAATGACAGGAACATTTGTAATGCGCAGCTCCATGAGAGGAATTCCCAGTCGTGTTTTGGAATCTGTAATGCTGTAAACAGGATGCGAAAGTGGCTTTCTCATGTGGCTTTTCTAGCCAATCAGCACTACACTGCAGAGAGAAAAACTTGTCATGCACAACTCTCAAAACTTGGAGATTTGTGTTGCTAGATTCCCAACTTGACTATGGGGTGGAGACGTTTTTGCTTAGGATAGAGTATTCGCCGTAGTTTGCGAGTTCCGAACCGTACCCGAAATCCACGACGGTGTATCAAGTGTAAAAATGTCTGGGTCTGGAAGGTTGGAACTTGTGATGCTAACTTTGGACTCTAAAAAAATTTGTGTTGCATGACCAGCAATAGGAGCCCAGTTTGTGCTACGCGGGGAGGGCATTTGTCATGCGGGATAGGCATCAGGAAGGCCTCTAAAAATATGTGATGCCAGACCATGCATTACAGACATCATGGCTCATGGAAAATATGCATGACAAATCTAGAAATCTTCCAGACCCAGACACTTTTACATTTGATACTGTGTCGGAGTAGACCACGGAGGCACCACCACTATCCTGTGCAAAAGTTGTATCGTAAACGTACTAATCGCATCCATGCATTACAGATTTCATTTATTGAGGTAAATCCGCATTAGAGATTCCATTTCTAATGCTGAGGAAATTTGTAATGCGATTTATACTAGTATGATACTTTTGTAATGCATAACCACCCGCCACCATCAACCACACGCGGCCGTTCGGGTTCAACACGGTCAATTTCAGCGACGCACCGGTCTTTTCGTCCAGCTTGCGGATAAAGGCCTCCTCGTATCCTATGTAAAAGCGTCCCCACCCAAAAGTCAAGCTGGGGAGTCGGCTAGACAAATCCACAAGTTTTGGCTGTTTTGCATGACAAATTTCGACTAGTAGTGTAGTGCTGTTTGAGGTAGTTCATCAGCATCACAGATCTAGTATAGCATGATGATTGGAGCATGACAAATTCCAAAACACGACTAGACAATGCTTCTCATGGGGCTCCGCATGAGAAACATTTTCAGCATGCAGGTTTGCATTACAACTCTGGGATGGGGACGTTTTTCAATACGATACCTCGGGAAATTCGTTGCGCCCAAAAGCGGTTGGAAAGTCCACCTCGCCCCACTTCTTGTCGCAGAGGAACGCGTATGCATTGCAAATATGTCTGGGTCTGGAAGGATGCAAGGTCTGTCATGCATATTTTGCATGACCCCTGATGCCTGTAATGCTTTGCCTAGCATGACAGTTCTCTTGAGGGCTTCCTGATTCCTATTCGGCATGAGAAATGCCCTCTCCGTGTAGCACAAACTGGACGCAGCATCACAAGTTGCAACCTGCCAGACCCAGATGACATATTTGCATTTGATAACCCGGCCGTCTCGTCGATTTTTGCCGCGAGGTCCAGGGGCACGATCTGCAAGCCGCTGGCGGTTCGCGCGTCGTCGACGACACACAGAGGGTTGATTTCCAGGTAGCTGTAGTGACACTCGGCGTAGAGCTATCCAAGAAAAAAACACCATCACAATCACATTTAGGAGGTTTTGCGTCAGAAATTAGTCTCGCATGACAAATTTTTCTTGTATTGCAAAAACACAAAGAGAAATCGCGTATAAGTCTTGACTGTGATGCATTTTTGCGCATGACAAAATTTTTTGTATTGCAAAAATGTGCAAAAGTGGTTGTGATGGTGTTTTTTTCTTGAATAAGAGCTCAAACAGGTTGCGGATGTACTCGGACAAAATTTTTTATGGGATTCTCAAACGTTACATTCTCAACTGTCACATGAATTTGTCATGCAAAACTCTCATCAGTATCACTATCATCATGCTGCTTCGCATGACAAATTTTCAAAGGGCTAAAGAGCATCTAAATCTGTGCCGAACCTGTAATGCAAAACGCGCAATCTTGTTCACCCTTGCATTTTTGCCATTCTTGCATTACAAATTCATGTAACAGTTGAGAATGAACATTTGAGAAGGCCATATTTTTCGCCGGGACACCGGCACCTGGTGCAGCAGGTTGTCCAATTCGTCATCCGTCAGCTGCTTCTTCGAGTCCGTCTTTACCTTCAGCCGTTCGGCTTTCGCGTCCACGTCGCCGATATCGACCCCGCCCTCGTGGTAAAAGAAGATCTCGTATCAAATGTAAAAACGTCTGGGTCTGGAAGCGTCATGCTGTTTCTGCATGACGCAGAAGGTCTGGCATGGAAGCTCTAGCATCACAGGTTTCGGAAGCTTCCGCAATGCCGAAACCGCATGACAAATCCCACATTATGGTGACAGAAAGTGAACAGCTTCTGCTACCTATGCATGAGAGATTTTTGTGTGTTCTGAAATGCGCATCACAGGTTACATCCTTCCAGACCCAGACATTTTTGCGCTTGATATCTCGTCGTAGTACCGATCTGATTGGATCGCCACGTAGTACTCGTCCTCTATCCTGTGTAAAAACATCCCCACCCCAGAGTTGTCATGCAGATCTGCAAGCACAAGCGCATTTGTAATGCGCATCCCCATAGGGGGCATTTCCCAGCGTGTTTTGGAACTTGTAATGCTGTAAACAGTATGGGGAGATGGATTTCTTATGCGGCTTTCCTTGCTCAACTGCACTCCGCTACAGCCTGCAACTTGTCATGCGTGACTCCCAAAACTCCAAGGTTTGTGTTGCAAAATTCCCAGCTTGACTCTGGGGTGGGGACGTTTTTACACAGGATATCCTCTTGGTTGTGTTTCAGGAAGGGCTCGATGAGAAAATGGGTCAGAACCCCTGTCACGTTCTCGATCGTGTATCCCACGAAAAAAGTGTTACAGTTACACATTTGTAGTCAATTCAGCAACACAAATTTCTCTGCATGAAAGAGAAAACTTGTAATGCACAAATCCTACGGGAAAACACCTATGAAACGAGGCTCCTATGCATATCCGACATGACAGAGCTTATCTGTCTTGCTTGGCCTGCGACACAATGTGTGAATGTAACCCTTTTTTCTTGCGATATCGTGAGCTCCTTGTGCAGTCGCTCCGTGATCCATTCATTGCACTCCTCGAAGGTGCAATTCACCTTGATCAGACCGGCCTTGCCTCGTCGCTTGATCAGCTGGTCGGGCTTCACAACCAGCTTTTCCGTCTTCAACCAGGGATGCTTGGCCAGAATCTCATCCCATGCGAAATCTGTTTTGTTTTTGTGTCATGCAATATGAAAAAAAAACATTTGTGGTCATGCGGGTGGTGATACAAGTAAGTACTTCAATGCAAAAACAGAATCTTGGGGAGCAGACAATCATGCCATAACTCTGCTCCCCAACAGGCATGCAGTAGAAACACGATAGAAGTGATAAGTACGGATATCCGAGCTCTGCCACAGGGACGGAGTGACCAGGACACCTTTGTACTCCGCGTTGTCGAACGGTGCCTTCAGGTTCTTGTAAATCATGCATTTGCCATGATACTCGCGTATCGCTTTCACCGACATTTTCTTCAACTGTTTTGTCGATTACTTTTTTACTTTTTACAAAAAGTCAAACCTTTAGAGCATGAGACTGAAGACGAGTACTTACTACAGAAACTTTGACTAATCTAGTCTTGCGCTATCCACCGCCATCAAAAAAAACGCACGAACTAAAGGAGTTCTTTTTCGCACCTAGTAGTTGATACAAAACTTAGCACGTACGTGTCTCCTAATAGGACTACTACTAGCGTGTAGCAATTATTTGGGCGCTTCAGCAACCAGCAATTTGCTATACGGTGCTTAGAAAAATGTACTTCTGCGTGGTGCGGAAGCTAGTACTTACGGCTCTTCCTTGACGCTCTATTTGCGCTTTTCCCTCAACGTCAACATTGCAATTCCCTCTCTGCACCATGATACAAATTCACTAAAAGTAGAATCAGGAGATTTGAAGAGTTCTCTCGGTTTTGTAGTAGCTGAAAGGCAGAATCATGAAATCGACAAACCTCTTTGGTTTTCCGGGTTCCATGGTAAATTATATATATTAGCGGCTTATTGTTTATTGTTGTCTCGTCACAAATGTTGACAGTATGACAACCTTCGCAGGATGCGAAATTTTGGCATTTGCACCACAGGAGCAAACATAACTTTTATTTGGTACCGAAGTGTGGACCGTAATTTGAGCTTCATTTCTTATCTCTCCTTTTTGCTCTCTTCTAGGACAAGATCCTGAACAGACAGTGCAGTAAGTAGAGTACTTTTATCAGTTCCGAAATCTTCGAATTTCCTTGATAACAACTAGAAGTACGTTGAACGGCGCAGTCTTTGCATTCCTCCAGCTCCACCCACCACAGGGATCTCTTTACAAAAAGAACCCCGCTCCTCAGAGGTTCCAGTCCTCTTTTTCTGTGCGTAGTTTTCTCTACCTCGAATCATGTTTCGGTTGCGCGAACTAAACAAGAGGGCGTCAAGTAGTACAACTGCAAAAAGCTGTACAGAAGAATCGCGAGCACTGATTGCTTCATCTGCAGTATCATGTCTATCTCACAAGAAGATCTTTTCTACTTCGGTGCTTTGTTACATACTACAGAGTCCTCTCCTGTTGAGCAGGATGAAGATCACGTACGTCACGCTGCTTTCACCTTACCCCTCCCTCTTCTACCCTCCAACTGGCGTCGTACCTTGATGCCCGCCACCACGACTAGCGCCGCCTCCTCCCGCTGCCATCAACTTCCGTCTTCTTAGTTCCTTTAAAGCGAAAGTTTCTTCCACCGTGACCGTCTGGATTCCCGTGTCGATATCCAGCAGCGCGTGCTGCATTTTTCCGATATTATTCCTGTTTCCACCCCCGATGCCACTCATCACGCCCCCCGCTGCACCGCCACAGCTTCCTGGCATGCCAGTGTAGCCCGCTCCACCTCCTCCGTTTTCTAAATCCTCGAACAGCAGTATGACAGTGCACAACTCCCCCTCCTTCTAATTTGCAACAGCAATACAAGCGTCAGCAAGAATACAGGTTTTGCATGACAAATTTGGACCACAGGCGTGTAGTGCTATTTGGGCTGCCAGAACTTGTCATGCAAACAGTGCCAAGAGCCCAGGCGTAAATTAGGCACTTTGCATGACAAAGCAGGGGGAGGGGGAGTTGTGCACCCTCATAAGCAGGGTCTGCGCGTACTCCAAGAGCATCGCGGCCGCGGGCTGGATTATTGCAAGGAAAAATCCCCCCTCCCCATATTGGAAAAGCATCTTTCTGAAAATTTGTGATGCAGATTTGTGGCCACAAATCGGGTCTGTCTTCCAAGAAGACACATTCAGGCTGTCCGCCAAGTTATGCAGGCGGTTTGTAATGCTGTAAGGCCTACAGGGTAGCCGTCTACCATGCTAGGCGCCTACAGCAAAAGGCCCCCGCTTAGGCTCAGGACCTGCGCGCACTCCTCTGCTGCAACACAAATTTGATTTGTGGATCCAAATCCAGCATCAGAAATTTCGTTTTGATATTTGGGCAGGGGGATTTTTCCTTGTGATATGGATCCGCCGCACTTCCGCCACATGGAGCTGCTGCGCCAGCCGGACCGCGTTTTCGTAATTTTTGTCCGTGATGAGATTTGCGTGGAGGAAGACAAGCTCCATGCGCAGGGTCTTGGTCAGCACCAAGTCCTTCAGCGTGGCCCACGCGTATCATATGTAAAAACGTCCTCACCCCATAGTCAAATTGGGAAATCTGCAAGACAAATCAACAAGCTTTGGCTGTTGCGCATGACAAGTTTTGGCTCGGAATGTAATGTTGCTTACCTAGTGTAGAAGCATCACAAATCTAGCAGCTCATGCTCATTCCAGCATCACAAGGTCCAAAACACGACTAGAAAATCCTTCTCATGGAGCTCCGCATGAGAAACATTTTGAGCGTGCAGAATTGCATGACAACTACGGGGTGGGAATGTTTTTACACAAGATAACGCGACACCCGAGTTTTGAGTCGAAATGCGGCTGTCCCCCGAGGAGTTGTTGTATTGGCTTATCAAATGTAAAAATGTCTGGGTCTGGAAGAGTTCCAACTTGTCATGCTAAGTCTGGATCATGCAAAAATCTGTCTTGCGTGATCACCAAAAGTCGCGCTTTTTTGATCAACACGAGAGGCAGTTTCTCATGCAGGATAGGCATGATAAAGACCTCGCAAAATCTGTCATGCTAGGTCTTGCATTCCAGACCTCTTGGGGCATCGAAACTTTGCAGGACAAGTTTCTATTCTTCCAGACCCAGACATATTTGCATTCGATATGGCTCGACGAGGAACTATTGTTGCTCTCACCAACATTCTGGTCGGTAGTAACATTTCTGTTCTGCGTGTAATTGTTGTGTGCCATCGTGTTTTGGGGATTCAGTATCCGGGAACTCGCCAAGATATCCAAGGCGGAATTACCGCTCGCTTGGTAGGAGGAACTGCTGCGATGCGGATTCGGGTTCGATCCTGCTCCTCCTCCCGCCCCTCCGACGGTATAACCAGTACCTTCTACTTCCCCGGCGGAACCACCAGAGCCTCCTCCATTTCGCATCACTTGGTTGAAAAGTTTTTCGTTCAGAACTTGGCAGTTTTTCAGCAAGCCAACCAACACAATCACTTTTTCCACCAAGACATGTGGGTGCTTCAGTTCGCGCAGAGACTCGAGATCCTGCTTCTGGAAGTTTTGCAGAATCTGCTCGTTGATAGCCATCTGGTCCATATCGGGGGCCTCAAACAGCTTTTCCAGAAACGCATCTGGATCAAAGTACCCGGGGAAAGTGGACGTTCCTTCGTCCGAGTGAGGATTGCCATTCGCAGTGGAAGATGATGATGAACTACTACTATTCACAACCCCTTGTTGCATTTCCAGCTGCAAGTGGTATTTGAAGTGGTTTTTGCTGTACTTCTGCCTTTTTACCGGTTTTATCAAGTGCAAAAATGTCTGGGTCTGGAAGGATGCAAGGTTTGTCATGCACATTTTGCATGCCCTAGCATCACAGATTTTACGACGGCTTCCTGATGCCTATACCGCATTAGAAATGCCCCCTCATCATGGCAAAAACTGGACCTCTTTTGCTGTTCATGCAATACAGATTTCTTGTAGAATCGAAATCCAGTATCACAAGTTCAAACCTTCCAGACCCAGACATTCTGCAATGCATAGGTTTCGGCAACTCCGGTAGTTGCACACTGTCGGACAGGGAGATCGAGGTGGAGTGCCGTATCCTGAGTAAAAACGTACCCACACCAGAGTTGTAATGCAGATTTGCAGTTACAGGAAGATTTGTAATGCGCATCCCCATGAGAGCCATTTCCAATCGTGTTTTGGGATTTGTGATGCTGTGAACAGGATGAGCAGATGAATCTGTGATGCGGCTGCACTTTCTAACCTGCACTACACTACGGAGTGCAACTTGTCATGCGTGACTCCCAAAACTCCTATGTTTGTGTTGCAAAATCCCCACTCTGACTCTGGTGTGGGTACGTTTTTACTCAAGATATGCCGTTGGTGGAGGTCTTTCTGAGCTGTAAAAGTCGTGCTTTGATGTGCACTGCCTGACATAGCTGTCCCTTGATGTTGTGACGGCTTGCTGCTGCTCCGGTTTGACAGAATTGCTGAACCGGATTTCGTCATACCGCCAGGGCCTGAAGACGGTGGTCCCGCTGGTGAAGGACCTCCTGCTGTACCTGCATTGCTGGCCGTGCTGGCCGACCCTGACCTATTCGCTGTCGACTGCACAGTAGAGCCTCCTCCAGCAACAGCGGTGTCTGCTGCTGAACCTCCACCATTATTGCCGCCTTTGGTCGCAGTACAGCCGCCCTGGTGCGACAGGGAAGATGAGGATTGCGCCCCGGACGAGAGGCCGCCAAAACTAGCCCCGCCTCCTGCTCGGGAACTTTTGAAGATGATTTCCTCCTTCCCGACGATCTCCTCTAAAAGCTCCTTAGCCTGCTGCACCACCTGCGGGATCAGAAAGGTCGGGATAAAGTTGCTCGCACTCAAACTCGCGTTGCTGTTGTCCAATTTTTCGGGATACAACGACTTGACCCGCTTCAGCGTCACGAGAAGAATCACAAAATCAAACCCGTCCTTTTTCTCCAACAACTCCAGCAATTTTTGCCCCACGGCGCAGGATTTTCCCTTCACCTGCATCATGGGCAGTTCATCGTGGTTGTTGATGTTGATGCCATCCTGCTTTTCTTCGCTACCGAGGTGAGGCTCTGCTCTTGCTGTGGTGGAAGTAGTTTCGTTTTCATTCTCATTCTCCTCCTTCGGCAAGTAAGCCGACAGCGCCGTTGTTCCCGCCCGGTAAGCGTACGAAATGTGACTCGCCGCATCGTATCAAATGCAAAAATGTCTGGGTCTGGAAGCTTCTGAGAATTGTCATGCAAGTTTTGCATGAGCCATGATGTCGGTGATGCATGCCCTAGCATCAGAGATTTTTTGAGGGCTTCTGGATGCATATCCATATTCCGCATGACAAATGCCCTCTTTCCGTAGCAAAAATTACACTCCCTTTGCTGCTCATGCAATACAGATTTTTTTGGAATCCAAATGCAGCATCACAAGTTGCATCCTTCCAGACCCAGACATTTTTGCATTTGATACCTCGAAGCGCCGGTCGCGCATCATCAACGGTATTAGAGAGGGAATGATGTCCACGTGCGGAATCCCGCACACGTGCGCCTGCAGCTCCGCCGCTACTTGGCCACCGGTAGAACTTGTAGTTGCTGCCAGCTGCACTTTTCTGCGGCTGGTGGATACCAGACTGCACAGGGATTTTTGCAGGTCCCGTTTCTGCTCCAGGTCCTCGTCGGCGTCCTCATTGACGGAATGGTTAAAGTTGTCATGCGCTGAAGTGTCAAATTGTGTCGAATAAAACTTCGACTTCTGGTCGTCGCCGAAAATTTCCTGCCCGGTACAGGTGAACGTCATGGAGTGTTGCTGGCTGTCTTCCGGCATGAAAGAATTTTCCTCCATCGACTGCTGGTGATGCTGGCAACTATCGTCCATCAGCGAGGAATCGTGATACCCGCGGCCAATTGCCTGCAGGTCGTTTATCGCAGAGGAAGATGATATCGCAGCTCCTGCTCCAGAGCTATTTTTTCGCCGATAATTGTAGCTTGTTCCACTACCAATCGCATCTGATGTTGTTGCCGTAGTTGACATAGTACCAACTTGCGCTGCGGAGTTCAGATTGTAGTTCCGCTGCTGGTTCATCTGCAGCCTTGCGTGTTGATCTGTCGGGAACAAATTTGAGGAGGTGTGAAACTGCGACTGCGAATTGGTGTGCGAAGAGGAGGACAACTGCCTGTTTCTTGCAGTGGTGCCGCCGCTCGTGGGGCTCATCCAGAACGCTTCCAACTCCTCGCTGGCGGAAGAAAGCGGTACCTGCTCGTATGAACTCGCCTCGGTCAGAATTGTGTTTTCCCGATTCAAGTGCATGGATTGTTGCGACTGGGTTAACAAGACGCTGGAAGACTGGTTCACACTGGCGCCGCCACCAAAACTGAAGTCTTCCTCCGAAAGGAACAACTGGGGGTTCTGGTGCTGATGGTAGTTGTTCAACATCCCTCGAAGATTCTTGGAGCCGCGCCGTGGTGGCGAAAGGTGGTTCATCTGCTGCTCTTGTTCTGCAATAGCCCCGGTCGAATGATTCTGCAGTGGTTCTCCGCGTCCTCCAGTACATTGTTCTGCAGGGTAAAGAACTCCTACGGTGTGACCTGAAGACACTGCTCTTCCCGCGCCAGGAGGAGCGCCTGGAGGTCCTTCTCCAGAATGATTCGCTAGAAGCTCAAGCTGTTGACCAGCACCACCTCCGTTGCATGCAATTCCAGCTCCCGAAGTAGAACCTGCCCGGGCTCGCTCCCGACTCTGTCGGGTGCTGCTCAGCAACGGCGCGCGCCGGTGGTAAGGCTTGTCTTTGAATAACGTGTTGACGTTTTCCCGAATCAGTTTTGATTTGTCCACGACTACCTCCTCGTGGAGGTCGTTTTTCTCCTGAAGATGCTGCAGCTTCTCCAGCGTGTTTTGCACATCCTGTTCGACCGATTCCCGGCTCTTTGCAAATTTATCGAGAACATCTTGTTGATCCCAAGAGGCATTAACGCCCGCGCCGTCGCTAGCATCTTCGTTTCTTGTAAACGAATTTGGGATTTGGTCCCCGCTTTGCTGTTGCTGTATAGTGCGGCTCTCTACTTCTTGTTCCAGATCATATCGTTCGTTCGACGCACTTCTCCCCGCCCTCAAGTTGTCGTGCGGTTCTAAGCTCTGGCTTTGGCCTTCTGTACTCAACATCTGCTGCTGCATCTGCGCTTCCTCATCACAGGGCGTCGCGTAGAAAATGTCCTCATCGTCGATGACAGAGGAAGTTGCGAATCCGAGGTGCGACGAGGCGTTGTGATTGGTATAGTTGCTACTCATTTTTCTAGCCGGTGAGTTGTTGTTCTGCACCTGTTGCTGCCTTTGCGTTTGCATGCCTGCTACACGCTCGTCCGCGATGATTTTCTTCTCCTGACACTGTTGCGCCTGCGGCTCTCCGTCCTCTATGCTCGACATGGAACTGGCCAGAAGTTCGTTAGACCACACGGTTTTTTTCGACGTTGTATATCCTGTGCAAAAGCATCCTGCTCGTATTGCAGTCATGCATTACAAATCTTTTTCTGAAAGTAAATTAGCATTACAAATTTTATTTCTCATGCTGAGAAACTTTGTATATGCATTTATACAAATACGATCCTTTTGCACTGCATATTGTAGTACCTGCGTTAATATTGCTCGTCCCCCCTACATGCTGTAGTTTTGATGCTGGGACGTGATGGATAATCCGACGGGAAGAAGAAATTTTAGAGGGAGAAGAAGTCGACGGATTTTGGGACGAGGATTTTGCTTCCGCCAAAACGGCTTCCGCTTCCTCTTGCAAGAACGTGGCATGATCGTCAGTGAAAAACTCCTGATCAGTTGTCAGCCCGCCCGCAGCGTCACTTTCTCTTTCTACCACCTCCTCTAGAACTCTGGTGGCAGATGAAATACAACCCGGATGTTGGCTCTGGTTGTACTGATGGCCGGGCTGGTGCGGATTCTCCAGAGGAGGAGGGCCACCTGGAAGTAGAACACCAGTCATTCTCTCCCCGCCCCGCTGGTATGCTAATGGCGGTTGTTCGTGGTCCACAGGGTTGAGATAAACCGTGCTAACGCGATAATTGTTCGTAGAAGTACCACTGCTCGTTGTAGTACCAACTGGAAGATGAAAAGAGGTTCCCGGAGGGCCGCCCGAACCCGCGGGGTGCAGTGTCGAATTCGATCCTCCTCCACCCGCAGTTCCTTGGTCCGCTGCAGTTTGCTGCAATTTCGCGAACCGATTGTGCACTCGTTGGTAGGGAAGTTTCGTCACGTTTTTCCGTTTCTTGACCGGGGAAAAGGCCTTGAAGATGCCATCAGCATTCAGCAGCGAGTATCAAGTGCAAAAATGTCTGGGTCTGCAAAAGTATAAACTTGTCATGCAGATTTTCCATAACCCATGAGGTCTGGAATGTGGGATTTAGCATGACAGAATCTGCGAGGTCTCTGCCATGCCTACCCTGCATGAGAAGCTCCCTTCCATCTTGGTCAAAAGTGGACAGCTTTTCGCACTCATGCAACACAGATTTTTGCATGCTTCAGATTTACCATGACAAGCTGCCACCTTCCAGACCCAGACACTTTTACATTTGATAGCGGGTCGACTAAATCGGAGTTCCCGCGCTTCTTCTTCAAAGAGCTTGATCGCGAACGGTTGGTCTTGCTGGTAGCAGTTGCTGCGGCCGTAGAGGATGCGGCTCCTGTAGGATCTTTATTGCCGTGGTCGTGTGTCGCTGCATGTGGAGGAACGAAGCCTTCTTCTAATTGTTCTGCTGCTGCGGTTTCGCTTGCTAGCCCGTCCGCCGGCAACCTTTCAATTGACCTCGCTTCCAACGCGTCTTCCATCGTGCTGAACGTGGTGCGGAACTTGCTTTTCATACCACCGTAGTTGTTCTGCGCATCATGTAAAGATGTATAGTTCTAGTTGCGAGCTGAGGAGAGTTCGAGTCGAATATCCGAGAAGCGAGAACCGGATCCGTCAAAAACAGATTTGACAAACCGGATCCGTCAAATGCAAATATGACATTTCAAATTTCACATTTGCACATTTCAATTTCACACTTTCAAACATTTCAATTTCACATTTTCAAATTTCAAGTTTTCAGATTTCAAGTTTTCAGATTTCAAGTTTTCAGATTTCAAGTTTTCAGATTTCAAGTTTTCAGATTGCAAGTTTTCAATTTTTCAAGTTTCACGTTTTCAAATTTCAAATTTTCAAGTTTCAAAATTTGGAGTTTCAGGTTTTCAACTTTCAAGTTTTCAAGTTTCAAACTTTCATATTTGAAATCTGCAGACTTGCGATCAGATCTCAGATCTCACGCCTCATGTCTCAGTCTTCAGATCTGAAATCTCAGAGATCAGATCTCGCATCCCAGATCTTGAGGCTCAGATCTCGAGTCTCAGATCTCGAGCCCAGTCTCAGATCTCGAGTCTCAGATCTCGAGTCTCATCGCTCGGGTCTCAGATCTCGAATCCCAGACCTCGAATCTCAGACCACGAATCTCAGCCCTCGAGCCTCTCGAACCAACCTCGGAGCCCGACTCCCAGATCTCAGGCATCACGTCGCAAACGCCACCCCTCGGACTTCAGAGCTCAGGTCTTACATCTCAGACCTCAAAGAAAAGCGAAAACACACCGGGGCCAGATTGCCAGCCACGACCTGCTGGCCAGCCTGTGACCAGGGTGGCAGATTCTTTCTCGGCGCGTGTTCTTCGGATGGCGCACAACAAAAGGGCAAACAGAGCGGGTCAGTGGTTTCTTTTGGTTTCTTTGTTCACAACAAAAGGGCAAACAGAGCGGGTCAGTGGTTTCTTTTGGTTTCTTTGTTTGTGTGGTTCGGCCTATTGTGTTAGGGACCTGGTGCAGCACCAAGCAAATACATCAAGAGAAGCAAGACAAAAGACCGGGGGGGGTATCAGACAAATAAAATAAAGGCGAAGGCTTTGGGAGTACTTCCTTCAAGGGGTGGGAATGAAAAGCATGCGCCTGGCCCGGGGGCAAAATACCAGGAAAGGGCTAGCAGTGAAGCACTAAAAAAGAAATAAAATAGTAAATTGATCGGCATACTCATAAGGGCGCAGAGGGGTAGGGAACTTACGGGAACCATCTAACGCGCGGACGCGGTAGTCCAAACGTCGCAAGGTCGACGTAGTTCTCTAACGTCGTGACCCCGTCCTCGCGATAAAGCGCGACCTGGCTGCGACTTCGCGGCCGGCTGAGCATGGTGAAGGCGATCCCATGGAGTACCCAGATGGTTGCGACGGAAATCACGTAAAGGATACCGAGGGCAACCGTGCGCCCCTGGAAGCTGTGGGTCGTGCTGACCACGCTGGCACGGACCCCGATCGCCAAAACCAACCAGCGCGCGCCCGGATCCGCGTCCACGTCTTCTTCCCAGGTACTGTTGAGCGGCACTTCTTCCTCCATCCCTGTGTCGTCAAATCGCACAAGGACGAAAGTGTCGCCGAACCCGCGAAGGATGCCGCGGGAGTTGGTCGCGTATGTGCGTTGCAATAATCTGAGTGGGCCCGTAAGGGCGACGCGCTCACCGATGAAGAGCTCCAGAGCCTCCGACCGTGTCGATTCTTCGGTCTCGAAGCCTTCAAGCAATGGATTCTGCATGTTGAGCATCAGGGGTTTGTATGTGCGGCACGCGACCCGCAGGGAACGCAAAGCCCGCGCGCGCACCCCGAGAACCCGGCGGCGTTCGCGATGGGTGCCGACAACGATCTCCACTTTGTTCAGGGCATCGACGCCGCCACCAATGCGAACACGCTCCCCAAGCCATTGGTAGGAGTATTCCGCGTCCGCAGCGCCGACCCGCCCGAAGGTGGTGAGGTCGATCTCCTTCGTCTCGCCCGTTCGAATAGGGTCCAGCTCTTCACTCCATTCCTGTGTGTCGTAGCGCGGGTTGTGTTTCCCGTTGTCGATGTAGATGTAGCGCACGCGTGGGAGGGTCTCCACATACCGGGCGAACGGCGTCGGCGATCCAGCAAGAAGGGCGTCCGTGGCTTTTGTGAGTCGCAACACGCTGGGAAGCTGGTGGGTGTCGCCGAGGAGCCCGACCTTCTTCGCGCCCCAGGGCTTCGCGCGTGCCCGGCCCGACGCCTTGCCAAGGGCCTGCATCCAAAGAAGCGTCTGATCGCCGACCTTTTTCTCCCCAGTCTCGAACCACTCAGCGTTACCCATGGCGTCCTCATCGATCAGAACAATGTCGGCCGCGCCGGCAAGTGCTTGCGCCTCTTCCCCCCAAGCCTTGCTGTCCTCGAGCTCGATCGTCATCCCGAGGCCGTCGTGCATTGTCTTGCCGCCGATGATTGTGGCGGCCTGCCCGGTGGAGGCGAGCAGAATAATGACAAGGCCCCGAAGGTAGGAGGCGAGCTCGATTGCACGAATCAGAATGGCCTTGCCGGCCCCGGCAGCTTCGTCGCATACAACAACGTCGGCGACCGAGTTAGGGGTCTCGGTGCCGCCGTCCATGAACTCATAGAAGGCTGCTTTCTGTCCGGGTGTCATCTCGATCGCGTTCGGGTCGGCACCATGGAGAAGGTTTGCGAACTCCCGCGCGTGTGCCTGGCGGTTTGCGCGGATGCGGGCGTGGTATGCGTCGACATAGTACTGCCGTCGCTCGCGGTCGGATCCAAAGGTCATCAGGTGGGTGGCCGCGTCCGGGCGGGTCTGGCGAATCGTGTGGCGGTCGATGCCTTCGCGCTCGAGCCGCTGCGCGATGACCTTCGCCGGGATTCCATGTTCGTCCTCAAGCCACTGCCATGCAATCTGCCGGGCCTCCGCCTGGAAGTTTGTGAAGTACTTCACGAAAAGCGTCAGCGGGCCGGTCTGCGGCCGCAATTGGGTGAGTTCATCCAAAAAGTTTTGAAAAACAAACCCCGCAAGGTGGGCGGGGTAATTCCAGCGCCGCATGCTTGCTGCGGGGTCGTCAAAATACTCCTCCACGTCAGCCCTTTCAACAAGATGCAGCCCACAAAGCCACAGCAGATAGGTGTCCCCGAAATTTTTGCCGCGGATGTGGGCGATCTCCCGAAAGGGGTCGCGTTTTGCGAGGATGCGCCTGGCTTTCTCGAGCGCGCCCGCCGTGTTGCCGCGAATTTCCTTCCGGTGTTCCTCTAAGAACTGGACGAACTCCCGAAGCGTCTGCAATTCCAAGACAACGCCGAACCGCGTCTCCCCGCGAAACTCTTCCTCGTGGATCGCTGGGTGCCAGTGCATGAAAGGCGCCAGAAGCCGCGCGTCTGCCGACGGGATAGTGCCGAGGGAGAACCGTTCAAGCGACCAAGAGCGATATTTTTCCGGCCGGTCGAGCCAGTTGCTGACGTAATCCGTCGGCCCTGCCGCCATACGGAAACAACGCGCGGAGTCGATGTGGTACTCATTTACGAGAATCGGACGGAGAAGGCCGTCGGGGACGTGGACCCCGAGCCGGTTGAAGCCATAGAGCTCGGCAGCCGCATCCGACGCGGGAAGCACCTGGGCCGCGTGAAGCGTCTCGACCTCATTACAGCGCCCGTCCTGCTCGAACATTTGCCAGCTTCCCTGCTCCGTGTTTTTCCCGAGGGGCTTCATCTTCTTAATCGGGTAGGTGATCACGTAGCGGACTTTGTTGGCCCCCCCGACCCCTGTTGCGTGGCAATGCGCACGAAACCGGCAGAAGGTCTTTTTGTCGATACCGACGAACATCACATCGGCGGGGTCGGTCTCGATCTGCAAGAAGCCCCGGTCGTCGAGATATGTGACCGCAACGACCACGGCAGGAATGCGCCGGAGGCACTGCGTCTGGCCGGGTCGCAAGCAGGCCGCTGTGTGGTTATGGTAGAAAACTTTGTCGGCGGTTTCTTTCCAAGCGGGGCAGTCTTGGGGAATGAAGTCGCGGCTGCGGGTAATGAATTCATCGAAATCCTGCTCGAGCAAAAGCGGAAGCAGGAACCACGTCAGAGTGTGCTGGTGCGGTCTGCCGCTGCTGGGCTGGGCCTCTTTTCCCCAAGTTACTGCGGCGCAGGGGCCGTAGATTTGCTCCAGGCTGTCCGTGTGCAGCCACATCTTCGCTTGAAAGGCGCGCACGCTTGCAGCGGGTTCGTCGAGAACGCCACAGGTGCCCCAGGGTCTGCGCGAAGCCTCGGCGACAAGTTCGCGCGTGTCGTCTGCTTGCGTCGCGGTCGTCATGAGGTCCGCAGCGCCGAGCTTGCGCATGATGGCGAACGCCTTGCCCCGCTGTTCCGCGACTTCTTCTAACGAGCCGGGCACGTTGGCGGGCAGGCGGCGGGGAAGCTTTCCCGGGTGGCTTTTTTGGTACGCTGCCGAATAGGCGAGGATGAGGCGCTGCCGCTGATTGAGGGAAAAGCGCAGGAGCAGCTCCTGGTGGAGGTCATGGAGCACGGGGCTCATCATTTCCGGGCGTGCGAAATACTGGCGGAGAAAGCACTTCGTAGTCACGTTGGCCGGCAAAGTCAGGCCGTTCACGAAAAGCAGCGGAAACTCGACGCCGAGCAACTGCTCCCACAACCGCGTCAGGTCCTCATGCTTTTGGTGGATCTTCTTCGCATCCATGTCGTGCTGCTCCTTCGTGGGGAAAAAAATCTCGGACCCTTCGCGCATGCGTCCGGCGTTTACGCGAATGGTCACCCCACAAACCCCCCCGGCGTCAAGCTCAAGCCCGAGCCCGGTAATTGGCCCCGGGTCGTTCAGGTAGCGCTGAAAATTTACATGGCTGTAGACCGGGTGCCCGCGGTTCCTCCGGGTCAGGAGCCCGAGCATGTCGGCGGCTGCCTTTTTTTCCTGCGCCCGCGGCGACTTCCCTCCTGCCGCCACCGTCAGAGCCACTTTGATCCCGAGGCAGTCCGCTAAGTAGTTGGGGCACCATAGGCCAGTCCCGAACGAGAACAACTGGGAGCCCAAGGGAAACGACTCGGCGCGCCGGCCCATGTACTTCCGCTCCTTCTTGGTGTGCCTCCGCGCGTCCCGTGGTTCATATTGGTAGCGCATCATAGCGACGTTGGAATTTGCTCGCGCGTACAGGGCGGAGGCCTTCGGAACCGTCTCCCACTCATGGATGTATTCCTCCCGGCCATCGGTCAACCTTTCCCAAAAGTCCGAGGAAAGCGCCTCCGCGCCGTCGTTGCAGAGGATGCAGGTCTTCTGCTGCTCTGTTGCAGGGTCCCACGTTGCCTCCGTATTTTCGTAAACATACACGCCACACCACTTGCACGGGGCTGCTTCTACTTCCATCTCTCCCCAAACCTCGGGCGGGTGGGGGAGAGCGTACTCCGGCGCAGTGAAGACGTTGGCCTTGATGGCGCACGGCCGGCAAAGGTTGTCCAGTTGGGTCGGGGCCTGTGGTGCTGCATCACCAGCAAGCGCCTCGAACACTTCGAGGACAGGAAAAAAACCGCTGTGGGTTAATGGCGGCACAGGGCGCGGCCACTTCTGGCTCTTCTGAATTTCCTCGCACCGAAGGGCATTGATGCGATCGGGATAATTGAAGTACCCGGCTGGGTATCGGGTCTGGCACTTATCGCAGGCGGTGCTAAATCCATTGCACACGCGGCAGCAGTCGGAGTCGTTCTCAACGTCCCGGCGGCGAAAATGACAGACCTCACACCGGTCGGGCCAGGCGATGCGCTCACTGAGTTCCAGCTTCGCCATTTTCTTTTTTGGGTGCGCCACTAAAAAGCGAAAGGACTCGAGGGTATAATTTACGTGGGGGGGTGGCTTCCAAAAATGCGCAATCCTTACGGGCGGGCGAAAAAAAATACGACAGGGGTAGACCAAAGCGCGGGGCTATTTGCTGACCTATGTAAGGCTTCGGGCGTTTCTCTTGGGAGCGCGTTTCTCTTCTTACTCTTTGTCCGATAAGGTTACTCCCATGCGGGCTGATGTGGTGCATAGCATGCGCCTAATCGCCGTCGCGCCTTTTCTCTTCTTTAAGTGTGTGAACGGGGTCGCGCTTACATCTATCACGCACCACGCCCCCCTGTTTCTATTTTGGATCATTCGCGTTGGATCTTGGGGCCCGGGCTGGGCGCGTTGCGGCGCCCTCTCTCCGACGGCCGCGGCAGGCTTCTTCGCCTGCGTGGCCGGGACAAGAGCGGCCGGATTTGCGTTGCTGCGTTCCTCGCAGGGAGGCACCTGCCGCCATGGCCTTTGTGGCGTCACGGGGCAGATGGTGGGCCATGCAAATACTACGACAAACTTTCCGCCCCCCCCCGCCATGCCTCTTCTGCCACCGCCCTCGCATCCTCTGCCTGGATGCGGGGTGGCGACCGTTGTGGCTCGGCTGGGCGCGCCTTCTGTGATCTTACTGGCGCTGCTGGCCTGCCTGGCCCCTGCCCTTGCGGTCTTCTCGACCTGCTTGGGCAGGGCCTGGGCGGCCGGCAGTTTGTTACTGCGCTATTTCCTTCATGCATGTTCTCGCTTCTCGTTTATCAAAGAACTGTGGCGACAAGAGTTGCATACTTGTAATTCGCGCTGTTGTTGATCCCCTGATTGGTCGTAGACGTAGTCGTAGAAGTGCTGCTCCCGTTATAATTTTTCGACGCATTTATCGGCGGCAGCAACTGATGCGAAGAGGAATCGGTTTTCTTCGCACCAGACGCGAAAGAGTTGGACCGCAATCGCAAACCGGAGCTGGGAAAAGCACCGGAATAAGTTGTGGAGAATGCTGCGGTGCTACTATTCGGTTGCTGGTCGAAAGGGTCGAGAAGCTGTCCTCCTCCGGAAGTTCTAGTGACCAAGTTAATGCCGCCTCTATTGCCAGCAGTTCCTGCTTGCCCTCGCGTCTGTTGACCGGCAATACCTGTAGTCGACGGCAGACCGAAGGAGTGACTGCGAAGTCTCGTGGTAGTGCTCGCGCCGATTCGACCACCCGGAGCGCCGCCCCCTCCGAAGTGTTCTCCATTCGCCCCGCCAGTCGTAGTCGCGCCGACATTGTACCGCTTTTTGTGTTGGAGTTTGTACTGGCTCAGCGTGCGCGACAGCGCGGGGGCACCGGAGGAATTCGCATTGCGGTTCATCGGATGGAGGCGGGGGTGTGATTCCTTGCGCCAATGGTGGTACGGCTATCGAACTCGTCGTGGAGTTGGTTCCAAAGCCAGTATGGCCGACTTGTTGCTGCACATGTGTAATGACTTTATTCTCAAGTTGCACTCACTACTTCTACTTCTGGTTCTATCGGCGGCTATTTTGGTCAAAGTCAAAAAAAACGAACTAGTCGGTCACTCACTCAAGCCTCAATAAGTGTTTCTTTTTCTTTGATTGTCGTGGTTCTGGCTCTCTAAACTTGACTGTTCTGAGTACAACAACTCATAGCAGCACTAAAACACGACTCACGACTAAAACAACTACCCACTTCACATTCACTTTTCTCTCTCGCTCGCAATCAATCTCGGTGTCAGCTTCGACAAAAAAAACTCGACTTCTACACTCGACGAAATAAATAGAGAAGACGGAGCCAGCTCCAGAGAGCCGTCCGCGATCAAAGTTGAAACACCCGCCGCCACAAGCCGTGCGCACGAATCATCGTCATTCTAAAACCAGGATGGAAGGAATCCAAGCCCGGCGAGGAGACATGACCCTCAGGGACTCTTTGATTACGGTCTTGCAGCAGCAGCTCCTTCTTGTTCATCTTTTACGAATTTTTCCTCTTGCACCAGCAACATGAGAGGCGCTAATGCTACACCATTCAAACGATAATTCTTCAACTGCGGGCTATTCAGATTCTCAACCGTCCACATCGCAAGATCGTCCGTTCTCAAACTCTTGGGTGGCGCGATAGCTACATCATGATCCACAGTTCTCCTCGTGGCGAATGCTTTTTCGTCCACCATGAGTACTACATCCGCTTGATGCTGTTCCAGACGAGCAGCTGCAGGACCTGTGATAGAGGTGACGGTGAGGCGTGGTTTAATGCGGCTCTTTCCACCTTCAGTCTCGTCGTGGGACGGTGCAAGAACAAACGGGCACGATGGTAGTTGTACATCAGGAGCTCGTGGGCTGTCTTGCTCTCGCCGTAATAATATTCCGATCACAGTGCATGAAATGAACTCGTCATTTTCATCGTTGGAAGTAGCCACAGATAAATTTTTGATCTGCTCGTCGATCAACTGCGCGTACTCTTCTACAATGCGCTCAAACGCACTAGAGCCACGAACGGATATTCTTGTTCCCGCGGCTGTGTGATCCACTACCTGTGCGCCTCTAGCTTTCATCACCGTAGAAGGCAAACTTACACTTGTACTTGTAGTCACGAAAACCTGCACCCAGAGCCGGGTCACGTCGAAGCGGCGCAGCAGGGCGAGGACTTTTGCCAGCGGCTTCAATGATTTCAGTTTGGTTACCGTGGTAGAACAGGAGCTGCAATCGGATAGTGCAGTGTCTTGATCTTCATGTTGCTCTACAGAAGTACTTCCGGAGCCGCGCAGAGTAATTCCATGTGTTGCGCTCCTTTGCAGGGGAGAAGCGAATTGTGGAGGTGTTCCCTGCTGTCCTTCGCGACCACCATTTCCATGCCACCGCTCCACCTCGTCTGCATCTGTTAAGACGGCAGCTGCAGTTCCCACGACCTCTTGTGCTTCTGAGAAAGTTCTTGCAAGAGCACTGCATGCTCCATCGTCCTCGTCTCCATCCGTCGACTCCGCAAAAAAATCACTGTCATCAAGTTGCTCGTGAAAAACCAGCAAGCAGTAGTCGCTTCCTCGAAGCGTTTTCTCCAGCTGCTTGTCAACATGGTTTATTTCTACTCTGCTTCTACTGCTGCCCCCCGGCGCGGCCAATCGCTCAGACAAAAGCGTCCGCACTTCCGCAATCTGGTCGCTAGTAGCCTCGGCTGCGCGGAGCTGCAATGCGGAGAGGTAGTGCTCTTGATCCAGCACCCATGTGGTGGTGGTGGTGGTCGACAACCTCCTCGTTCCTCCGAGAAGTGACGGTAGGCTGAGCACAGCCACGGTCGGTCGGCCATCGTGCCGCGAGATGAACTCGCGGTAGCTGCGGATTGACCAGGACGACGTCAGCGTGCCGAGGGTTTTGTTGTTGTAATGCGGTCAAAACTGCATTCAGCAATAAGCAAACAACGTATGTGAAGTTCATATGCGACTTCGTTTTCCTCCATCGTGACCTCAAGAAAAAAAAACTCCCTCGGACGTCAACAACATCTAATCTTTTCAGATCTGCGAGAACAACACCGAATGTACCACGACTTGGAGAAATATACCAATTTGCAACTGGTACTGACCAGCCGCGTTTCTCTTGAAACGCTTCGCCGACTTGTTCCACAGAAGATTGATACTTGCAACAAAAACCCTGTTGACCATCGAAACACACATCGTGATAGCTTTTCTACGATATGTCATGCCAGCACACAGGGAACGTTGGAAGATGTCTAAGACTCTATCCAGATTCTTCGTCATCTCAAAAAACTTCCAATTGAAGTTCTATTTTCGCCTCCTCCAAATTCCTCCAGCATCGAGGCGGCACTATTACTATCCTCAACGGGCCGGATGACCACGTCTTCCTCGATAAATTCCCGCAAATCCCGCTGTTGCGCAAACCGCTCCAGTTTCGCGGCTTGCGTCGTCACTTTCAGATTTTTCAAAATTGAATTCTCCGCGTTGTTCAGGTTCATTAAATGGAGGAGCTGTCCCTGCAGCTCCTGTCTCGCCGTGGCTTTCAAATCCTCCATGCGGTTGACAATCCCCTCGACCGCGTTGATCTCCGGTAAAGAATTTGCAAAATCCGGCTGCGCGTTCACGTCGGCGGGTAAATCAGGCAGGGGTTTGTGGTGTTCTGTGGAGATGATGTCAGCTCCGTTACTAGAACCACCTGCTGTCCTCTTGCCTTCGTGCAGCCCTACCTCCTGGCCTGTTGCCTGTGGTTCCCCGAGCGGCTGGAAGGTGACGGCTTGATTACCACCTACAACTTGTTGACCCGGTAAAATTTTTGAGCTGTTCCCTGCGGTTCTTGAAGGAGCACCTCCTGTCCAGTCCAGCATCGTCCCTGGTCGCAACGGTTGCTTGCAGTCGTGATTCCCGGCAATGTGAAACGCCTTGTCATCCTGTTTGAAAAGGAGATTCTTGATGGTGTGTTGGAAAGCACCCGCTGTTTCCTCGTGTGATTGCAGAAAAGAGGAGAAGAGGTGCTGACAGACGGACGGCATTTTTGTTGTCCTCTTTCAACTTGAAGTACTTGTAGTAAATCTGCAATGAAAAACGGAAACGAACTTTTTGTTTTTCCTGCTTTGTTCGTGAAATTTTCCATCGACTAGGCGTTTTGCTCCACTCTTGCCAAAACGAACTGAAAAACGCGACACTGTTCCAAGCCTGTGAAAACTAGTTCCCGTCAAACTATGTTCGGTTTCTTCACATCGATTGACTCTACAACCGAGTCGAAAACGACCGCGACTCGAGTTGTTGTCGTGCTAAAAATGATCAAACACGGGAAATAAATAAGCACTGCATCGACGAGAAAGTCAGAACTAAATCACGACTTCGATTTCTCAACGACTGGCGAAACAAGAAGGAGATGGCTCACATCGAAGATTTTGTGTTGTTGCAGGAAAGCAACGAGCGACTGCAGCAGAGCGAACAACAGTATTTACCACGCGGTCGATTGTTGTGTCGAAAGAAAGCTATCGTGGCATTACTGCCTCCCGCGGGAAAGTCAGGTTTTTCGATGGCGGTTCGGGTTCTTCATCTTCATCTTCGCTGGGTATCAAAAACCGCGGTCAAGTAGATACCACGGCCGGAGCCGGGGGACGGGGATTCAATTCTAATTCATTGTTTTGCATGCGAGGCTCTAGGAGAATGATTGTCGCAGTATTTTATGCGATCTCCACAACCCCACCCACCGCTTTAAACTTTTCAATCAGCGCGTCTGCATCTTCTGGTGGAACGCCCTTTTTCAGTACCTGATTATACAATTTGTAAGTATCCGTGATCTACCATGTCAATGAGCTCCCTAGTGGATTTTCATGCAAAAACAAAACCTGATTTCATCGTAGTATTTGAGTACCAATGCAAACCGCATGTAGTTTATCCTGAAAGACATCAACAGAAAAATATTAAGTATGTATACCTTCGGACACCCCTCCACCAATTCCTTCGACTGTGCCAAGCCCAGTGCCGTCAATGCCCGGACCTCTTTGATGACCGAAATTTTTTTCGGCTGGTCAAACGAAATCAACTTCAGCGTTACCGGCCCGGCTTTCTTCTTCGGCTCTTCTTTCTCGGGTTCCGCAGCGGCTTCCGCTCCTCCCGATTCGGAAGCGCCCCCCGCCGGTTGGATTTGCGGCTGCTGCTGCGCTGGTTGCTGGGGTTGCGGTATCATACCTTCAAATTGATAAGCAAACTTTTGCAAAAACATTAATCTCTCTTCGCTTCACACGATGTTGCTAAAATAATCAATATATCCGCATCAGTTGTTGATTCTAGACGCAGACAGCACCGAAACCTGCATCTTGAAGTCGAATTTTGCTCATTTGCGTGAAGGCTGCAAAAGTTGGACCTTCGGACAGCCTCGCAATTATGTTATTTTCGAAACTTCTTATTTAAACAAACACTAACCCTATTGAACTGCTCCTGATATGAAATTGCATCGCATCAACCTCGTGAGTTCACTTTGCCTTTCCCGCCCTAAAAATCAGGACAAGCGTGAACGCTAATGGTCATCGCCTGATGAACTTCATATTTTTTTTTGCAGAAGTCCCCACTTCCAAAATCAAAAAATTACTCAAATACCACCCTGCTGTGGCATCATCATTCCCGAGCCAAACATTGCCATCGGATGCGGGATATCCTCTGCAAAAGTATCGCACTCGTATAAATGCAAGTCTTGCATTACAAATCTTTTTATTAAGGCAAATCCGCATGACAAATTTCATTTCTCATGCTAAGGAGATTTGTAATGCACTTTATACTAGTACGATACTTTTGCACAGGATACGGAAACGGCATTCTGCCCGGTATGGGACTTCCGTCTCCGGGCGTGAGTCGCTCTTGACAAATATCGCACAAGTCCGCCGCCTCAATCAAGGTAAGCGACATGATCTGATCGGCCAGGTTTAAAACCCGGTCGGAAGGCTTGCGTTTCAGCTTGTTGCCTTTGGTTTCGTCCGAGCTCGTGCCGTCTTTCAGCTTGGCGAAAATCTGGTCGAGGTGTTGTAGTTGCGGCTTTTTTTCTAATCCGTGGACGTGGATGACCATGATGCGATGTTTTTTCATTGTTCCAAACGCCATTTCACATGGATACTTTTTCAACAAAACCTGAACAGCGAAAAGGAAATGGATCTCTGCCTGCATGCATTTTTGTAGAAGCATTCTGTACGTCGAACGACGAAGACGCCGCCGCTGAAGCACCGGAGAAGCATCGCAGACTTGCAAGATTCGTTGTTCGTATCCCGGTAGCTCTTGAAGACGCGGCGCTGGCGGGTGTTGCAATAAAACTTCTTGAACAAGTTCCACTTGCGCTTCTTCCCATGACAGTGACAGACGATGACGCCGCCCTCGCAACTTCTCCGACCTGCAGGCGCGAAGAGACGGCCGGGGTGGGGGGCCTACAGCTGTTCTTGACGACCGTCTGGGGCACAGAGAAACGCATCTTGCTCTTTCGCCCGAAAGACGGATATTAAGTGCAAAAGTCAAAGCAAATAAACGAAAAACCCAAGAAACACCTTGTAGTTTTGATACGTAGTAGTTCATAGAAACTTCTTGACCAAACGAAACTAGCCAAGCGATCGCTGGTAAAAAATCACGAATCTGTATCAGAACAAAATCACTGAATCAAAGTGACGAAGCAGGTGCAGGCTAGGCTTCATGAAAGAAGAAGAAGAACCAGCAGCAGATAAAAGAAAAGAATTCTTCTTTCTGATAGATAATAATTTGAGTTCGTTTTCAATTTTCTGCGACAGGAGCACTCACTCCTGTGACTGCAAGCTGCCATGGCAATAAAAAAGCTGAATTCATTTCCAAAAATCCCATGCTGTCTTCTTTGTGCTTCACCCGTCACAATAAATGCCTTCGTTTGGTTTATTCTTAAAAATTCACTAATACATTTTTTCGGCAGCAGAAAGCATGAGCGCATCTACACTCGCTGCTGCAAAACAGAAAGAATCTGTTGTTCCTCGAGCGGTCAAATCGTCCCACTACGTGTTGAATCTATCGTGCCTAATACAGATGAAAAATCAATCTTCATCTGTCACCGTCGCACACGACGAAATGTCCATGCGAAAATGCTGCACCCCCGGCGCGAGCGTCTTCACGATCGTTTCCTCATCCACACCAGCTGGTGCATCTTCCGATGTGTTCTCCTTCTGCTTGTTCTTCCCTTTGTTCGCGGACATCAATTCTCCACTGCTTTCTCGACTAGTTCCATGTTATCGCACGAAAAAACTGCTTCACTGTGATGATTTTGCAAGATCTGCATCACAAGTTTGTTGCACATGACACTGAAAATCTGTCATGCGCGCCTTCCAAGGGAAAACACGCTTGAAAATTCAATGTCTTGCAGGTGTAGCAAGACAAGTAGTTCTGTGTTCCATTTTCTGCATCACAAGTTCACAGTGAAACAGTTTTTTCTTGCGATACATGTAAAGGCGCGTCTGCTTCCAACGATGAAGTCACACGCTGTCCTCGCTCCCCACCTGGTACCCCGTGTAGTACTCCACTCGGTCGTGGCACCGTTGTTCTCGCCTCCTCTCCAGACAAAGAACTCGTGCCATGATGAAAATTATCGGCGTTGTCATCATCTTCTCCTTCGCATCCCTCGTTATACCACTCTGACAGCCGTTTCGTACTACTCGCAACCGCTGACGGGCCGACGACGTGCTGCGTTTCCTCGCTTATTCCGTTTGCTACAAGTTCGACATGATCCAATTCTACGCACGGCGAGTCCTTATCCTGATCCGACAGTGCGATGGGGGTGACAGGGAGCGCGATACTCGTTTTCCTTGCTTTCCCGGATTCCTCGGATTCCTGCGTGTACCAGTTTGTGAGCGAGACCCGGGGTTTCGCAGAGGAAGGTCTAGTAGTTGTGCTTCTATCTCTGCTGGTGGTGTTGCTGCTGGTATTGTTGTTGTTCCCCGGCAAGGCAAGTTTTGAAGCACCGGTAGTGCCGATGTTGGCACTGGTGGGTTTATTCGGTTTAGTGTTGTTCCATGGTTGAGTGTTGCTGCCACTAGAGCCCGACTGCTGGTTTTGAACGGTGTTCCGACCACTGGTTCTTCCGTAACCACTGCTACTCGAACTTGACAGCTTCACCCTCGACGCCGCGGGCGTTTGCAGAAAATTGAAGTTGTTCAACTGTGTGGTTTCTCTTGCGGGGTTGTAGACCACAGAAGAGGAGGATGACGTAGATGTGGATGTTGATGCTGCCAAAAGCCCAGACGCAGATGCACCTACAGCTACACCTCCGCCAACAACCACGGAACTCTTGGAACTCGAAGCAGACGTACAACCCGAAGAAAGAACATTTTGCGAATTCTTTTTGCTTCTGCCCGAGCTCCGCCACTTCGCAAACCGGTCGAACTCGAGAAGAGCTGCGTCGGGTTGTTGTACTACCGCGGCTGAGGAGGAGGATATTTTGCAACTGCCCCTTCTTTCATCAGCTTTCCCATGATCCGCGCTGCCTGTTTTTCCTTGTTCTGGATGGTCAGCAACATCACGATTTGTACCATGTGCGCTTTCGTTTGCTCCTTGTTCTCCTTGCTCATCCCTCGTCCCCTCCGTTGGCGTCGGAGTAGAACAACTCAAGTTGGCATTGGAAGTACTAGAACTCGATTGTCCATACGCCCTCGTCGTCCTTTTCCGTGGTTGTGGTTGTAACGTCAAGTCCTTCCTTTTTACCGGTCTTAACCGTGATTTGTCATACAATGGATTGATCCACTCCGAGTTTTTCTTCTGGCTCTGTGTGGACGTCCTCGCCTGCCGCGGGTCTTCGAATAGGGAAGTTATACTGCTAGAAGAACTCCTGCCCTCCTGATGTTCCGACTCTTCTAGATGTCGCAGTTCCCCAAGTGCCCCCGGCGTAGTAGGAGGACCGCAGGCCGGTCCTGCTTCTCGTGAAGAAGTGGTAGACGACCTTAACTTCACAGAAAGTTTATTCTTGTTTTCATTCGAGCCACTGCTTCCACTTCCGCCTAACACTGTCGGTGTAGAAGCAGAATTTCTTGCGACCGGCAATGATGAAGCAGATCCCGATCCGCCTCCTGCAACACTAAAATGGTCCGTTTTCGGCGTGGTCACACAGCTCGAAGCGCAGCTGATCTCTGACGCCGGAGACAACGTCGTATTTCGATTCGAGAGATTTTTGTTCTGCGTCGCAAAGTCAGATGGTGTAAGAGTCTGCCGCCACGAACTACTGCGGGTGAGGTGTTGCTTGTCTGCTGACGGCGTAGGAGCTAGTGCACTTGAATTTTTGCTCGTGAGAAAACTCTGATGTTGCTCCGATCGACGACCATTGAAGCTGCGCCGACCCTCTACTCCTTGCTTATCGTCAGAAAGGAGCTCTAACCCCAGTCTTTCTTCCTTGGCTGGCAAGGCAGTGCGTGGCTCCTCCAGCTCGATGTCAAGTATGGGGTAACTGTCCAGTTGAGAAGCCGCTTCAACTTCATCGCCCGGAATCGGATGGGGCTCCGGTTGCGATACCCGCTGCTCTTTGGCATACACTTCTTCAAAATCTTCGAGAAGGTTCATCTCCACAATATCCGACGGAAACGCAGCGGACGTGGCGCTGCTGATAGAAGAACTTTTGATTACACACTTAGAAACTGGAGAGGCCTCGAGACTGGTCGTGTCGATTTCGTCTTCTTCAGCGTCCTCGTCTTCACATCTGTTTTCTGCACTTGTCAAATGTAAAAGTGTCTGGGTCTGGAAGAGTACAACTTGTCATGTTAAATCTGAATCATACAAAAATCTGTGTTGCATGATTACCAATATATAAAGCTGTTCACTTTTGAGAAGGCCGAGAGGCAGTTTCTCATGCGGAAAAGGCATGGTAAAGATCTCACAGAATCTGTGATGCTAGGGCATGCATCACAGACCTCACACTTCATGCAAAACGTGCATGACAAACCTGGCAATCTTCCAGACCCAGACATTTTTACAATCCATAGCACTGCTCTCCTTGTTGCCATTTACCCCCTCCACGATTGGTTCCTTCTCTGTCGCTATGCATTGCAAAAGTATCGTACTAGTATAAATTGCATTACAAATTTTATCAGAAAGAAAAGTGGAATTTGTAATGCTAATTCAGGTAAAAAGGTAGGTTCGTCATGCAAGATTGCAATTAGTACGAGTACGATACTTTTGCACAGGATAGCCACTTGTGTTGGGGCAGATAGGACCTCCACCACAGGCTGCTGTGTAGAAGCCACTCCAATATGACCCTCCCCGCCACAGCCACTGCTCGTTGAGGATGAGGATACTGCAGCTCTCGTCGCGGAGAAAACATCACCCGAGAAGTCCTCTCCATCTGTCGTTTCCCGACCTGCTCCCAGAGCGCCGCACGCACTGCTGCTAGCGGTGGAAGAAGATGAAAAACAGCTGCTGCGTTTCGCAGTGCAAAGCGACGCATCTCCCTGTAAGACAGCGGCTTTGTCCGCGGGAGTCACCGTCCACGAGTTGCTGCAAGTGTGGCGTGCATCTGCAGTAGTGCTTGTAGTGGAGTAGGCCCTCGTGTAACTGCTGTCCCGAACTGATACATCGTCGTCGCAGCTGCCTTTCATGGCACTGCTTGACGCTGTGGTTGTCCCGACCACCGGTGGCAGATACACACTTGTCCGAAACTGCTCCGGTAGTACAGCTGATTCTATACTCCTCCTGCCAGTCGCCATCGTAGTTCCAGTGCTCTCGAGGTGGGCCCGGTCCTCTTCACAGTGAAACTGAAATGCTGCCGACGAGGAGGAAGAAGTGCTGCTACTGGTTGACCGATGACTGCTCGAACACGCATCACTCGCAGTTGACACGGAAGACGCGTCGGAATTGCGATAGGTTGCTGCATCAGTGTCTTTGGCAGTATTTCTACTTCCAGAAAAGGAAGCTTCCTGGACTACACAAGAAGCTCCCCTGCTGCTGCTGCTGCTTTTCGAGCAACTGTCCCTTGTTCCAACTGTCAGATCCAGCAGCGACTCACCAACAGAAAGCGAATTGTAAAAGTCGTTTTCTGACAACGTGGTGAGATGGCCCCGGGTTATCGTGCTCCCTGCGTTGTGCGATGCAATTCCGCCGGTTCCACCTGGAGAAGGAATCACCGTCGTATCGAAGCTGCAATCCTCGCTCTCCCTTCTCCCCCCGACCCCACACACGCGACCGCATCTTCTGCGGAACCTCTGCCAGAACGAAGGTCGGCTGCGGCTGGAAGTAGCAACGATAGCGCCGGGTGAGCGATCCTCCATATTGCGGTTGTCTACTTAGTTGGGGCGCAGTGTGTCGTGACACAACCAAAGCGAAAGAACTCTCAAAAGGTCAAAAGGCTAGAGTATCGTAAACCCAACGTACCTTCACTCCACGATATTACAGAATACGCGATGAAACAACGACAACAACGACTCTGTCTTACTTTCGCAAAACGAAAAAAAAGAGAATTTCAGGAGCAAATCGGAATGCAGTTCTGATCGCACGATGTGGCACACGAGGAAATTAAGATCTCGGCACGGATGAATTGGACCGGTGTATACACAAATGCCTCCGGATAGAATTCAATTGTGACCGGGCGAACACTGTCATTTCGGATAGAAAAAACTGCTAGGTGTATTACTGCACAGGGTAGCCCGGCGCAAAGTGCATCTTTAAACATATTCGAAATTTTTCCTTTCTCCAACTACCAACGCGATTCCGGATCTTAAAGTGTTGATATCATCCACCGGCGGTGCAAAACTTTCGTAGTGTACACAGTCTTGTCTTCAAAATCGTTGCGGTCCTTGGATTTGAATGTGTTGCGCACGGGACAGCGACAGTCACAAGAACGAGAATCAGAAAAAATAAAAAATTGTACGGCCCACAAAACCCATTTACTCCGCAAAACGCGACGTGAAAACGCGAATCGCAGAGCGAAGGGCGAACTGCCTGGGGGAAGCTGGAATTACAAAACGCCAAAATCATATCCACAGGCAGCTCTACTTTGTGTTTATCCAAACAAGCCGTGTAGTTTCTTGTAGCGACTATTGTGAACACGGTCCGCACAGGTAGAGCTTTCCTTCCCGGAAGAGGAAAAAAGCTCTAGCGGGCCGCGCTGTCTGAATCGCATAGGAGAATCTCTGATCTTGAACTCTCTGATCTTGAACTACCACAGGATTTTCCCAAGCAGACACCAACATTTCTATACACGAAAAAAGACCGCGTCTGCGCATATCAAAATAGCCCACCGAACCAGGTCCCGTCATCGGACCCCTCCGGCTGCTCGTTTGGATTCACCCCCTGTTTCTTCACAGCCACGCTCCCACTATTGGGCTTGCTTTCCAGCTCCATTCCTATCTCCCCCTCGATCTCATCTATGAGACTTTCAGCCTTGCTTTCCCGGGCTCGCTCCCTCATCGCGAAGAACGAACTACCTCGCAATGGCGGGATCTTGGCGTGCCCCTGCTTCCCAATCGCGCCGGTGTGGAAGCTTTGCATTTGTTGAGCTGAGATATTAGCAGCAGTCGAGGCGGTAGTGGACGACGGCGGTCTCCTGTTCATCGCGTTAGAGTTTGTTCCTCGTCTACGTATCAACTGTAAAAATGTCTGGGTCTGGAAGAATCCAACTTGTCATGCTGATTTTGGATTCTAAAAAAATCTGTATTGCATGAGCAGCAAAGAGAGTCCAGGTTTTGCTACACGGAAAGAGCATTTGTCATGCGGTGTAGGCATCAGGAAGGCCTCACAAAATCTGTGATGCTAGGGCATGCATCACAGCCATCAGGAGTCATGCAAAATGTGCATGACAAACCTCGCAATCTTCCAGACCCAGACATTTTTACATTTGATACTACGGCTATTTCTATCAGTGCTCCGTCTACTCTTCCGCCCAATCGCCACGCCCAAGGACTCTTCGGCTAGTTTCAGGCTGCTGCGGGCTTTCGCGAAATCCCTTTCGTAGTCGATAATATCTTCTTCGGAAGATGAAATCTGCTTTGTCAGTTTGGCGCGGTCGTTTTGCAGTTGTTCCTGCTGCTGGTGGTACACTAGGGCAGAAGTATCTTTACCCTTACTACCCAAGAAACCACGGTCCTCGTCTCCGCGAATGGAAGATGATCTTCTGTTAATCGATATCGACCCGCCGTTCAGACTATACCCACCTACTGAGCTGCGAAACGGCCCGCGGCCGCTGTTGTCTTTCCTCTTTCCCTTGGAACTAGCAGTGGTGGCTTTAGGTGACTTTTTCTTCCTTTCTTGTTCTCCTGTCGCCTCACTAGGTCTATCTTGCAGGTACTTTTCGACATTTTCGTATCTTTCTGGAAACAACACTCTATGCGTTTTCCGAATCACCGACGCAGCTGGGTGGGGGTGGAGGTCTTCTAAGTTATTTTCGTGAATATCGTAATTTTTATCCCGGTCGTCGTGGAGTAGAGTGGAGGCTTTGGAGACGGAGGGGGAATTCGATTTCGCCCGCGCTTTCTCGTTTTCCTTCTCTTTATCCATGTAATCCCTTATTTCATCCAGCATCTTGGCGGAACGCTCGCCTGTTTTTTAGTAGATGGATCTGCATTCTGTCCGCAAGAAAAAGGATAAGAGCTAGAGTATCAAGGAATGAACCCTGCTCCCCGTTACACTTGCGTCCTCTATTTTAGGTCTTGTTGTAGCCGTATGAAGCTACGAAAGGGAAACTTGTCATCGGATATGCTCAAGACCGCATAATTACTTATGCCTTTTGGTAGAATGGCGAACATTCAATTCTCAGGCGCGACGCAGCTGCACGAGAACGATCATTGCCACACTGTCTGTACACAAAGATACTTTATTCACATCAATGCCAGGCAAAAGCAGAAGCAGGCGCGAAGTTCAGTGGGAATGGTGTAATATTATGCTTTGTCCGCAAGAAAAAGGATAAGAGCTAGAGTATCAAGAAATAAACTCTGCTCCCCGTTACACTTGCGTCCTCTATTTTAGGTCTTGTTGTAGCCGTATGAAGCTACGAAAGAGAAACTTGTCATCGGATATGCTCAAGACCGCACAATGCGTTCTAGTGTATCGCCGAACGTTCAATTCTCAGGCGCTAAGCCGCTGCACGACGAGAATCTGCGCTCATTGCCAGCCTGTATGCACCAGAGATACTTTCCAATATGGAGCTGTGCCGACTGTTTTCAGAGTCTGAAAGTAACACACCATGAGATTCACGGCGGTGCTACCCGCGTGACCCGAAGCTTTTTCTGCGTCCCAATGTAGCCGGCTAGCATAAAAAAGAATAACTGCAGAGCCGGATATGCTGGAGACAGTAGGTCTTTTAGTACGCATGCCCAGAGAGAACTCCCATGCGGAGATAGATCTCGTACTGTTACAGAGAGCAAAAATTGAATTCAAAGAGAATTGTCCCTTGCTTTGGATACTCGCTTGCATATGAAGGAAAAAACGCAAGCGAATTCGAGAGGCGAGAGTTCGGATTCTTTTTGAGCGATTGGAGATCCCAAGGGTATGAGAAAGAGACTCGTCTCGCGGAAACCGCAAGACGAATCCCAAGAAAACCACGTGGGGTACTATGATGCTCGGTTTTAGAACCTCTAGGTAGAGATTTTTCATGCGGAACTGCAAAGAAAGATAGGATCTGTCATGCAGAAAACAACAAATGCAATACCATTTCCCCAGATGTCGTCTGCGTCCATTACAGCTGGTGTGAAATTGTCCGGCGGACAGGTAAAATCCTTTCCACATTCAGGACAGGAAACCCGCTGCCACGGATTACCGGAAACCTGGATAAGAGTTTGGTCTTGATTTTGACTTGCCTCATGCAGTTCGACATTAAGGAAACCATTTTTCATGAGGCAAGACGCAATACAGGTTTCTTCCTTGTCAGATAGCGGTACTGAATTATTGGCTTTCTCCTCACTTTGCAATGAATCAGAAATCGTTCGTCAAATTTTGCTTCATCATTCTTGCTAACACGAGCAGAGATGTAAGTAATGATCGCTCCTCTTTACTGCCATGTTAAGTGGCTTCTGCAATACAGATTCCCCTAAAATATTTCTGTCAGATAGCGGTACTGAATCTGGATTTCTCCTCACTTTGCAATGAATCAGAAATCGTTCGTCAAATTTTGCTTCATCATTGTTTCATTCTCTCTTGCAGCTCTCCGCAAGAGATGCGCTTTTTGTCATGCGCAGTACAGCTGAAAACAGCTAAATACCAGTGACAACATCTTGTAGGACCCACCAATTACACCGGTGTTTTACCAAAGTGCCGGACGTGCTCAGACCACAGAAAAATCGAGGTCTTCGCCCATCCGAAGGCAGAGATCCAAGCTATTTTAGAATCGCCGAAACGAGGATGCAGATACGGTTAATTTCTGACGAAAGAACCTGCAACCTAGCTGAGGGATTCGAATTTCGTGCAGGATCATCCCCATGACAAGATTTTTTTGTCATGGGAGAAAGCACATCACAGATTTCTATGGCTATGTCACAACATTCTCAGCATTAGCATGGACAATATTCTGCGTATCCATCATGAGTTTGTGTTGGACTCAGACGGAGGCATTCGAAGTTTCTCATCAGGATGTTGTTGGACTAAGTACTACCGCTTCTCGAAAAATCTGTATTGCAAATGGACTCCGATTTCGGATCGTGAACAGTTTCAATTTCGTGAATTTTAAGAACGTTTGCCAAGCATGATCACACACATCTATAATACCGGCGCTCCGCATTTTGGGCAGTTGGTATCAACCGGGTACCGGCCCGCTAACTTGGCACAGCATATTCTCACCTTCTCGGCACAAACGGAATACCAGGGTCGTTCCGGTGTCACCCCCGCCGTGACCGCGGCGATATCCGGGTCGTTTGCGGCACCAGTGGTCCTCACGTCGAGAAAAGAAGAAGCAGCGCTGCGAAGATCTGTGAGAACGGAAGGAGATTGGGCGGGAGTGTTCGACCGAACGTCCTTCTCTTCAGCCATTTTTCCGGCTGGACTACGGTGCGGGGTCTAGCGGAAACATGGTGAGTTGCGACAAACGGGGTAGTTCATACAGAGTGAACATGCTCAACTCAAATTGTTTCGGATATTTGACGGCTGGGCTTGCACACAACTAACTAATGATAATCGGCAAAACTACAGCAAGAACGAGGTCGGGGTACGACTCGACTATTTAGAGGCGCACAACAGGTAGCTGCTTCAAGCGGTGTGAGGACAAACGAAGCTGATAACAGCCCTTGCAACATGGAAACTACAAAACCACGATTGGAACTAGTTGAAGCCACGAACGCGCGAAACGCATGTACAACTACCGAATGACGCATGTACAACCGTCTGACGAACGAGTACTGAAAGAGGGTGCGGCACGACGGGTAGACTACTCTGGGAGGAGAAGGACGAACGAGTGGACGAAACGTGACGATGGTCTGTTTGGAAAAGCCGAAGAGCACGCGACAAACCGACTTGTATCACCAGAAGCAGGACCGAAGGGGAACTGACGAAGTGAGAAGCGACAAACCGAACTACTCATCTAGCTACCACGTGGCGTACCGAAGAGGGAAAAAAGTTTTCTACAATTGTATAATTCAGACGACATGAACAACGAATAATTTCAGTCGAAAATAACGCCACTGCGGCTCGCGCCGTCGCTACTCCACCGGCTTGCCAGTGCCCGCAGTGCAGCTGCTCGGGACACACGGCAGCCCTCTGTTTTCTTGAAAGGAATTGAGAAAATAACCTTCAATTTCTTAACATTTCCATTCTTCACCTCTGGGAATTGTTGTTGTCCTGCTGTTATCCGAACCTTTCTTGTCATCATGCCGTACGATGTACTTAGCTTCTGACAGAATTGTTCCAAACAGCCTTGCCAACGAATGTCTTGTTTTGTTTGTCTCAGTCTATCCGCATCTTCTAGGATGCCGTGCTACCCAAGACATAATCAAGTAAAATTCTACTCTGCAGAGGCGACTTTCACACGGCCTACCACAGCTGCGCTACTAGCCGCGTACAAAATAGCACGAGATCCTTTGTGTAGGAACAAAATTCTACCAAAAAATGTGAATCCACACATAATTTGAGTGACAAATCTTTTCCAATCCTCGTACTACCAGTCCACTTAGTCCTTCTTGACGCGTCCGTAGAACTTGCGCTTCTCCTCGTAGGTCTGGAAGCGGCCGTGTCCGATCTTGGAGGAAGTGTCGATGAACTTCAGGGTGATCTCTTCCAGGGCGGCGCGCTTGGTCTGCGGGAGCAGGGACTGACGCAGGGTGACGCAGCGCTTCTTGGTTCCGGCGACGGAGCCCTTGATCATCAGCCAGTCCTCCTTGATCTCACCGTAGTGCGGGAACCCACCGAGCGGGGTGATGTTCTTGTCGGTCAGATCGTGGGTCGTGTTCGCGTCGTGCTCGTCCTCCTGTTGGGATTTGTAGTGCGGGAAGGGGGATGAGAAGAAAGATGTTGTGATATAATTATCCATGGACAAACACATTCCGAGTTGTACGATTACGTCAATTTTGCAAACAGAAGTAAAACCGTAACCGATATAATAGTTCTCGAAGTAGTTCTCATGCTAGTATTAAAACAGCAAAAGATCGAAACACACAGTCTCCCGTGCAAGAAGAAGCGAATCAAAAAATAAGATTCTTTACCTTGTTTCCGATGCGGTAGATCTTCTTGTTGATTTCGGTTCGGTGGTGGTAGCCGTTCTGACCCGCACGCGGGACCTGGAACTGCACGCGGGCCGGGTGCCAGGCACCGATACAGGCGACCTTGCGGAGACCACGGTGGGTCTTGCGGGGGAGGCGGGTGACGCCCCAACGGGTGACGACGCCGTCGATACCGCGACCCTTGGTCACGCCGATGATGTCGATCATCTCGTCCTTCTTGAAGACGTCCGAGACACGCACCTCCTTCTCGAACAGACCCTTAGCGAAGTCGACCTGTGGGTAGGAGAAACGCAATTTGTAATGCGAAAACAACATGAGAAAGTAAGAAAAAGGCGACTCTCTGTAGAAAACTACCGACATGCTGGTGGTTGAACTAGGACAACTACATGATCATAAATGACTCTTCACATTACGACGCCCTCTCCTACTCCTACGTCATCTTTTCTATGCCAAAATCCTATAACAGTGTTTGTTTATACCTTGGCAGAGATGTCGGAGCCACCGTTGATCTGGATCTCCTTCAAGTGCGCCTTCTTCTGGCCAAGCTTGCACTTGTCGACCTGGGTGTGGCACAACAGACGGATGGTCTTGCAGTACTTCTTGGCGCGGTCGATCTGGGCGTCCATCTCGTTGGCCTCGAACTTCTTCTGGTAGTGGGAGAACGCCTTCTTCTTGGACTTGTACCTGTTTTTTGACAAAAGTATAAGCAATCACGCATGAGGAGAGGAAAAATAAAAATCGTTGTCAAGTCTGCATGAGATGAAACTCCTACTCAAAGTTTACTGTCAACCTCGCTGTAAAAAGAGCGTCAGCATAATCTTGCTTTGAGATGACTACATGAGGAGAGCCTCTAGTAGTCCGGTTTATCTACTTAAATCGCAACATCACAAGTTCATCATCTTCCTGTGATAGAAAAATTATACCAGTTCTTGTAGAAGCGACGCTTCAAGTTGTCGGCCAAGTGGGCGGCGAAGACGGTGGTCAGTGCGCGCGGACCACGCGGGGTCTCCACGTATCCGACGAAACCAACGGCGACCATCGGCGGGGCCTCCAGGATGGTGACCGGCTCCACGACGTCCTTCTTGTCGACCTTGGAACCCGGGCGGGCGACGGTGCGCACAATGTGGGTCATGCCAGCCTTGAAGGCCATAAAAGCAGTTAAATGGCAGGCCTTGGAAGCGTCGTCCTTCGGGAAGGACTTGATCTTGCCGTAATGGTGCTTGGTGCGCTTCTTCGGGAGGAAACCCAAGTTTCCGTGGCGCGGGCACTCGAACTTACGATGCGACATTTTGTGGTAGAGGTTTTTGTTTGTGACTTGATGCGTTAGTGCTGAGACTTAAATTCCCGTTTGAGAACGGAAGTGCGTTAAGAAGAGGTTATTCTTCCCTTCTTTGGTCCCTGTGGTGGTGGTGGGTGAGGGTCGGAAGGATTATGTTTATGAGGGGTTTTAAAATTGAATGTGATGGATCGTGCGAACTACATTTCATCTGCAAGATCTTCTCGCGGTTTATTTGTCTCCAAATCCAGTGTATTTCCGGTTTCATCGTACCGAATTTAGATCGCAGTAGATTGTCATCACTTCAGAACAAAGAGCGCACCATCGAAACTCGTTTGTTCCTTGTCATACAAATCTTCGGAACTCAGTTGTGACCTTTAGATCTCATGCTGCTACAACATCAATTCAATTTACCTAGAAGATCCTCTGCGAGATCAAAAGAGCCGAGCCTTTTTAATGCAGATCTGCATGGTCAACATGATCTCGGTGTGTACGTATCAATAAAGCTAGCTAGGGACCGATTTAGATCTTGGCGCGTCAAGGAATTGTATCACGATCGCAGTTACCTTTCAATTTTGGCCGCATTCTTTCGAGGTCGTTGAAACGGAACGGGCTACACGGCTCCTGCAGCCCCACAGCGCGCGTCGCGGTCAGGCTGTATGCTGGCGCACGTAATCTTCGCTGAAGCTTCTGGATTTGCGTATGGTTTATTTCGAAAGCATGGCACAGACTTGTCGTGTAGTAGGACGTGCATTTATTCATCGACTAAGCCAGTTTTGCCATCTGATAGGTGAACTGTGAATTTAAAGGATTGAAATTTGGATACTTATTTGTAATCCGACATGATCTTCAAGCTCGAAAAACATTAAAAAGACAATGCGGCCGCTCGTCATCCTCATCGCAGAAGTATTTACACATTATTCATTGCGCGTAGACAAGTATCATCATCCAACTATACGTCGCTTTGAGTTCTAGAACAACCATTTCTCCTTCTAACTCCTATTTCCTGGTCATGTGCAGGTCAAACCAGTCGCTCCCCTTCAATATCTCCCGCATCCAGTCTATGTCAAACAGCAGCTCGTCCCGCGTCCGCCACCTTGTCCCGAACTTTGCATCCACCGCTAATTCCCCAAACAACCCCGCGCCACAGGGTTCATCTCGGTACAAGCAGATTTTCGGCGCGTAGATGTACTGCCGCGCAATTTTGAACCTGTTGTAGCCCAACGCTTCCGCCGTGGGAAATACCGACCGCGCGAACGCCCGCATGCTGTCTATCTCAATCGAGATGTACTTCGGCGGGTCTATTCTAGCGTACACCGGCGGCAAATTGTCCCGTGGCTGCACTTTCCTCACGTAAAACCCGCCTTGCGTCTCCTCGTAAAGGGAAAACTTGTTGATGTCCCCAATCTTCTTGTTGTTCTCGTACCAGAGGTTCGTTTTGTACTTGAACAGTTCTTCCTGTTTTTGCTTTCTCTCCGCCTCTGATAATTTACCTCTATCTTCCTCCGCTGTTTCACTTGCAGAAGTTGTTCCTCCACCCCGCGCGGCCAATTCCGCGGAGAATTCGTTGTGCGCCCTACTATTCCCGCCGAACAACAATTTGGGGTCGTTTTCGTCGATATATTTCCCGTCCGCCCGTAGTTCCCGACTGCTGGATATGCCTTGCACATGTGTCTGTGTCTGGAAACTTGTGACGAGACGCAAGGAACTGCTAAGCATGACAAGTTTTTTGCATGGTCCTGAGTCGCGTATTCCGCATGAGAAACTGCGTTTTTGCACGACAGGGAGCAGGAGCTCTTCGCGGCCACGCAATACAGAGTGCAGAGTCATGCCAGACTAGCATGACAAATCTCGGAATCTCCCAGACCCAGACATATTTGCAGTTGATACTTGATAAAACGGCCCGGGATTTTTCCACCCAAATTCCGTCGGTTAGGATCGACCTCAGGCAGTCCTTGCTGTTCTCCTCCACGTCGATTTTCAGGAAATACGGCATGCCGAACTGCTTCACCAAGCTCGCGCAGGACAAGCTCGGAATCCACTGCGATTTTATCCGGACGTTCCGTCGATGCTGCGTCGTGCCGTCGGAAACGAACATCGTCCGCCAAAACATCTCGTCGTTATTCACCAATTTGCTCGTCTCCGCCCGGGGGGAGAGTTGCACGAACGTGCTATTCCGGTACAGATCCTCTATTGAAAGGAAAAATCCCCCCTCCCCGTATTGAAAAGGTATGACTTCGAAAATTTGCGTTGCTGATTTGAGGTCACAAATCATATTTGTCTTGCAAGAAGACAAGGGCAGGAACTTTCGCCCCATTATGGAAGCGATTTGTCATGCTCCTGGGTCTAAAGGGGAGCCGTTTGCCATGCTGAACAACTAGACACATACGCCCCTATCTAGCCTGGAGATCTGCCCGCAATGCGTCTCTGCAATACAAAGCTGATTTGTGTACGCAAATCAGCAACAGAAATTTCCATTTTGATATGGGGAGGGGGGGTTTTTCATAGTGATATCCTCCGCTTTTTCTTCAGAGACAATGGCGTAGTTCAGTAAAATCAATTGCCCGGTGGACAATTCTTTTTCAAACTGCTGCCGGGCACGGAATATGCATTGCAAAAGTGGTATCGCACTCGTATAAGTGCATTACAAATTTCCTTAGCATGAGAGATAACATTTGTCATGCGGATTCATCTTAAGAAAGAAATTTGCAATGCATTACTGCAATACTTTTACACAGGATACGGAAAATGCTATTCGGATTCGACTCGACGGTGACGACGTGGAAGCCGGAGTGCAGGTAGAACATGGTGTCTGCGCCGAGGCTATGCATTGCAAATTTTATGTCTGGGTCTGATCCAACTTTCGCATGACACCGCAGGTTTAGAATGCGAGTCTTGGCATCACAAGCTTCGCGTAGGGGTAGGCTCCTCAAAACTGCCAATCCTGCATGAGAAATGTCACCTTCAAGAGGTAACCCGAAAAATCGAGTGACTTTATTTGCTACTCATACAATGCAGATCTTCATCTTTGTGTCAACGAGACCTAGCATTACAGACTTGGACTCTTCGGCCAGATCAAAGTAGACAGATTTGCGATGCATAGAGGCCCATACCAACGTCTAAGATGAGGTAATCGTGCTTTTCCTTCAAATCTTTATCCGGGGAAAGACACCCATTCCCATCCATTTTTTGTATCACAAATACTGGAGCTTATGCATGTTCTGAATGACAAATTGGATGGGGATGGGTGTTTTTTCTTGAATAATCTTCGGCGGATTCTTCCAACTGGAGATCGGCATCTTGCTGGCCTTCTTCCTCGTCCTCTTGGTCTACTGCATCAGATGTTGATGAAGCGCTCTTTGAAGAAGTAGAAGATGCTGCACCGGTGGCAGCAGCAGAGCCTGCTGCGCTGCCCTTCTGACGGTCTATCATTCCTGCAGGTATCGAGGTGTCGGTCTCGGTCTCGCTGTGTTCAGAAGTTGTAGGAATTGCGTCGTCGCAGAAATCATACAGAGCTTCCTCATCTTCACTCCCCTTTTCGTCAGTTTGCTCTTCCCGCACCAGAAATTCCGTCTCTTCCGCAAACACCTCGGAAAACCGTACCGCGTCCTTCACGTGGAAAACGAGTTTTTCCATGTTCCAAAACGCGGAGCGCTTCGTTTGCTTCACCCAGTTGCCCAGCCAAATGGAACTGTCAAAGTCAAAGTGCATGACGTGGGCAAGTTTGTCGTAGATCCCGTTAATCGGAACGGCGTACAGAGGCTCGAGTATGTTCAAACTCTGGTCTACCGGATACACTAAGTTCGGGTTTGTTTTCAAAGTTGCCTTTCTATTTCTCGTGTTCGCTTTCTTGGTTTGGTAGAGACCCACCTCCCTAGAAGAGGATCTCGATGCAACGGACGAGGATGCCTTAGCAATTGCACTTTTTCCGGCTCTACTACCTTTGAAAACTTTATCGTCGGCACTGCTGCCACGACTGTCCCTTATTCTCTTCCTACAGCTTGCAATTTTATTGCTTTCGACTCTCGTAGTTCCCTTCCCTTTTCCTTTTCTTCCGTCGCGATCGCTATCTTTTGTGCCTTTATTTCTCCTCTTTTTCCGCCACTTCTTCTTTTGCTTTTTTCCTTTTTCTGTATCTCTGCTATGAAAATCGCCGAAATCGATTCCCTTCTTCGCGACCATCTCTTCCGGCGGTCCGTTCGTGCCAGGTATCACCGCCCACAAAATGAACCCGGTAATGGACAAATACCGGTAGCCGAGCTGGAAAAAGTTCTGCATCAAACTTACCGGAAATAACATCTGCTTCGGGTCCCGGAGGGTTGTTTCCGCGATTGCCGTACTGCCGTCGGGTTCGTCTTCGTCTTCGTCAGAAGAAGTTGATGCTGCAATGGTTTTCGCGTTGCTGATTCCAGCGTGAAGGTCAATGTCAGTTTTCCTCTTTTTCCTCTCCGCCTCTATCTCCTGCTTCAGTCGCAGTCTCTTCAACTCCAGCTGCCCCTTGATCTTCATATTTGCGATGGAATGGACAAAATGCGTCTTCACGTCGGGTGTTGAAGCTGTATCGCTGGATTCTGGTTCTTCGGAACCTCCATCGTCAGAAGCCGCTTGCTCTACCACCCCACTGTCGCTGTTTCCGTCGTGTTCCACCTCCATTTCTACCAGGCCAGCACCCGCTCCCTCCGTGTCGTTCTTTACCCCGAACAGCGTCATGCTGCCGTCGCCACTGAAAAATTGCGACTTCGTGTGCTCTATCAAATGTAAAAATGTCTGGGTCTGGAAGAGTGTAGACTTGTCATGCAGATTTGCCATGACCCATGAGGTCTGGAATGCGGGACTTAGCATGACAGACTCTGCGAGGCCTCTGCCATGCCTATTCTGCATGAGAAACTTCGTCCCAACTTGATCAAAAGTGGGCAGCTTTTGGCACTCATGCAACACAGACTTTTGCATGCTTCAGATTTACCATGACAGGTTGCAATCTTCCAGACCCAGACATTTTTGCAATTCATATGCTCCGTGATACTCTGCCCCCGGTCGTCCACGGCGAGTCGTTGTCTGCCGCGCCCTATGAAGTGCAAATATGTCTGGGACTGGAAGAATCATGCAACTTGTGATGCTTGTCTCACATGCCTTTTGAATCTTTAATGCGCGGACAGGAATAAAGCCTCTTTCCTGTCATGCAAAAACGCGGCTTGCCATGCGGATAGCGAAACACAAAGGACCCCATAAACTTGTCATGCGTGGCTGCGTATTGCAGTGCGCTGACCATTCACACAGTAGCATCACAAGTTTTCGGACCCAGGAGGAGACATAATCTGCAATGCATACGCCCGAATTCCCCGAGGTTTTCCACGTAGTACTTCCCGTAGGAGAAGTATCCTAAAGAAAAAAGTGGTACAGATAAACACTCTGACGGAAGGCAAGCAAGACAGACAACCTCTGTCATGCAGGAAACGCTTGACAGCCGCATTTCATTTGTGTTTTCCCTTATAGTCTGCGCATCACAGGTTTTCTTTGCCATGTCGAGCAACTTTGTGATGCAGAAACTCCAACACGTGTGTTGTAACTGTATTAACACTTTTATTTTCCTGTGATAAAAAGAGGTTTAGCATGCCAGCTCTCAGCCCGGAGAGCTGGATGTACCCGGCGAAGGATCTGGATGAGATCACGAGGAACATCCTATTACCACGAAAAATGCCCCCAACCCAGAACTTGGCGGCATTTATATTTTGCGAACCTTTTCAATGGAAACGCTCCCCGTCTTGCATGTATCAGCATCAAAAATCTTGCATGCTAGAAAGCTCAAATCTGTGCAGCTGCAAAGGAGCCCAACAGCAGCCGGATCTGTTATGCAAAAGATGCCTTGCGCGTCTAGATTCTGCATCAGAAAGGCTCGTAGTCCTTTCATGCAACACAAAAAGCTTTCATCTGGAAACTTTGCATGAGAAACTTTTGCAAGTTCCGGGGTGGAGGCATTTTTCATTGTCATGCATCCGGTAGAGAAGCTGCTGGGGAGTTACTTTGAAGAAGGAAAAAAAGTCCGTGTTGAAACGGTAGGGAGTGGCCCTTTCGAAGGAGGAAAATGAGTGGTCTAGATCTACTTCGGAGGGATGTACTGAAGACGAAGTGGTAGTAGTTGCACTTGTTCTGTTCAGAGCCAGCAGTTCGTTCCACGCGGGGTGTTTCGAAAACTCGCTCATCACATCGATGTCCTCTTGCACGCAGCACGGCCAAGCCGCCACTTCCTGGTTATCGGAAGGGCGTTTCGGAACGGTGCCGGAGTTGAGCAGCTTCGGGTACAGTTTTTTTTGGACCGTGCTTCGTTTGGAGAGAGAAGAAGTGACGGGAGCTGCAGTATCATCTGGATCATTGCTTTTGCTATCCCCCGGTGTAACAACTGTTGATCGCGGCACTAGCATTCCCGCGCGACAGATTTTCAAGACGTCGAAGACCATCCGGACTGCTTGCGGAATGATCGGCATCAGGGCAGATTCTGTGGTGGAGACGAACGCGGATAGAATCAACGCGGAGAAGCAGAGTCTGCTTATAACCCGCTCAAACGTTACCATCTCAAACGTTACAATAGAATCTGGAAATCTGTGATGCAAGAACTGCATGACCTAGCCTGCTCCCATAGGATCATTGCGCATGACAAGTTTCGGAGTCCCAAACCGCGCTAGAATCTGGCGAAATTTGTATTGCGAAAAGCTCAGTCCTCTATACGGTCCTCATGCTCTTCATGCAATACAAAATCCAGACTCTATTGTAACGTTTGAGATTGTAACGTTTGAGCAGGTCAGACTATTCTGCACGTTTTTCTGGATTTCCTTCTCCCCATACCGGTTCAACACGACCTCCAACGACGCTAGACTCTGCCACTCCCGCCAGTCCGGAAAGAAATGCACCCAGTGGGCGAGGATGTACTGGGATTTCTCGTACAACTTCGTGATCACCGTGTTGTTCTTTTGGGGCGTGGAATCCGGGTTCCAGATCTGAATGTGCTGGTGCCACAGCTCGAAAAATTCCAAGTACATCGGGTTTTCAAAGCACTGCTGCCCGAACAACGGACAGGGGTCGGTTGTTTCGCGAGTTATTGCGTCGTCAACATGATCGTCGTCGTCGTCGTCGTTGTTACTAGCAGCTGCGTCCTCCGCCGGCAGCGGCTCTACTGCGCCGGCTTCCTCTGCGCGCGCAACCGGAACCACGACGTCCAGAACACCACTATTGCAGCTGAGTTGAAAACCCCCGATCCAAACGACCCACCGGTAGTAAACGAAAAGCAGCAACGAAAGGGCGTTTTTGTGCACGCTAGAGCGATAACGACGGGTTGGCATGGTGGCGATTTGTGGTATTGAAGATGGCCACGTGTTTGTTCTGTCTAAAAGTCCTAGCGACTGAACTCCATTTTACGGACGAGAAACAACACGAGCAACGTACCTACACACTGCCGCTCGCTACTGCCCGATCAGAATTGCAGTTGTACCAGACTCGAAGAAGATAACTAGCACTTTATACTTTTACGAATTTTTCCGGGGAGTGATCCCGACTTGCCGCTCTTGCTGGGCGTAGGCAGGAAACACAGAATACCATTGGGAAAACAACGAACCCTCTCTGTGGTTCCCGAGGCGGAGAGGCCTACAAAAGCCTTTGATGCATGGACTCATCAACGCGATTTTGTGATTCGAAGTCAATGTAGGTGAAATGTAAACATTTGGTTAGCGTGACGAAAAAAGAAGCCAATTGGAAATGGTAATTTTCGAAAAAGAAGACAAGTAAACAGCTACAGATAGTGTATGTGCAAAGAATAAAGGAAGAGCTATCATGATGCTCGAATAAAGAGAAGGCTATAATATGGGATCGTTTCAACGATTAAAATTAAAAAAATTAATTTTTATTTATTCAAGAGGTCATACAAAATGAAAATCATCAGAGTGCGACATGGAAACTGCCGTCGTCGCGGGCCTCCGAGGTGAACGTCTCCGGATTGTGTTTTGTTTATGGTAATGAAATAGCTAGACACGTCCCAACTTCAGCTAGTTAAAATGGTATGTAGTTGAACAAGGTTTAAGAATGCAAAGGAAGCAGGAAGCTTGGCTCCGTCTTTGCGGCCCACAAGCTGGGCGTCTGCGTGGTCCCTCGCTCTCCGGCTCGTCTGGGGCCCCGTCACGTAGCAGCGACGCTATGCTGGTTTCGACCGGTGGAGTTTATGGGGCAATGTGATGGCTTTCGAATACATCCCAAGAGGAAGCTGGTGCGGCAAAGCCTGAAAATGTGTGGCGTTGTAGTATTGAGATCTCGCACCTCAACGGACGGAGCAACTTTCGTGGTTTTGGTCATCAGTTTCAGAGTGGGAGTTCCTGAGTTCCTTTTAGAGCTGGAGGATCGCGATTAATTAGACGCCCAGAGACGTCCAAGAAGACGTCTATTTTCCGCGATATGGAAATGGATTGACTAAGTGGGAATAGCCAAAGTTAATGACGTCCCTGGGGACGTCTCTGGGAGACGTCCCGCAAGCTCATTTTTGGCATCAAAATGAGGCGCGTCAAAAGTTGACGCTTTTCCTTACGAAAAAGCTACTCTTTAGGATGCTTTTGCCCAACATATCCGCAGCGTCGCCTCCTCCACCGTTCTGCTCGCGATACTCCTGCAGGGCCTCACTGGGCTCCGTGTCGGTTGGCGTCGCCTTCTCCGGGCCCAAGATATCGGCCAGCAGCTCTTCTCTGCGCGCGTGGATCCCCCCCATGTATTTCCGGCGTCCGGAGGGGGCGCGGAGGAGGGCCCGGATCGCCCTGGCGACGTTCTCCATACCAAGGCGCTTGGTATTAGAACTGCTACTGCCGCGATGACAGACTCCAGCTTCCATATCATTTCAACTAGCTTAAGTTGGGACGTGTCTAGTTATTTCATTACCATGAACAAAACACAAGCCGGAGATGTTCACCTGGGAGGCCCGCGACGGCGGCAGTTCCCGCATCACCTTCTGATGATTTTCATTTTATATAACCCCTTGAATTGCAAAAAATTAATTTTTTTTATTTTAATCGTTGAAACGATCCCATATATAATAGCGTCGGTTACTGTGAGTGAGTGTCAGTTTACAAAGTAAGCTGTGACCGAGTCTGCAACTTGTAGAAATAGAAATTGCTCGGCGGTCGGGTCAGCAAGTAATTACTGCATGCAGACCCGCGCGTGCGTGTGCAAAATTCGAACTGGTACAACAAAAGCGAAATTAGAGAGGAAGGATTAGGAATAGGATCATGAGTATAAGTACGTGACACAAAAAAAGAAATGCGAGAAGTCGTATTTTCAAAGAGGCAAATCATTTTGGAGGATGTGGTGGCTCGTTCGCTGTTTATCACTCCTGTTTGAAATCTTCTGTGGTTCTCGTCTTCACTCGTCTGGCGTTTCACCCGTCCCAGCAAGCTTAGGCGATAAACCCGTGTCAACCCCAGCAGTTGCAGCAGGAACAGGCATTTCACCAGTACCAGCGGAAACAGATTCGTCCGCCCTGTGGCATTCTTCCGCCTGTACTCCGTTGTAGGAAAACGTCACGCGCTGCTTCAGCGCGTCGGAGAGCTGCGTGAACAGCTGCTCGTCGATGGCATTCTCCGTGTCTTCCGTGGCGGTTTGCACCTGCCCCAGGTCGAACTGCATCCGCAGTTGATTCCACGCTTTCAGGTTTGCTTTCCCGAAAATTCGGACCAGATTCTCCCACATTTTGTTTCCCGAGGCTTCGTTGAACACGTCACATTTCAGCGCCGTCAAAACCGGTTTCGCGATCAGTTCCGCGACTTTGTTGTGAACTTGCTCCGCAGTCTGAGGTGTTTCCGCAGCGCTGGATTCCGACTCGACCCCGTCCAGCGCCTTTCGCTCGATTTCCGGCCAGGTTTCGAAGAAGTCGGCGTAATGCAAGAGGACCGGCTGCTTCTCCGGTTTGCGCATCTTGCCAAGGAGGCGCAAGAATCCGCCCTTGGGCCCCAGGTTTGGCGCATGGTCCACCCATCCTTTGGCGGCCAAGAACCCGTCGAAACCCTTTTCGGGGTCGGGGGTTGCAGTTAGTGCCGTCGCCTCCGCTTCAGGAAAGAAAACCTGGTTTTGCGGCTCCAAGCTGGCAAAGGCCCAACCGACGTCAAAGCGACGCATGTACATTTCGCCCGACTCCGATTTGAAGAACCCGATGTTGCCGAAGTGGCCATCCGTATGCATTGCAAATATGCCTTGGTCTGTGACGCAAGGAAGGGAATCAATACTTGTGAGCACGCTGTAATGCGCTGCCGAGCATGACAAATTTTTCCGTGGCTCTGCTTCTGACTTGCCGCGTACTCCGCATGAGAAACTGCGTTTTTGCATGACAGGCAAGAGGAGCTCTTCGCGGCCACCCAATAGATCCAGAGTCCAGAGTCATGCCAGACTAGCATAACAAATCGAAATCTCGCACCAATCTCGGAGACCCAGATATATTTGCATTTGATAATCCGGGTCGGAAAGCAACACGGTCAGAAACAGATCCAGCCCAAGTTGGTGGATCTGCTGATGGCTTGCTTCAAAGCTCTGGAAATTCTTCCGCGCCCACCAGGCACTTCCGAAAGTGATTCGCCCGCTGCCGATTTTGCTCAGGAGTTGGACGACACCCGTGTGTCCGACGGCGGGCGTGCCAGGCGACATCAAGCCCTTTTCCCTTTATCAACCAGGGCAAAGGGAGTTTTGGCAAAACGCATGCGGCAAACAAGGCAACTACCCTTCAATTTGGGAACAGTGTCAGTGACCGTCATCAACAGTCGCGTGCACAACAGACGGCTGGCACAAAAATTACGAGTTCTTGTGTGAATGAAAACATGTTTGGATGAGACTCATTACCAGTACCAGCTCTCTCCGCGTTTGCTTATAGCAGGGCTTCTGCTACAAAATTGAAATCGTCATTGCGACAAGCACTACTGGGCTAGTGTGCCTGATTGCAATAAACCAAAACACTTGGAACATCGTTCCATACAAGGACGGCATCGCTCCACGGCTGGTTTCCCCAATCAAAATTCAGGAATTCCCGCATGCCCCCCTTGTCCAGCTCGTGCCAAGACAGCGTCATCGACTGCCCATCCCCTGAGGACATGTCGGCCGCGTAGTCCCCGAAGAAAATCGAAGCGGTGAAAAGAGCCCCTGCATCGGTTTTGACCACGATCGTCGTTCCGCCGATGCTGCGACAGTTCACGTAATCATCACAGTACGGCAGAGCACCGGGTGGGGTCGGTTTAGGACCGTGGTAAATCTGCTTCGTCACAGCCCGAAAAATGCTTCCTGCGACCAGCTCCGACATCGCGTCGGCGACGTTTTTTTCGCGTTTTTCCTTCTCCTTCGGCTTTTCGTCCTCCTTCCCTATCACATCAATGGGCTTGAAAACGGCTTTCTGGCCGGCCCGAAGACGCAGGGGCTCGCCACTGAAGTCTAACGTCTGCAAGTCGGTTGCAGCTTCAGATTGACCTTTTTTTTCAAGCTGGTAAACTTGAGCTTCGTGTCCACCGGAGCCGGGCTTTTCCAGCCTCTTCCAAGACCAGACGACCCTCGGCTGAGGATTCTTCACGTCCAGCACCTTGATTGCAAGTATCAAGATGTAATCTAGGGGAGTGTTGCGAAATGCGCGAGCACGATTTCCTGGCTCACATTGATTGAATACGCAAAAATGGTCTCTGCAAAGGCAAAACGATGACACTCACAGGTCTCATGTTTTGCGGACATAAGGCTTTGGAAGACGCAGGCCTTTAGAACAAGGTATGCACCATGTGGGTTTGTTGCATAGCTGGATAAGCAGAACAAACTATAACTAGAATTTCCTAAGCATGCATGCATTTCCTACGCCTAGAAAATCTCTCGTCGCACAACACTTCTATTTGTCTATCCGATTCTTTCCACTCGATAGTCTCCGGAAACCGTTCGGCCGTGGTCTGTCCCATTTCGGTTTGCGGATCGGAAGGAACATCGGTTTGCGGATCGGAAGGAACAATGTTGTCCGTCTCCTCACCCTCAAGGACGAGTCCTTTAGCGTCCAGCTGTTTCTTATACCATTCCAGGAATTGCTTTGAAGCATGTGTTGGCAGCTCGAAACCGAGACCAGGAAATACAACGCCACCATTGCCTTCCGAATTTCCCCCGTGGTCCACTTCCACCAAAGCGGTAGAACTTGTTGCGGTCGAATCCCATTCCTCCTCCCCGTCCGACGAATGTACTTCCCCTTCCGAACTCGCAGCCGCCTCTCCGCTCCCAACAGCACCAGTTGCCGGGAATCCCCCAGGACCCTCGTCCCCCAGCGGAGCCAGAAAGCGGGTGTTTTTCTTGCTGGGAGGTTTCGGAGAGGGTTCTTCCGTCGTAGCTCGCTGCAACTCCGGCTCCGCTGCTTCCGGGTCAAGGATGAAAAGTATCACGGAGAAAAAGAAAGGAAGAGCGAGCTTAGTATGAGTGTGGAATTCAATTGCTATGTGGATTTGGAATTCTTCAGGAAAAAAAAGGCTAGTTTTCAGGCTTGCTAGTAGGTACTCCTCTAGAGTAGACTACGACCAAGGCGAGAAATAAATCCATCACGACATGCAAACACACTCAAGAGGGCCAGCTCAATTTTATCTTTTCCGTGTGATACCTCGCACGGCCTGGACACGAGTGGTGCCGCCAAGAGCCAAAAGTCCAAATCCGATCGCGTGGGAGCGTATCAACTGTAAAAATGTCTGGGTCTGGAAGATTGCCAGGTTTGTCATGCATATTTTGAATGACCCACGACGTCTGTGATGCATGCCCTAGCATCACAGATTTTTAGAGCACTTTGAGATGCCTCTACCGCATGAGAAATGCCCTCTCCACGTAGCACAAACTGGAGTCCTTTTGCTGGTCATGAAATACAAATTTTTTTAGAATCCACAGTCAGCATTACAAGTTTAGAATCTTCCAGACCCAGACATTTTTACATTTGATAGAGCGAAAAAGCTGCGTGCGGCTCCGGTTGCTCGCCGCGATCGCGAAGGTAGCGGTTGATGATGTTGCCATGTTTGCGCTTTCGTGTCGTTTACGTTTTTAGTCTACTTCCTTAGTCGTGAATTTGAGAGTTTATGATAATTTCCGGCGCTGTGCAGAGCTCTTTTTCACTTGATGTAAAACTAAAAGGAAACGGTAGTGATAAGTTCGTGCAAAACAAATTTTGGTTTTAGTGTTTTTGTCAGAATGCTGTTTCGTCTGTGGAATAATTAGGCTAGAGAACTGTGGCGCATGGAAAGGGATTTCAAAACTGAAGTCTAGACGGCCGTCTTCCAGATCCTCTCAAAGAGTCATCAACACGAGGACGAGACTATAACTACGGAACCGAAGTTACGACGTGGCTATGGCATTATAGCACGTGATACTATAGAATCACAACCGAAACACTGCAATCAATCGTCGCAACAGACACTACATACTTTACCTCCGAGGTTTGTAGTCCTTCATCTGTGTGAGGAAAGAAAGGACGTATAGGCAGCAACCGATATTTTTCGTAATATCAGCACGCGAACAGGAGAAGTTACAACAACCGACTAGTAGACTCAGCAAGCCGATGAAACTGGTAGGAAATATAAGCAGATCATTGCGGACCGATCCTGTCGTCAAAGAGCCTTGTGATTCTGTACCCGACAGGGAAAGTTTGTTTTTCTATTGGCTAAAGGCGGGTAAAACATCAAGCAACAAACAGCTTAACCTCCTCTTCTTTTTGCAGAAGTCCGAAGTGACGCACAGAACTAAATGCACAATTGCCCTTCGTGCGGTACTTGTCATGGAAAAGATAAGGAAAAGCGGTCTACAACTTGTGCAGGAAAATAAAACCTGGACGAAACTACTGCACCAGCTGCACGAGTTTGCAATCATTATCGCACGACCTAAAACTTCTACCGTAGTAGTTTTTCTTCCGTTATTTTTTCCGATTCGGTCACCGTGCCGCCGCTTCAGCCCCGGCCCGCGCTAATGCTGCTGGAAAACTGATTTTCAGTCTGTTTATAGATTCTTCACCGAGGAAATTCATGGCAAAAGGCGCGTTGCCTTTAGCTTTAGTTGTCCTTTTGTTCATCGCATAATAAATAGATACAAGAGCATGCAACTCTTACCCATTGCAGCCCTCTCTACTACTTACTTCTCTGTCATGACGTCAAAAACGTTGTGGATGCTTATTCGAGGAGTTCGACGAAAATGATGATCGACGCACAGTTTACGAGTCGATACATAAACTGCAAAGGACTTTGTGATGTCGGCTGCCTGCTGCTGGTACTCGGCCGCCTTTTTCTGCATCTGCTTCTCGTGCGCAGTCAGGTTCTCGCCGTATCAAAGGGAGATAGTAAACTTCTGCCTGCTTCTTGCACTTCGTCAACTACAGAGCTGCCAGCATATCATGACTTACGATTTATCTCACGAGTGAATTATATCATGCTTTGCGAAAAACAAACCTTGTGGAAGCAGGAATCAATGGAAGCTGCAAAAGTTAAAGTACAAAGTTTTCTTATGTAATGCAAAAGCATCGTACTAGTAGTAATCGCATTACAAATTTGCTCAGCATGACAAATGGAATTTCTCATGCTGATTTACCTTGAAAAAAAGATTTGTCATGCACAAATGCGATTACTACGAGTACGATACTTTTGCACAGGATATTTCTCCAGACGATACGAAGATCAACCAGTTCCCGCCTGTGATCCACGGTTTCTGTTTTTCGATCTATCCTGAGTGAAAACGCCCCCACCCCATAGTGAAGATGGGCAATCTGCTACACAAATCAACCAGCATTGGCTGTTGCGCACGACAAGTTTGGCCCCGCAGTGTCATCCTGTTTAGCTAGTTATAGTAGCATTACAGATCTAGCATATTATGCTGATTGGAGCATCACAAGTTCCAAACCACGACTAGAAAATGCTTCTCATGTTGGGGCTCTGCATGAGAAGCATTTTGAGCATGCAGATCTGCATGACGACTATAGGGTTGGAACGTTTTTACTCAGGATACGATCCCGATCGCCTTCGCCGCTACCTCGTACTCCTGTCCGCTATGGATGTGTCAGGATCGAAATCGTCAAAATTGAACAAATAGTTTGTCATGCATAAAACCGATACCAGTCGGAAGCCCACTTATCAGGCGGCGCATGACAAATTTTCCGAGCATCGGAATCCAATTTGTCATGCTGTTCGAGCACAGAAGACTGCTTTTGTCATGCTAGTTTAGTAGCTCCATTTCAAACCCTAAACAGGCCAACAATCGGCCTCACTTGCCATCCCGGCAAGACAGGCACTTCATGCCTTGCATTTTGTGCATCGCAAACTATTTCAACTTTGACGATTTCAATCCTGACGCTTCCATATCCGCGCTCCCGGTAGTACGCCGCCTGCAGCTCCGCTGTGACCAGATCGGCGTGAAAGGGCTCTATCTTCTTTCCAATCTCCTCTTCCGCCGACATATCTCCCGCAGTGGACCCATTTTTCGCATATGAACTGCAAAAGTTAAAGTATCGTACTAGTATAAATTGCATTACAAATTAGCGCAGCATTACGAATTGAATTTGTAATGCTGATTTTCGTTGAGAACGAAATTTGTAATGCATAAATGCAATAATTACTACGAGTACGATGCTTCAGCATTGCATATCGCACTCCGCGCGGCGATTTTCTTCTCCGCGGCGGCGCGAATCGCGGCCAGAGCTTCCTGCGCCCCCGCAGCCGCACTTTCCGTGATTTTTACGTTGATGTCGCTCAGCGTTTTTTCGTATCCTGTGTAAAAACGTCCCCACCACAGAGTTGTGATGCAAATGCGCAATGACAGGAGCATCTGTAATGCGCATACCCATGAGAGGCATTTCCAATCGAGTTTTGGCATTTGTGATGCTGTAAACAGCATGAGAAAGTGGTTTTATCACGCGGATTCCCTTGCTAACCAGCACAACGCTGCAGAGGAAAACTTATCATGCACAACTCCCAAAATTTGCAGATTTACCGACTTGACTATGGGGTGGGGACGTTTTTGCTCACCATATTTCGTACTCCGTCACCAGCGCCCGGGCCTTAGCCGCTGCCTTGGCGGCAGCTGCTTTCGCCTCCGCGCTTTCCTTTGCTACAGCGAGGGATCAAAATGAAAAGTCCCCCCTCCCCATATCGAACTGGAAATCTGTGATGCAGGATCTGTGTACACAAATCGGATTTGTCTTGCGGTAGAGGACTGCAGACAGATGCAAAGCCCGGAACGGGGTGGCTTGGGGTAGGTACTTAGCATGGCAGACGTCTGCCCTAGTAGCGTAGCAGCATTACAAACCGCCTGCGAAATGCAGCGGAAGCCCTGGCTTTGCTCTCTTGCAAGACAGAATCGATTCGTGAGCACAAATCAGCATCACAAATTTTGAAAAGCACGCCTTTTCGATATGGGGAGGGGGGATTTTTCCTCACAATACGAGGTTTTTGGTCACCAGTTCCACGATCTGTTTCGCTTTTGCCTTGGCATTGCCGTTGTCTGCTGCGGTGGAGGAAATAGACGAGAAAAGTGACAAAGCCGAGGACGTCGGGAGGTTTGAAAGGTAGAAAAACCAAATCGCAAAATATCTGCAGACGATGGAGTGGATAAGAGGCGCGGCGGACGGTCTGCCACGCCGCTGCGCTACGTCGACAGTATTTCGTCCGGACATTTTGCTAGTTTCGCCAGGGCCTCACGCGGCCCCAGCTTGGGAGACGTCGAAGGCACTATGTCTATGGACAACAAGTTAAGAACATGCGAATTACCTTGTCCGTGTAGCACCAAAATTTTTCTCTTAGGTCAGGATAGTAGCTTGGATCAGGATAATACCGCTGCCTTCTCGTAGTTCGCTCGGCTTGCGCTTGTGTATTTTTTTTCCAGTTGCTTCATTCACAAGCATCTGTCCTCTCCGTCGCTTCAGAATGATAAACAGGACGAAGAAATGCGCATTCCCTCTTAGGTCCCAGTCCCATCATGGATACTAGCAACACACTCGTCAAAAATAATGTAGCAGTAACTGACACTACTTTTTAATTATTTACCAGCTACAGTGGAAGAGCATTCACTTTCCTTCCTCGAAGTCTTCTCTGCCCCCGCTGGGCTAGCATGACGCAAATACGCCACAATTGACCGGCAATGAACACGTAATAGCTCTACGTAAACGTATTTACATTTCCGGCTTCGCATTAGAAGCTGCAAGTGAAACGAGAAAAGGAGCATTAAACCCAACGCGACCATTTTTCGCAACGTAACAGCCTTCTTACAGTTTCAGGGTCGGGGTTTTTTATTCGGCTTTCTTGTTTTAGGGGAAAGAAGAACTTTTGCACCATTTTTACATCCATGAAGTAGATGTAGATGTTGTTCTAACTAGAGCATTCATTGGCGTCAAAATTTGTCTGTGCTCTAGCTGCCGTGGTCAGTGAACAAGGGTGGGGGGAACCGCGTCTAATTGAGGTCAAAAATGATACAAGAAAAGATGTTCTTGAGAAGCACATGGGGATGAAGGGGGTCTGCTAGTAGGGGTCTGCTAGTGGGGGTCTGGTAGTTCTGGTAGTGGTTAGGCTCAGGGTTTTGTTTTGCTAACAAAAGTAAAGATGATATGAAAGGCCGTTAGAAAGATTGATAAGATCATGCAACATTTCGCTTAGGACTTTGACATGCCTCAAAATTGAAGCATGCCTGCGGTGATTCAGAGAAGATCAAGATCGATTGATTGATAGATACAGCCATGTAAGTAAAAAATTTGTGTAAACAAAAAAGCTAGCCTACTGCTACTACCGTCGTTTTCCTGCTAGAATAAACATCCGATTTTTTTTTTTCGCTGCTGCTCATTCGGAACTCACGCTGCCGTAGGGGCCACCTCCCCGTTGAGCATGCGATCGTCGGTCCAGTCAAAATAGCCGACGCCTTTGCCGCCTTTCGCGAAGACTTTCACCGAATTGAAAACAAAATTGGTTCCGTAGTGCTCGGTGGGCATCAGCAATCCAACCTGGTCGTCCCATCCGGGGTAGATGCTTTTCGCATCCTTTTTCCCGTAATTCGCATCTTTCACCAGAGCATTGCACGCATCTATCCCCTGGTCGTTTCCGTTAGCCTGGAACTCGGTGCCGGCCCAGGACCCGCAAAAGGCAGTGTTGATGATGAAGGTTTGCGTGCGAAAGTGCTCGCTGGCTTCGCTGCAATGAGCCAACGGAAAGACCACGTAGGGCTTCAAACTTTGCAGCTTGGTCTCCCAGAACTCAGGTTGGGCGGACTCCTCCGCGCTGATGGCGTTGGCGTCTTTGCGAGGAATCCAGTAAAAATCCGTCTTGTCCTCCCCCAGCTTCATGATGTGAATGCCACCCTGCTCCTTGTTGAATTCGATCCCGTTCGGAATGCCCTTGGCCAGGACCCCGCAGCCGTCGTACCCCTCGCAATTTCGCATTTTCAGGTACAGCGTCATGTAGTCGGGGCACTGGTTGTCCGGGAAGTACCAGTGCTGCTCGTTTGCTGGATCCGGTCTACACTGCTCGTACACGTCGTCCCCTACCTCATCCTCGGTGGGATTCAGCCTGTTCGTTTTGGTCCGGAACATGTTGCAGTTCCCGACGCAAGGCTTCCCCTCAGGGCAAGCACCCTCGTCCCGTCGCCAGGGGCCAAACTCGGTGTGCAGGGTGGTGGGCTATCAAATTGAAAAGCGGGGCCCTAGCTGTACTACACAGAACTTGGTGGAAGCATTAGCATTTGTCTTTGTTGTATAATATCATGCCGAACCGACCGCGCAACCACTGCCGTCCAGGACTAGTGAGGGTCGTTCATGCGGCAACGCTCTCGAAAAACCCCAACGCCACCCAGGACCAGCAATTAATTAAATTTCATTTTCTTTCTATTAGTCGCCGATGTAAACATGCCGATGCCGTCTTGATGTCTTTTCAATGCAAGCAATTGATAAAGTTTTCACCCTGAAGAGCAAAAATTTGTGTTGCGAAATAGAGGCTCAACACCAGTGGAAACTGTTCATAACGAGGATGCTTCTCACGATTGAAAATTCTGGATCAGAAAAAGAACTCAACATAGTCGGTTCTGCCCTCCAACACGACAAAAGAATCTTCTCTTTTCGAAACTTCGCCACAGATATTAATTGAGTATTTCCACCTTCTGCGGGCGGGGCACTAGCACTTTTCAACAAGATATGATCATCTCCTTGTTGGGAAACCCGTGCACGTGCTCCATCATGTCAAACTCCCCCGACTCCGGCCAGTGAGCATGCCCAAACTGCCACCCGTCCTCGGCCCAATACCCCTGCCTCGGGACCCAAAACTCTTCCCCGATCGGCACGACCCCGCCCTTGTGCGCGGTCCAGTAAGCGGGCCACGAGCCATCGATCGCGGGCATGCGCTCCACGTCGACGACAAAAATCGAACCGTACGTGAAGCCAAACTTGCTGTGCATGCGAATTGCGTACCGGTTGCCATTTTCGTCGCTCCCTACGTCCGGGCTTTTGCGGTCATCGGGCGCCAAGGCCGGCCTGCCTTTCGCGAAGTCGATGCTCACCTTGTTGTCGTTGGTTTGCGTGATCAGGGTGTCTCTTCGGTTCCAGCCCTCCTGGTAGTTAACGGCCCCCTGTGTGGGGTCGCCGAGTCTGTCCCAGGGGACAAAACAGTCCAGGAAAGCGGCCCGATCGCTCCCCGGACAGTTTAGCGCCAACTGCAGCTGCGGTGACGCGGAGTTTTGTTCCTCGTTAGACACGTTTACTTCCTCGGACGGCTTTTCCTCGGAAACACTCAGCGGATCCGTTGGTGGCACTTCTGGAGCTGGATCCGTTGGTGGCACTTCTGGAGCTACGCTGATGACAGTGCACAACCCCCTCCCTCACTTGTCGGGCATGAGCAGCAATAGAAACACCACCAGACCTCAACCTCATGGAGCCTGTGCATGACAAGTTGTTCCTGCGCCGACTGAAGTACTTACTGTTCTGGCTACATCAAGAACTTCCGGGATTTGTCATGCCAACTGTGCCAAATGAACGAAGAAACTGCAACTGGCTCTGGCTTCAGCATTTTGCATGACAAACAAGGGGGACGTCGAGTTGTGCAATCGGATAACGCGGGTCTGATTCCGGGCGCCGTTCTTGGTCGTCTCCTCGGCTTCCTCCGGCGCCTGGCAGTACTCACAGGCCGGCTCCTATCCTGAGAAAAAAGTGTTACAGTTGCACACTCTGATGGAAGACAAGCAAGACAGACGACCTCTGCCATGCAGGAAATGCTTGGCAGCCTCATTTCATTCGTGTTCTTTTCCCTTTAGACTCTGCGCATCACAGGTTGTTTTTGCCATGATGTCGAGCAACTTTGTGATGCAGAAATTCCAACAAATGTGTAACTGCAACACTTCATTTTTCCTGTGATAGCTCCACCGGATGACTGACGTCCCTGGTCCCCACAGGCTCCCCAGACCGCAGCTCGGTAGATGTTCTCGTAGCCCCAGCGGCGAGTTGCAGTATCCTGAGTAAAAGCGTCCCCACCCCATAGTTCTTGTCATGCAGATTTGCAGTCACAGGAAGATTTGTAATGTGCATCCCCGTGAGAGGCACTTATTTCAGTCGTGTTTTGGACTTTGTAATGCTGTAAACAGGATGATTAGCTGGCTTTGTGATGCGGCTGCACTTGTGAAACTGCACCAAAATACAGAGAGGAACTTGTCATGCGCATACTCCCAAAACTTCTCGGCTTGTGTTGCGAGATCCCCGTCTTGAGTCTGGGGTCGTGGGGACGTTTTTACTCAGGATATGCAGCGACGAAGCTTTAACATTTTCTGCGGTGGACAGAGCCACATTTTTCCGCGCTGGTTGGGCAGCATTCCGCGCTGCAGGTTTCTTCAAAACCTTGAACGCTAGTGCCGGTGCTGGCCCACGATCAGCCCCTCCTACGTAGAGGATTTGTAACAGGAACCGCTTCATTTTTTTCCTGACCGCCGTTTTTTTGTGTGTGAAGAACAACTGACTTTTCGATGCGTTTTTCTGTTGTGTAAAAGACAGACTTTTACTCAGAGGTCGTCGTGTTCTCGTCTTTTCAGAAGATATCCCAGATTGTTATATGAATCGTTTGCTCGGCGCGCATATGTACTTATTAACTATTCGGGGAGAACTTTCGGCGGGCACAGAAGATCCACGACTCGAGTGGTTGTCGGCAAAGCTGAGGAACTGTTGCTTGGAGTTTTCATCGGGAAAACGAACAAGTGAAAAAATAAATACCTACGTATAGTACATAGGAATATCTAAACACCAAAGAGCGGAAATAGCCTGTTATGCCTTTACGGGGATTTCGGTTTTCCATCCCCATCGTGTTTTGCACGAAGATTTGGCGAGTCACAATTAAAACAGCCACGAGAGGTGGAGCGATTGGACGAAGCCTACGGCAAAGGAAGAGACCTGCATTCAAATCTTGAACGACAACGATTTTGGTTGACGAATAACGATTTGCTGGACGGCCTGCCGGTGCAGCTGCAGGTGCAGGTTTCATTTCCCTACAAAAAATTTCTTCGCAAACGAGGAAAAGCGATCTTCCACCGGCGCAACGGCGCCAGCATGTACGAGGGAACGAGGGTAATGAAATCACGATATGAAACGACCTACTTCACTGCAATACAGCCTTGTATCGAAATAAATGCGAAGGTAAAGAAAAACGAAATAACAACAAAGTGGAGAATACTTCGGAAGACACAGGTCGGTGTTCCTGTAGCGCCCGGAAAATTTATTAAAAAATTTCTTGGATGTTGTTGATTTTTTCGTCGGCTACCAGATCAAGAACAAGCTTGGTTCTGTTAACTTCTTCTATACCAGTGCTAATAATTATTGCATCAGCTCCCTTCGCAAACAGGAATACATGAAGCGAACGAGCTATTGAAAAAGACTGCTTGTTGGGGGAATAGGGATTTTTTCTTTATTCACCCACGTCCTTTTCTGGCAGTAGCTGGCAGCGGTAGAAGAAAAACTACAGAAGAAGTATGCGGTGAGATGAACAAGGGCCAAACTAGCAGGTGGACGAGCTGCTCAAGTATCTTTATCGGCCCTTCAACAACACCTGTCTTCCCTCAGACCCCATCCGGAAATAACGCCGGATATTTGTCTTTCCAATCCCGCTGGGGCTCTTCGCTGCCATCAAGCATGCGGTCGTCCGCCCAGTGGTAGAAACTTTCGCCCAAACCACCCCCCTCGATTCTATCACACGGAAAATAACCAGAAGGGCTAGCGTACCAAATAAATGCCTGGATCGATACAATTACAACTGTATCGATACAACAAAACTTGCTCGAAATCGTCGCTCTTGCGACGTCACACTGTTTCTTTTTTCCAACATCTTCACCTTTCATGCGGACATAACCAACTCAACAATTCCCGCCTAAATCCTATCTTCACGATCTCCATCCTTGGGACTTCAGAATACAGTACGATAGTAGTACGCGCGGCTGATAGTTTTCGCGCAGAACAAGGCGACAAGATGACTTTCATGCACAATAAATTTCGAGTACGTTTGTGCACGCCTGATAGATTACAATTACGTCAAGTATTGTACGCTAGCACCTTACGAAAAAATTGTTCCAATGCATAGGTCCACTTTTTCGAGAAGATTTTGATCGAGTTGAAGAGGAAATTCGTCCCGATCCCCTGGTCTGGCTCCCCTTCCTCACTGTCCCACAAAACCTCCCCGAGGTCCGCAAATTTGCTCTCCTGGGTCTTATAGCCGTAGGCAGCGTCCTTCATCAAAGCATTGCAGTTCTCCCGCCACTTCGTGGCCTTCCAGTGTTCTCTTGCCTCATCTGTAGTGAGATCTGACGGAACCGGGGGATGATCGTTCTCTCGAGGACCCCAGTTGTACGTAAACCCCGCCCACTCCCCGCAGAACGCCGTATTCAGGACCAGCGTCTGCGTGCGAAACAGTTGCTGCGCGTTGCAGTTTTTGTTTTTATTCACGGGAAACACCACGTAGGGGGTCAGGGGTCGGAGTTTTTCGGTCCAAAACCAGCCCTGCTTGGTTTTTTCCTCGGTGAAAACCTCTGGGTCCACGTCGTTTCGGGGTATGAAGTAAAACTTCTTCACTTCGTCTTCTTCTAATTGCATTAAATGGATTCCCCCCCGTTGCTTGTTAAATGGCACGCCGTTCGGCACGTCTCGGACGTACGCGCCGCAGCCCAGATTGCCGTAGCAGCTGGTCTCCTTCAGGAATATTGTGAGGAAAAATCTCCCCATATCGAAAAGGAATCTGTGATGCTGATTTGTGACCACAAATCAGCTTTGTCTTGCGCACAAGGCAAACGGCAGCCATGTGGCGCATGGTACAGTCAGTCTGTCATACGTTTGCGCCTATGTCTGACTTGTTTCTCATGCTCAGCTGCTAGCCGGACGCGTACTTACCCAAACGGGCTTAGATTATGTCGACAAGATGAAGCTGTTGCTGCAATACAAAGGTCATTTGTTTACACAAATACAGCAACACAGGTTGTCTTTTGAGTATGGGGTGGGGGCTTTTCTCACTTTGATAAGAAACGTCGGGAGTTTACACCCTTCCGTCATGTTCCACAGCGCGTGGTGGTTTGCCTTGCACTCCTCGTTCGCGTCTGTTACTTCTTGAGAAGACGGCTCGGAATCCCCGAGAGTCCCTCCGCGGGAGGGCCACACCTGGCAGCTGTGGCTGTTGTAGCTGGTGGCGCCGCTGTGGACGGTGGTGATCATTTCTGTGTTGACGAAGCCGTGCAGGTGCTATCAAATGCAAAAGTGTCTGGGTCTGGAAGATTATGAGACTTGCCATGCATGTTTCGCGTGGCCCAGGATTGTGTGTGATGCATGCCCTACCATCACAGACTTTTAGAACCCTTCCTGATGCCTACTCCGCATGACAAACGCCCTCCCCGCGTGGCACAAACTGGACTCCTCTTGCTGGTCATGCAATACAGATCTTTTTAGAGTCCAAAGTTAGCATCACAAGTTCCAACCCTCCAGACCCAGACCCAGATCCATTTTTGCATTTGATAGGTGCTCCATCATGTCGAATTCGCCCGATTCCGGCCACCCACTGTGGCCAAACCCGTCACCCGGCTGAAATCCGGTGTCCCACGCGAGCGGCACGATGCCGCCCTTGTGGGCCGTCCAGTAGGCCGACCAGCTGGCATCGATGGTCGGGATCCGCTCCACATCCACCACGAACAGCGAGCCTGCCCCAACCGCGTACTTGGTGTGCATGCGAATCGCGGGGCGATGGTTGTTCCAGTCGTCGTTCGCGTGCGTAGTGATCTTGCCCTTGTGAAAATCGACACTGACTTGTTTTTTCATCACCGCATTTTCATCCGGATTGTCTCGCAGCGTAATCAGGTCGTCCTTCATCTCCCACCCTTTCTTGTAGTCCACGGCCCCGCCGGTGGGATCGCCGACTTTGTCCCACGGGACAAAACAGTCCAAAAACGCGTCTAGATCGTCGCCGGGGCAGCTGAGCGCCAACCGGTAGTTGGTGGAATCCGGATTTTCAAACGGCCAGGTGGTGGTAGAAGTCGTACTAGAGGTTGTGGATGTGGACAAGGTTGAATCTGCGCCGTTTGAATTTACCATCACGCACTCGAACGGGTACTGCCCGGGGTCGGAAATCCGGTCGGCCAATGGGAAAATTGACGCACGGCTACACACATCCACTTCTTCACTGGCAGCAGATGAAACGTCAGCAGCTTGTTGTGCGCCCTTTTTGCAGCAGGCCGCCTCGTACTGAGCATGCGCAGTGCCCGCCGCGGGCGTTGTCCCCTCGGGGTAGCAGGCCGCGCAGCTCCCCGGGGTGCCGTTGCAGCCGGGGAGGCAGGAGATGGCGGTCGGCGGGAGGGGTGTGGTGTCCGAGGCAAACAGGTTTTTCGTGAAGGCCTGCGGGTGTTTCTTGTTCAAAACCCAGGCCGGCAAAGCGACGCAAGAGTGGAAAGAAGTCTCGTTTCCACCGTACGCGAGCACTTCTGCCGGGACGGTCTGCTCGACCGGCAGCCCGGGGATGGTGAGCGCTTGGCACTCGGGGTACTTTTCCGCGTCGGCGTTATCAAAGTGAAAAATGCCCCCACCCCCGAACTAGGGAGCATTTGTATTGCAAACCTTTCCAAATGAAACACTCGCCCTCTTGCATCTATCAGCATCACAGATTTCCGATCGTGAATACTAGCAAAAATTTGCATTGCAATAGACGCCAGCAAGAGTGGCCCTTGTCATGCAAGCGATGCGATACACGCCTAGACTCTGCATCCGAAAGATAAGATTCATACTTCTTTCATGCATGAGCATGACAAAAAGTTTTCATTTGGAAACTTCGCATCACAAATTTTATGCAATTTCAGGGGTGGGGGGCATTTTTCACTGTAATATGCGTAGGGAACGGTTTCCGTTTCCCGGTCGTACTTGCAACACGCACTCTTGTAGGACCCGGGCGCCAGGCCCTGTATCAAATGCAAAAATGTCTGGGTCTGGAGGGATTCGAACTTGTGATGCGCATTTCACAACACGCAGAAATCTGTCATGCGTAGGCAGCAAAAGCCGCCCACTTCCTGTCACCAAAGTGGGGGATTTGTCATGCGGATTAGGCATTGCGGAACCGTCTCGAAAACTGTGATGCTAAAGCGTGCATGCCAGACCTTCTGTGTCATGCAAAAACACCATGGCAAAAATCTCCGTTCTTCCAGACCCAGACACTTCTGCATTTGATACCCTGTGGCAGTTCGTCATTTCCATCTTCTCCGACGAGGCACCAGTTCGCACACTGGCTCCCCGTCCCGGCCAGGCGAAACTGCATCCCACACGGCTCAAAGCAGTCCATCGGTCTGCCTATCCTGAGTAAAAACGTCCCCATAGCAGAGTCAAGATGGGGATCTCGCAACACAAATCGAGAAGTTTTGGGAGTCAAGCATGACAAGTTCCTCTCTGTAGTGTAGTGCAGTTTAGCAAGTACAGCCGCAACACAAATCCATCTAGTCGTCCTGTTTACAGCATTACAAAGTTCAAAACACGATGGGAAATGCCTCTTATGGGGATGCGCATTACAAATCTTCCTGTAACTGCAAGTCTGCATGACAACTCTGGGGTGGGGACGTTTTTACACAGGATACTGCCGGTAGTTGGTTCTTCCGGACACCCACCTTGGGCCTCGCTGACGCAACGGCATCAAAAGGAAACATCCCCCCTCCCCATATTGCAACGGAAATTTCTGCTGCTGGATTTGTGTACACAAATCGGCTTTGTCTTGCAGTATAGGACTGCAGGCAGATACAAAGCCTAGACGGGGCTGGCCAGAGGTGGGCGCTCAGCATGGCAGACGTCTACCCTGTTGGCGCAGCAGCATTACAAATCGCCTGCGTAAAGCGGCGAAAGCTCTGGCTTTGCTCTCTTGCAACACAGACCTCATTTGTGACCACAAATCAGCATCACAAATTTTCAAAAGGATGCCTTTTCGATATGGGGAGGGGAGATTTTTCCTTTTGATAAACGGACGTCGATGGTCCACTCCAGCGCAAGGGCGGGCGGTTGCAGTGGAGATGATGTAGTTGCCGCCTCCGTTGAAGATGTCGTGGCGTCGTCCTCATCTTCTGCCGTGGTTGTAGACGTCGTGGTAGTCGTAATTCCAATTTCCTCAGAAGTCGTCGCTTCTTCTTCATCTCCCCCGCAGCCGACACAGTTTTCGCACGCGCCCTGCACCGGCACCTGATTGGAGGCAGTGAGGACACCGCTGAGCGGCGTCAAGCTCGTGCTCGGGGCGTCAAGCTCCGAGGAGGAACTGAGCGAAGAAGGTGGGGGCGGCTGCACAGGAGGAGAACCCTCTTGGTTCTCGACGAGAGCGCGAGGTGGAGACTGCGTCGTTCTAATATCCTTGCTCGCCATATTAATAACGTTCAAAGAAGTAAAAGAACTACTAGAGCTAGACCTAGTATCTGAAGCATTTTTATCAGACGACAAGGTGGATGTTGCAGGAGCACGGAGAATGTGTATCAAATGTAAAAATGTCTGGGTCTGGAAGAGTGCATGTTTGTCATGCTTGTCTGGCATGACTCTTAAATCTGTCATGCACGTTACCCAAGAGCTCCATTTTTCTGTGATGCAGAAACGCAGTTTGTCATGCAGAATAGGCAACACCTAGAAGCTCAGAAACTTGTCATGCTGAGCCAGCATTTGTGGCCTCATCATGAAACGCCACCCAGCATCACAAGTTTCCAGACCCAGACAATTTTACATTTGATAATGCGCCTCTTCGCACGATTGTAGTGCTTCTTGGCTGCTGTTGATGTAGTTTTCATCGAAACCAGCCTGCTGCGCTTTTTCTGTTGCTGTGGTCCTCGTGTACCACTTTTTTCCCTCACGGAGAGGCCAGCGACGGGGCGCGCTGCGAAAATAAGGCTAACGTGTAAGAACACCACCTCCATGATCATGGCCGAAGTGGTGAGGACGCGTCGAAGACCGCTGAACTTCATCGTAGTGACTTTATCGCTGACGAGTCAGTCTAATGATCATCAAAACTAGATTGTATGCGAACGATCTTATCGGTGCTGTGCCATCGCCATGACCATGACCATGTATGTGTGGGAGGAAAAATAAGGGCTCCTGCCTGGGGTAAGTAAGTAACCGTGTTTAATATCTTCTATTGCCGTACCAAGAATGTGGTGCTTTTCAATTCTGTCTTGCGGAGTTGTGCAAACAGCAGACGATAGACGACAGGGTTCTTTTTGCGTTCTGTTTGACGAGGGCACGACTTGTTTTCGTGTTTTGAGTAGAAACAGACGGACGACAAGAGACGACAGGGTGGACGAAGTGTACGACGAACGGAGACGGACGGACGGACGGACGGACGCAGTCAGTGCATCAGCTGCGTCCCGAAGTTCTTGTGCACTGTATTTTTTCGATTTGGAATGAGGGCAACACTGATCATAAACGCGAACTCTGTGTAAACACACGACCACACAGACGTAGTAGACGCAACAAAGCTGTGCCCGGCGTCCGCGTCCACAAAGGAGCAAACGTATGAAAGATGATGGAATCCTCAGGCCGCGGAGGAGAGTTATTTTTGAGTGGAGGTTTAACCTTGCATGGCTGCAGGAAAAGGTTGTGAAAAGAACAAGAAGCTATGCAAAAGAATAAAAACTCGGTTTCTAAAAACAAAAGTCTAGTAATGGAAGTTTGAGATGTTGATAACAGTGTTTTATTTGTGTCGACGTCGTGTAATGTAATGTCGCGCAAATTTTTGGACATTTGCTACAGATGCACAAAACGAAAATTTAGAAGACGATAATCGCAACAGCGTCGAAAGCAGTACATTACGTGCTTATGCCTCCTCGACGACCTCGTCCCCGTTGAGCATGCGATCTTCGTCCCAGTCAAAGTAGCCGACGCCCTTCCCACCTCTCGAGAAGACTTTCACCGAATTGAAGACAAAATTGGTTCCGAAGGTCTCGTCGGGCAGCAGTTTGACCGTGTTCCCGACCCAGTCGGGGTAGATGCTGTCCGCCCCCCGCACCCCGTAGCCCGGACTTGCCACCAAGCTGTTGCAAGCGTCGTGGCCCTGATCGTGAGCATTACCGTTGGGCTTGAAGTCTTTCCCGGCCCAGTCCCCGCAGAACGTGTTGTTGATGATCAGGGTTTGGGTGCGGAACAACCTGGCGGACGGACAGTTCCCATCTTTGTCGGTGGGGAACACGGCGTAGGGCGTGGACTCCGCCAGCTTTCTTTCCCAAAACTCCGGCTTCTTGGTTTCCGCGTCGGCGAACGTGCTCCCGGCGGCCTCCACCTCCGCGCGCGGGATCCAGTAGAACCGGGTCTCGTCTTCTTCCAACTGCATGATGTGAATCCCCCCGCGCTGCTCGTTGAATTTGACGCCGTTCGGGACGCCTTTCACCTTCACGCCGCAGCCCAGGGAACCCTCGCAATTTCGCTCCTTCAGGTACAACGACAGGTCGGGCAGCTGGGCCGAGCATTCCGCCTGCTCAAACGCGTGTATGTTGTTTGCGTAGTCCGCCTCGCATGTTTCGTACAAACCGTCATCGCTGAGGTTAAGGTTTATTTCCCCGTAGTTTTCTACAGCTTCTTGACTCGGTTCTGCGTTCAACACGTTGGTCATCGTGCGAAAAACGTTGCAGTTCCCGTTGCAGGGCTGCGGAGCAACTGCGCCGCACATGTAATTCCCGTACTCGGTATGCAGGGTGGTGATCATCTCCTGATTACCCCAGCCGTGCAGGTGCTCCATCAGGTCGAATTCGCCCGACTCCGGCCAGTGCGCGTGGCCCAGCCCGTCCTCAGGCCTGTAGCCGTTGGGCACATATGCGATCCCGCCCTTGTGCGCGGTCCAGTAGGCCGGCCACGACCCGTCGATGGCGCGCATCCGCTCCACGTCCACGACGAAAATCGCCCCGTGGGTGAAGCCGTACTTGGTGTGCATCCGGATGGCGGGCCGCTTGCCCCAAAGCTCATTTGGAAGCTGACCGGTCTGAAAATTCAGGCTGATCTGGTTTTTCTCCGGCAAGTGGGTGATCAATTCCTCCTTTTTCTCCATACCCTTGGCGTACCGCACGTGCCCGTTGCTCTCTGCCCGGCGGCCCGCGTAGGCGGGGGCGTAGTACGCCACGTAAACTGCATCGCGGGTCTCAAAGCCCACCGCCCTGGGCATGATATGTGTGCGGCCGACGAGTTCGTCTCTTGGGAGGCACCGCACCTCCTCGAAAAGACTGCCCTGAAAGACCAACGCTGCACCAATCCCACTCACCAACGCGTGGTCATGTCTTATGTGGATTGATTCAGCCTTTTCTGCTGCTGTTTTTTCCGCCAGAGAAGATTCGTCAGCAAACTCTTCATCACAATTTTCGCCCGCATCTTCACCCGCTGTTTCACAAATCACCTCTTCCTCCGCTTCTTCCTGTTCCTTCTCTATTGCTGCCAACGCCGACATGTTTGCCTCCGTGATCGCGACGACCTGTGACAGCGGGTGTTTTCGGAAGATCCACGAGTAGGCGTCGCCCAACTGCGCCCCGCTGATATTTTGGGTCGCGAAACAGATCGGGTTTCCCCACTTGCTTCCCCGCAGTAGTTGTGGCTCCGGGCTGTCTCCTACCTCTTTGTTGAAGACGTTGTAGTTGCATGGCTGCTGAGATGTGTCCCCTGGCTGTGGGTTGAAGCGGCTATAGTCGCAGTACCTCCTTGGGCCGATGAACGGAAACTTGCTGCTCGGCTTCTGCTTGTTTGCTGAGGCTTCTCCCGTCGAGGACGAAAGCGAAGACGAAGATGATGACGATGCGACACTAGCAGAGAGCGTCGCACGCCCGTCGTTGTTCTTGTGTCTTTTCGCACTCACAGCAAGTCCGTCTGTTGCTCCGACAGGTCGTTTTACTCCAGCTGTCTCGTCCTGGTTCGCATTTGCGCTTCTTGCTGCCTCCTGCTGCCGTAATCTCGCGGCGTCGCTGCGAAGAAAGAAAACCCGCTTCGGTGCTTTCCCCGTAATCTCCCCTCCTGCGACCGCTTGGTCACGCTGGCGCTTCACGGCGACAGTAGTGGAAGTAAGAAGCACCTCCCAGAAGATCAGCAGCACGACGAAAGTAACGACGGACGGGCAGTTGCAAAGACGGTAAAAGCAACGACGAGGAAGAACGACTGCACTGACAACGACGTCCGGAGCCCCGTCAAGCGGAGGGAAGAAGTTCGGCTTTCTGGTTTTCTCTCGAAACGGTGAGCCACTCGTGGGAACCCTTTAGACACCGGCACAGCAAAAACGCAAACAACGCACGAATGAAAGCGTACAAGCCGTTCTGGACGAAGAAGACAAGATGAACGTGGCCGCGTCGCTCGCTCGCTCGCCGGTCATGAATCTCACTCTACGCAAACACAGATCAAGGTCAATACACAAATAAAGTAAAATCACGCAAAACCCAACCCAACCCAACCCCCTTTTTCTCCATACCCTTGGCGTACCGCACGTGCCCGTTGCTCGGATCCGCGGGCTTGTTCCAAAACACGAAACAGCCCAAAAACTCGTCCACACTGGTTCCCGGACAGTCCAGGGCCAATATCCTGTGCAAAAGTATCGCACTCGTAGTAATTGCACTCATGCATTACAAATCTCGTTCCCAACGCAAATCAGCATGACAAATTCCATTTGTCATGCTGAGCGAATTTGTGTTGCAATTACTACTAGTACGATATTACTTTTGCAGCTCATAGCCAACTGCAGGGGTTTATTCCCAGTTGGCTCGGCCGACGATGCGTTTGCGTTGTCCTCCGCGTTGTCCTCCTCTTCCGTCCATACGAGGGCCCACTTGGCTTGCTGCTGCTCGGTGGTTTGTTTCTTGATGACCTCCATCTTGAGGCGGAGACGCATCTGCAGGACCGTGGATTCATCTTCAGCTGACGGAAGAAGAACTTCATCTATTTTCCTATGTTCCAGAATTTCACTCTCTGATGTGCTCTCCTGCTGCTGCTGTTGCGCTCGAAGGATCATTTTCGACGTCGTCGTCGATTTCTGCCCGTAGTTTATTTTCATCGTATGCGTGCTGGTCGACTTCTTCGCTCCTAAGGTCAACCCCATGGCCACGCCGAGGAGCACAACCCCCGCAGAAGTGCCGCTACTCGTCGACCACGACCCGAGTACCAGAGCGGACGCGAAGACAAAAAACAAGAGTTTGGCAAGCGGTGGAGCTGCTGCTGCTACTGATTCTTGTTTGCAGCAAGCGGTCCACGGGAGGACGTCTTTGGCCGGGAGATTTAGTAACATCTCCTGGGTAGAAGTTCTTGCGGTCCGTTTATTTTTCCCACTTCCGGAAGTCGAGAAACTTTGCTTCGAGCGGAGCATCTCTTTTGGTCGGATCAGATGGGGAAAAGCAAAATGTGGGGCGTGCAGCTTTCGACAGATCAATTGATGTCGTCGTGGTACTTATTTTTATCTGCACAACAAACGGTGCTGGTGTGGAAAATTGGTATTTACCCGTCGCACCGTAGGGGGAGACCAAACTACCCCTCACAGAATTCTCGTCCTGGTTGGTGGTATAGTAATTGATGTCATGTAATTGTAAATGTAATTCTAAAAATTACTTCTGTACCTCTAGTTGTCCGACGTACTATCCGCACTAGTTGTACGACACTTATTCCTGCAAAAAGACGAGAAGCAAAATAAATAAACAAACGGGCATGATTACCCTAGAACTACTGCGGACTCAATTACGCACTGTCAACTGAGTTGTAACACGACGGGGGCGAAGAAGGAGTGACGCACGACACTTAGACGATAGCGTGGTGACACACTTGGACGATAAGGAAACAAGCTATGAAAGTTTAATACTATTCCTCTTGCACGTAGTACTTACATTTTACAACAGTTCAGGAGAACTACGAGAGCGAAAAAACTAGACGGCGACGGGATGTGAACGAATGATTTATTTCACGTCGAAAAACAGACCGCGGACGACGACGAGACTCCTTCTTGTCCCTATAATACCGTATTCGGACGACGGACAAGTAGAACAGTGAACAAAACACACACGAGGAAACACCCGAACACATCGTGCGAAAGTGAAGTCGCAGATCAGCAGCACCAGCATCAGCATGGTCATATGCATATTAGGGGTGGTCACTGAGGTAGAAAAAAAACGCATACTTACTTACTAGACGTACACACTGGGGGCTTCTGAACGAAAGTTTCTGCAATGGAACTTCAAATTTGTATGCCAGTACTTCGTTTGAATGATGCTATGCAAATACTTATCCGCCTCACTCTAAGAATAAAAGACGCAAAAGTGATAAACAAAATGAAGTCGACGGGTCACGCCGGGGGAGCGAATTTTCTCGCGAAGGAACGACTCTAGCGAAGGGGATGGAATGCAAGTAAACCTCCACGGGTAGATCTATCTATCTATCGTGCGATGGGACTTGACTTGAAGATGGTACGCCCGGCCGCGCAAGTTCCGCACTTCTGATGGTGCAGCACAAGCACTGCCGCCAGTTCCGCACTTCTGATGGTGCGCGTCTGGTGTAGCCGCACAGTGCAGCAAGGACTTATGTTCTTAATTCTTATACTCCTAACGGTGATTGCAGCACCAGGAGCCCGAGCCAGACAGAAGGTACTGAAACCCGGCAACGAGCCCTCTCTCACTCCGGGGAGGTGCGAGCCACCTCGTGACAGCCACAAGCGGCGCCACCTAAATGCGGGGACTATCTATTAGACGGACTACCGCCAAAGGCCACGAAAGCTTGTTTAGAAGCCGAGCACGAGATGCGTTCTACCGCCTGGATTAGCAGACCAGACTCTAGGGGACTTAATGAAAGGCGTGCCGGATCAACTTCCGCAGACAAGCCTTCGGGCCTGTTGATCGCATAAGCTAAATTGTTAGAACTAATTTTTTTCCTTCATCCGGGTAGAGCAATCACTTCGCCGGAACCTCCGCACGGCCGCGCCAAAAACTCCACAGTGGTGCTGATGAACAAGCGCGACACCACCTCCACGGCACTGTCGCGTCCGCCCCCCCCCCTGACAAACCCGCTGGCTAGGCGGAAAAAACAAAGCCCCTGCGAGTTCGCGGGATCCGCAGACTAGCGCTACAAAGGCTACAGCAGTAAGACAACAGGAACAGACTTAGAGGACGAAAGAAGAAAAGTAAAAGGGTAGAGACCTAAACCTACGGGGGCGCATGCAAAAGAGGGCAAAGGGAAGGGCAGAAGGAAGACATCAGACTTAGACGAAAAAAGCAAGATAAAAGGGTAGACTCTCAATCCTACAGGGGCGTATGCAAGAGGGGGCAGAGGGAAGATCAGATTTCGGCAACGGAATGAGAGGAGCGCACGAATTTGCGATCGGGCTCCTGGAAAGCAAAACACACGAACAGTGGCACAGACGTACGAACCGACGCTCTGGTAGATAGGATAGCACGAGCAAAGAAAGCATCTACGAGAACAGCAAATACGGATACAAACAAAAGGACGGCCATCAGCCAAAGCCAAGCCGTGAGCATATAAAAGCAAACATACAAAGCAGCGAGCGAGTAACCAGAGGTCACATCGCTGTGCAGGTCTTTCGTAGTAATTTCTCTAGACGCGCGGGCTTCGCACTTCGTTTTACTGTTTCGCAGACTAAAAAAAGAAAAAAGGGGAGGGGTAACGAAAAAAAGGGGACCGAGCTTCGTTCTACTTCTTTTTGGTTTTGCTTTTGCGTTTCCTGAATTAATTTTTACAGAAAAATGAGTAACAGCCTTTCGCAGTAAACTGTAGTTTTAGGTGGGGACAAGGCGCTTTATGGTAGAACTTTTAAACACTCACAATAATTTGACAACTACGCTCGAAAAATGTAAATGTGTGAATAAAGTCAAGTTGAATAAAGTCAAGTTAGGACATTTTGGAAATGCTGAGAGATGCAAAAAAACCTCATGCAAGAAGTGCATGGAAAGTTCCAACCGAATAAATACCGAGCTCGCTGTAATTCGTTTTTGGCGTTGTGAACGTGTCGTGAATAGAAAAATCGGAAACACGATTGAATCACCCCTCAAAAGTACTAGTTAGACGAGTTAGAAGAAAAGATCGAAGAGTTGTGCGCGGCATTCCTGTACAACCCGCCCACAGGCTCATCCTGCGAAAGAGGAGAAAGCCCATCTCCCGGCTCAACATTCTGGGACGATGATGATGTTGAGGGTGCGCCGTCGGAAAGTAATTCGCCGCTCGCCGGGTCGTGCTCGTGCACCTCCGGCGATAGTGAAAGCTCCGGGGCGAGAGAGCCCGCGGAAGTCACGTCGTTCCCGCTCGCCTCGGCCATTTTCAGGACCCAGAATTTGTAGTACAGCAGCGTGGATCCGGCGTCCACGGGCCGCGCAGGCTGCTCCCAGGCTTGCAGGATGTCGTAGGCCCGCTTTTGCGCGTTCGCGTCGTTGGTCAGCGCCATGTTCCCGGTCGCAATCTGCCCGATCCACATTTTTAGCGAAGCGTGGATAGCGCCCAGCCGCGTCACGTGGTTATCCACGATCGAAATATCCACCGGCGTGCATGGCGCAACGCAGGACCAGTCGTCGGTTGCGTAGTTCGCCGGGTCTTTGCAGTCAATATGGATGTGTCAGGATCGAAATTGTCAAAATCGAAAAATTTGTGATGCACAAAATGGATGCCAGTTGGGGCCTCAGTTTCCAAGTGGCGCATGACAAATTTCGGGACCACCAAAATCCAGTCTGTCATGCTGTTTGGGCAAAGCAGACTGCTCCTGTCATGCTACTCTGGCAACACATTGTATAACCCTAAACAGGCTTACAATCGATCTCATTTGCCTGCTCCCCAATACAGGCGTCGCGTGCCCTACATTTTACGCATCACAAATTTTTCGATTTTGTCGATTTCGATCCTGACACTCCCATAGTCAAAGGCGTCGTAGTATTCCAGTTTCATGAACTCCGGGTCGCGCGCCAGCCGCAGGGCGGTGGTCAACGGCATCATCTGGATGCCGTGCATGAACTCCTTCGCGGGGCCAAACCAGGTGCTGTACTTCACCTCGTTCTGGTACAGCATGCCCACGCAGTGGTTCCGCGCAAACTCGAGCGGGTGGATGTCGCCGAAGTTCTCATATTCTTCCATCTGGTAAAAGGTCCGGATCGACTGCGCATTCAGGGCGGTGATCATGGTAAAGATGGTTTCCAGCCGGGCCCCCAGCTGTTCGTACTCTGGTAACTGCAACTTTTTCCCGTGCACCTTCATCCAGCGGCCCCACAGCTGCGCGCCGTGGTAAAAGTTGATCTCCTCGGAGGTAGACTCCTGGTCTTTGCCGAAGGTGTTGGACCGCAGCCCGCGCGACCAGGAATGCAGGTCGAAAAGGTCAAAGTAGCGGAACATGGGGAAGTAGGGGTCCGACATGGAATTCCCGCCCAAGTCGATGGTTTCGTAGTTTTGCGCGGGGTTGGCAACCGCACGGAGGAGCCCGTGAACGACGTCAACCAGTCTGTTGCCCCCAACGGCCCCCTCCTGCAGAATCTCTTCGCCCTTGAACTTCATCAGAACCGCCGCGGAGTAGACAAAGTAGCCGTAGTGGTTATGGGGGTGTCAGGATCGAAATCGACAAAGTTGAAATTATAACTTTTTTTATCTGCATAAAGTCGAGAGCTATTGGAGTAGACCCAATTTCCTTATTTTCCAAGCGGCGCATGACAAATTTTCATGGCACCTAGTCTGTCATGCTGTTTGGGCAAAGACGACATCTTTTGTCATGCTGTTTCAGCAGTTCTGTCTCTAACGCCAAAAAGGCCTCTAAAAATCGCCCTCTTTTGCCTGCTCTGCAAGACAGGCAATCTGTGCATGGTATTTCATGCATACACAAAATTTTCAATTTTGTCGATTTCATCGGTCCTGACACTTCCATAGTGGTAGTGCTGGTCGTTGAAGCAGATGTTTCCGAAGTCGGGCAGATATCAACTGCAAACATGTCTGGGTCTGGAAACTTGTGACGCTGACTGGCGAATCATGAGGACGCCACAAATGACGGCTCAGCATAAAAAATTTCTGAGTTCTTGCTAGGTGTTGTCTACTATCCAGCATGACAAACTCAAGAGTCATGCTCGCCAAGCAAGACAAACTTGCATTCTTCCACTTCCAGACCCAGACGTTATTATATTTGCAGTGCATAGGTCACAGTAAGTCCCGATGCCCGGCGTTTCCTCGTTAATCGCATCCCCCTTTATTGAGAGGAAAAATCCCCCCTCCCCATATTGAACGGGTATGTTTCCGAAAATTTGTGTTGCGGATTTGCGGTCACGTTTGTATTGCAAGAAGACAAGGGCAGAAGCTTCCGGCCCATTATGGAAGCGCTTTGTCATGCTGTTGGGCCTAAAGGGGAGCCGTTTGCCATGCTCAACAACTAGACCCCTACGCCCCTACCTAGCCTGGGGACCTGGCCGCAGTGCCTCTCTGCAATACACAGCTGATTTGTGTTCACAAATCCAGCATCAACAGAAGTTCCGTTTTGATATGGGGAGGGGGTATTTTTCCATTCGATACCCTTCGCTTCGGCTGCAGGGCTCATGGTGGGATTGATCACCCCGCCAAACTTCGGCTCGTACGCGAGCGGAATCTGCTGCCCGGAAACGTGCGCACAGAAATCCTGCGCCGGATTGATCCAACAAAGAAAGAGCTCCTTCAGGATTTTCGGACACAGCTCCATATTCTCCTCGTCCTCCTGAGCCTGTTGGGCTGCGTCAGCAACAGGCTGGCCCGCACCAAAGAGCTCCTCCGCCAGGAGGCAATAAACGGCAAACTTCTGGAACTTTTTGCCGCCATTGTAGACCCCCCCGGGGGCAGGAACGCTGTTGTGCGCCGAGTAGGCAGGGGCGCCCCACTTGAAGTGCCCAAAGTCCGCCCGAAACTCCGTCCGCAAGTCCTCCAGGACCTGCCCACTCACCAAATTCAAAGTTCCGCTGGAGTCGCCTTTTGGCATGAAATCCAGTCCCTGCGCCTCTCCAAGTAGGTTCGGCTTCATCGACCATCTCGAGCCCCGCACGGCGGTCATCCAGCCCTGCGACATAGACTGAAACTGCAGGTCTTGCACCATCGCCGCGAAATCGTTTTCGTTGTCCGGATTGCTTTTCAGGTGACGCAGGTGCGTCTGGTACGCAAAGTGCAGGTGCTCAGGGGCTACACTGCCACTACCCCCGGAAGTAGAAGCGGCGAGCGGCTGCAGCGCGGCCGGTGGGTGTTTGAACTCGTAATTCAAGAGTCCAGACGCCTGTAGGTCCACTCCCATGTCGTACAGAACGGCAGCGGCTGACGCGTCGTAGGCACTGGCGCAGGTTGTGCGCGTGGCCGTCCACTCGTCTTTGGTCGCCCGGCAGCGCAGCGTCGGGCGCTGCACACCGTCGTCGTACTTTCTCGCACTGGACTGCACTTGCGCGACCCGCAGCCACCCTTGGAATTGCTGGTTTAGCTGCACCATGCGCAGCCTGTTGTTGGGCGTCCGGAGATTCGCATCGTGGTCCCAGGCCAAGTCTGTAACCGGGGCGGTCCCAACTGGCAGCAGAAACACCCGCCAGACCGAACCACCCTGAACGGCGTCCATTTCGAAATCCCACGCGAAGACGTTGGGTGGTTGCCCGACAAGATCGCGCACCGTGATTTTCGTGGGTGTAATCGCGTTGAAGAGCAACACGGGGGTCAAATTAGGTTCGTAGTAGGCCGAGACATAGGACATTCCGTTGTAAATCGGGTACAGGATTTTCGAACCGGTAGCCGTTGCCGTGGAGGTCGCGTGAATCCCCAGCAGGGACTCTTTCACGATTTCGTACTGTCGCTTTTCCTGCGCGGAAAGCAGTTCCACAGCGTCGATGGAGAGCGAGATTTCGTTTAAAGCGACCGGACGCGTGTAGGCGAAGGCGTGGGGCTGGTTTGCGAATTTCGCTTTGTTTCCGGTCTCCGACATCCACTTCTCCCCGTCCGCCGAGAAAGTTTCCTTTCCCGCCGACGGGAATCCGTTCATCTTTTTCTCCCCCATGTTGAGCCGTATCAAAAGGAAAACCAAATCCCACCTCCCCATATTATCCAAACAAAGCTCATTCTGACGCTGGATCATTTCCGCACACAAATCAGCTCTGTCTCGCAGTAGAGGACTGCAGGCACATGCCAAGCCTGAGTGGTCGAGAGGTTCTTTTGATGTAGGCCCCTAGCATGAAGACAAACGTCGACACTGTAAGGAGCCGCCCCACAGCACCTTCACAAACCGCCTGCACACTGTGGCGAACTGTCTGGATTCGCCTTCTTGCAAGACAGACAGAATTCGTGGTCACAAGTCTGCATCACAAATTTTCAGACGATGAATGCGTTTGCAATATGCGGAGGGGCTCGTATTTTTCCTCACAATACGCTGGTGTTGCTCGCTACTGGTGATCTTGTGTGGCTTATCCAAGAAAAAAACTGTGTTAGTGTAACTTTCTTTAGTTGACAGCATCACAAATTTGCTCTACATAACAGAGAAAACCTGTCATGCGCGGCTTGTAAGGGAAAACATAGATGAAAAGAGGACTTCATGGCTGTCTGGCATGACAGGTGTAACTCTGTTGCACGTTCTGCATTACAGAGTTACACTTACACAGTTTTTTTCTTGCATATGGCTCACAGAGGACGGCCAGCGAGCCGTCCACCCAAAACAGGGCGAAAGTCCCGACGTAGATCGGGACCGAGCGGAAGAATCCATACTCCTCCATCATGCGACTCAGGTCCTCGTCCTTATCGCCGTACGGGCCGTACCGCATACCTTTGAACGCCCAGTTGGCCCAAAACCGATTCGTCTGGTAGACGCCCCCCACTTTGTGCTGCGCAAACCCTTCGTACACGCGCATCGGGTGCGTGTGGCGCAGCGGTTGGAACACGCCGTCGACGGGGTTCGCACTGCTGATCGGATTTATCCCAAGGAAAAAAATAAACGTCGCCAGCACCCCAGAGTTATTTTCATCCAAATCTGCATGCCTAAAATGTTTCTCATGCGCAGGAGCCCCATATGTAAGGAGCATTTTCTCATGCTGTCTGGGAGGACAGGACTTTGTCATGCGCAAATCAGGATTAGGAGCTAGATTTGTGGTGTGGCTTCACTAGCCAAACACCACGACTACATTACTGACCCAAATTTGTAATGCGCAACAGCCAAAACTTCTGGATCTGTGATGCAAAATTCCCATCTTGACTCTGGCCGGGTGGGGACGTTTATTTTCCTCGGGATAGGACTGAGCAGGGAGCCGGCCGGGAGGAGCGGAACGAAAGGGCTCCTGGTACCTATGCTCTGCAAAAGTATCGCACTCGTAGTAATTGCAATCATGCATTTTTTTCTTAAATTACAAATGTCATCTTTCATGCTGAGGACATTTGTAATGCGTTTATACGAGTACGATACTTTTGCAGTTCATAGTACCCGGATCCGCCGGAGACGAATCGGTCGACACCAACTCAGCTGGAGCGTTCTCTTCCACGTTACTTTTCGGCACGACCGCCACACACGGGTTGCCCTCAGAGTCGATTCCAGGGACTTCAACCATCTCCTCCTCCTCCTCCACTGGACCGCCTTCGCAACCAGCGCAACTCCAGGTGGAGCCTGCGTGTACTTCATCTTCTTCTGGTAGAGGCACAGGCACGAGGCTCGTCGAACTGACGCCCAGCGGGAGACCTGCTTTTGGCACGCAAACGGGAGTTGTAGTACTGGTCTCCGTACTAGCGGTCTCCTGCTGTTCCGCTCCTCCGTCTTGCACGGCATCAACATCCGGCTGCTCCGTAACAACATCAACACCTCCCGGCTGCTCCGTAGTCGTCACTGTAACTTCAGGTGCCGGCCAGGACGTCTGATCCACGACCTCAGTGCTGCAGCAAGACAGGTGATCGCCGGTACCATTTGGGCAGCAGGCACCGGCTAGCGCCAGCTTTGCGCACTCCGGATGGTTCGCACACAAAGCTGGGTCATTCGCATCGTGGCTCCTTCTACTGCTCAAAGTAGATGACGCAGCAGCTTCCACGAAAGTCGATTGGGAAGAAGTCGTTGTCGCGATTTCGTTCTCCTTGTTGATCTTGATGTGCAGCGCCGCTGGTGGACCATTTGTTTCGACGTTAGTACGGAGCAGACTAGCCGTTAGGCTTTTCTTGTTACTTTTCGACGTCCTCGCAACACCCTTGGCGGAGAAGCGCCTCTTCTTCTGACGATGTTTTTTCCCACCTCCCGTCGTTGTACCCAGAAGCTTCAAGCCCTCCACAAGGAAAAGGGCTGTGCCTGCGTCGCGGCTCCTGCTCCTGGTTCCGGTGGCCGGCGGGGAGAAGAAGGGCCCTGGAAGTAGAAAGAGCGCTCCGAGTAGTTTTCTGGATAGGATAAGCTGGGCCGGCGTCATTTTGAGAAGACGGAGGAACTAGCCTTGATAGCGCTTATGTGATGCTGCGTTCAGTGCTCGTGGATGTGAAAAGCAAACCGTGCTCCAACATCGATGAAGTAAAAGTTGAAGTTCTTGATGGTACAGCAGGGGTGGGACGACCGCGGCACTTGATGCTATGAGTTGTAGATACTTATCAGCCGTTTATTCATCTAAACGCTAAGAAAGTAGAAAAAACGAAGTTGCTTCTAGTAGTTGCTGTGAATGGTGATATTAGTGAGTGGCGACTTATTTCATCTTCATCATTTTTACTCTGCTAGCGGCATAACATCGTTCATCACGTATCAATTTTTGCTACTCGAAGGGCAGCTCAATACTACCGTACACGATGAGGGACAATGTTGAACGAAATACTAGCAAGAAAAAACTCCTCCAGGACGAGACGGAGATGACGAGTGTAAGAGAGACGGAGCAAGCCGTGGGGGGCTGGTTTGAATTTCTCGATACACAACATCGGCTACAGAAATTTGAACGATTGGAGGACGGTGGACGAGGAAGATATCATCGAAAAGCATATGAGCAACGTAGTACTTACTTAAGGAGCAACACGACCGACGAGAGCGAGACACGTAGTACAGAAACGACAATACGGACAATAGGCAGGGACGAGAAAGCAACGACGAATGCGGAATGAGAACGACTACATATGATTCTGTGAAGATCTTATCAACGACGTCCGGAGCCGCGGCCTCCGAAGTTTCTACATATACGGAGTTCCATTTCAATTGTTTCTATTATACACGATTTTGGGGAAAAATGCGCTTTATCACCCCACCACAGGAAAGACAGCGTAAGACTTTTGAGTGACGTTTCCTACCTGCGGAGCAAAAACGTCCGGTGACTTTATTGCGTTTTGGTTTTCCTCCTGCTATGTATACTTTTCATCTTCGTAGTAACTCATGGCACTGCAAACGGAAAGAAGTCTTTTCCGTCCAGATACGGCTTCAGCACTTCCGGCACTACAACGTATCAAAAGGAAAAATCCCCCCTCACCATATCAAAACGAAATTTCTGATGCTGGATTTGAGTACACAAATCAGCTTTGTACTGCAGGAAAGCATTGCACGCAGACAGCAAGCCTAAGGGAAGGCCTTTTGGTGTAGGGGCCTAGCATGGCAGACGTCTACCCTGTAGGCCTTGCAGCATTACAAACCGCCTCCATATCGCGGCGGACTCTCTGGATTTGCCTTCTGGCAAGACAGACAGGATTTGTGGTCACAAATCTGCATTACAAATTTTCGGAAGGACATGTTTTCAATATGGGGAGGGGGGATTTTTCCTTACGATACAACGCCGTCTTTCGTTTGGTAATTTTCCAACAAACAGCACAACGTCCGCTGTGTGGCGCACAGCGTCGCATTTACAAAATGCACAAATTGCTTCTCCTTCTTCGGCTTTTTGTTGTTCGCAGGTGCTGGATTTGACGAATTTATCTTTTTATTCCCCGGCTTTATAATCTTCTCAGCGCTGCCGTGGACGTGATCAACACCATCATTTGAACTACCTTGATGAATATTGTCCTTTTGAAGACCGTGCTTCTCTTTGTTCTCTTTCGCCTCTACTTCTCTTCTTTCCGTTGCTGAAGAACCACCAGAACAATCCTCCTGCGGCCCGACAAGACTAGCTTCCTGCTCGTGATTTTGGAAGATCACTGTTGTGGTGACATTCAGCGCTCGGCTCTGGTAGTCGGTACAGTTAGAGCACGAAACGAGTTCGCGGTAAAGATGATGCTTTTTATCGTACTGGTCCGCACTACCGGTTGCTACATTTCTATGGAGAGAAAAAAGTTTGTCACTGTCACTAACTTGCGGGCTTTGCATTACAAATTTTTTTAGCATCACAACTTTCCCCTGTATTGCAGAAACACTAGGGAAATCCCTCAGGAAGTTTGGATGTGATGCATTTTTACGCATGACAGAAAGTTTTGTATTGCAAAAATGCGCATGAGTGATCGTAACGAACTTTTTTTGTTTGATAACTTTCAGCACGACCCATAACCGCGGCAGACCCCGGAAAGGCGGCCTCGAGGTCAAATTTGTGGCTGGCCGCGTTGTTCATAGCACCAGAAACGATTTCCACTATGCGGTAATCCAATCCGAGCGAGCGGTAGAACTCCTCACTCGTCTGCAGAAATTCTTGCAAGAGCTGTTCTGAGGGCGAAGAGGGAGGTGGCAGCTGTTTCTGATTCATGTTCCTCTGCTGCGCTTGCTCGCCTTTAGTTTTACTACTGATGCTCGTCGTTGGTGCACAGCTAGTAGTTGACCACGTCGCTTGGCAAATCCCGAACTGTTCGACTTTGTCGAACTGATTCAACCGAAACAGGCCCTTGACGTCGTAGCCGTGACTAGCCTGCTCCCGGCGGAAACAAGTGGACACCCCCGCGAGCCGAATCGGCAGGTCTGCAGAGTCGATGTGCTCATTGGCGTAGAAAGCCGACAACGGCTGTTCACTCGTGGCAATCAGGTAAGATGATTGGTGGTCCTGATGTGAAGATGTTGTTGTAGCAGGAGCTGTTGCTGCACCAGCAGGTGGTCCTCCTCTGGCGGAGGGGGTGAAAGAACGACCGCCCAAAGGGTCGCTCCTACCGGCGTTATCCGCTCCTGGGTTATTTTCTGGTGCTCCTGCTTGTTCGTCGTGTACCGCGTCGTTCTTCTTTATCTTTGGAACATTCGCCGTACTGCTGCTGCTTGCGGTAGCAGGAAAAAACTGTTTCACTGTGATGATTTTGCTAGATCTGCATCACAAGTTTGTTACACATGACGCCGAAAGTCTGTCATGCGCGCTTCCCAAGGGAAAACATCCTTAAAAATGCAATGTGTTGCAGGTGTAGCAAGACAAATAGTTCTGTGTTCCATTTTCTGCATCACAAGTTCACAGCGAAACAGTTTTTTCTTGCGATACTTGCGGTAGCAGTACTAGTGTTTGTCGTTCCTGTGGTCATTTTGTAAAGCTGGTCGTCAAAATCCTCCAGTTCTGCCGTCTGTGCCATCAAATCGCCGCGCATGTAGAGCGGCGGCGCTAGCAATTGGTAATCCCGGCCAAACTTTTGCTTGTCGGTGAGAAACTGAATGGCGTACTGCTGCAGTGCGAAGTTGAACTTCACCCCCAGTCCGGTCAAGAAGTAGGCCCGGCTGCCGGCAACCTTCGCCCCCCGCACGTGGTCCACCATTTTAAACTTGCGCAGAAGCTCGTAGTGGGGCAGAAGAGCATCAGGTTTGAAAATATGATCTGTGGCCTTAGTAATAGAAGACACCTCCTCGACAAGAGGTTCTACTATCTTCTCGCGGTCATTATCTTGTTCTGCAATGAGGCCCCTGGTCGTGCAAGAACTTGTCACGACTTCACGAATCCTGGTTCGCCGGACCTCGCTGCAGTCAGTCCGGTACAACTCGACAGAGTCCTCTACTACGACGGCTTGTTCTGGTTTACTATTTATTTCTGTCGAAACCGCCGCTTTCCTCCTTCCGATCGGCACGTCTTCGTGTAGGATGTTTCCGATTTTGTGTAGGTAGAAGTCCCTGTTTTCCTTCGCGTCCTGTTCTGCTTTTGTTGTCGCTTCAATTTCCTCCACCACCTTCTTCCGCTCCTGGATTCTTACGTCGACGTCAAGGCCTACTAGTACTTCATCCACATGATGGTCTTGTTGAGAGCAATCAAGAACGGCTGATGAGGAAGATGTAAAAATTCTTGCACCATCGAGAGGTGGACCACTTGTTGAACCAGCATCTTCACTTGTAGAAGTTGTTCCTGCTGTTTTTATAGTACCACCAAGAACATCCTTCCCGTTCACAACTATGCTCTTCTTGTTCATCTTTTTCAACTTCGCAATTTCCTTTTGCAGCTCGTTCGCCCGGTGCTTCAGATCGTCCTTTTTCCGTGCCAACGGCCGCCACTGCGCGTCATGATATAACGTTTGGGAAACGAAATCTTGCTCGACAAGTTCTCCCGTAGTTTTCTTGTTTATCCAAGAAAAAAACTGTGATAGCGTAACTTTCGTTGGCTGACAGCATCACAAAGTTGCTCTGCATGACAGAGAAAACCTGTCATGCGTGGCTTGTAAGGGAAAACACAAGTGAAAAGAGGACTTCATGGCTGTCTGGCATGACAAGTGTAAGTCTGTTGGATGTTCTGCATTACAGAGTTGCTCTTACACACTTTTTTTCTTGCATATTGTTGTTGTGCCGGTTATAATTTCTCCCGTTTTCCGAGGCACGCACCTGTTCGGGGTGGTCCCGGAGAAACTGGATGGAGATAGGCATACTTGATTGTTCTGGGGAGATGAAGAAGCAAGTTGGCTTATCTCTGTTGTAGTCTACAGCGGAATGCTAGTAACTTGTGTGGCAATAAACGGGATGTTGTCGATGTTTTACTTTTCCTCACACCGAAAGCGAGAGGACGACTACAGTGCTACATATTTTCACCATTCGCTCAACCACGGAACGAGTAGAAACTGAGAAAACACATTTCACTTTCACCACACGGATCAGATCTAGAAAGAATAAAAAAGACTCAGAAACGCAGGCGATCGTGGAACTTCTTTATCTGTGATCACGATTGAGGCCTTCATCTTCACTTTGAAATCAAGTAGCCACAAACCTAAAATTTTTGTTAGTTTGTCCTGAAGAGCGGCAGTTTGATCTTCAAGTAGATCTGGATCCACTTACTCGCTCAAATCGATGCGAAACGAATACAACAGAGCCGAACATGATAGTCAGTTTCATGAACTCGTCACTTGACCTCGGAAACTATCACGCGCTGCAGCTGCGAGCAGCACGATTGTCTTTTTGTGCTTCAAATCCAACCATCGTGTTGTCGTGGCTGCCTAGTACGTGGGAGAGTTTCTACAGCTTCAGCCTACGAGTAAAATTATTGAAACCGATTTCTTATAGAGTCAGTCGATCGCTAGGGGGCGTCGACGCGCGCAGGTTATGCGCCTCTGTCCACAGTGAGTTCACTGTCACAAGTCAATCGTGAAAGGCAAGTGGGTGCTTCAAACTTGTTGTGAAAGGCAAGTGGGTGCTTCAAACTTGTTATGAAAGGCAAGTGGGTGCTGTATGTGAAAGGCAAGTGGGTGCTTCAAACTTGTTGTGAAAGGCAATGCAAAAAGTCGACCGAAACAGCTATAAAATTAAATAATGTAATGGAAATAATGAAAAAGTGATTTACTTACACCTCAAAGACAACGTCGGATCGGAATTCGGAATGATTTTGATCTGCTTCTTTTCTTGGGATAAAAGACGTGAAAAACATATAAAAATCGTATTTTCACGAAAACAAGTAAAGACAATTCTTAATCGACCGCTAGCGCACACGATGCCGGTCGGTTTCGGGACTGATTTATTTCAAGACTAGCTGCGAGATGAGAAAGAGAAAGCTACAACTACATGATTGCACGATATAATTCTCGTCACTCGAAGCAAACACTTCGATCACGACTTTGATGTTGATGTCTTCTACTGCTACTTCTTCACACTTCATTGCAAGCTCTCCAGCGTGACGCTCGCGGCAGTGACATCATACGCAGTGATATCCCATGAAAAAAACTGTTTCACTGTGATGATTTTGCAAGATCTGCATCACAAGTTTGCTACACATGACACTGAAAATTTGTCATGCGGGCTTCCAAAGGGAACACACGCTTACAAATCCAGTGTCTTGCGGGTGCAGCAAGACAAATAGTTTTGTGTTCCATTTTCTGCATCACAAGTTCACAGTGAAACAGTTTTTTCTTGCGATAAGTGAACGAGCGGATGTCAAAGTGCGGCATGATTCCCCCGTTCCGCTGCTTCCACTCTTTGTTCGACTCTGGATTGTTCAACACGTAGTCATTACACGCTCCACGGTTGGCCAGCCGCACGGCCTTCGCGTCTTGATGTTTGTCAATCACGAACTCCCCATCGTCCTTGTCATCGGGGTGCAGCGGTTTCCCACCCGGGCCCCCGACAAAATTGTCGCCCGCAAACTCCCCGCACAAGGTCGTGTTGATGATGTAGTACTGCACGTCGACGTCGCACTTGTTGATCGGGAAGATGATGTAGGGTTTCTCGTTTTGCAACACGAACTCTACCAGTTCCGCAGTGATCTGCCCGTTGAACCTGCTGTCGATTTCCTCCCGGTATGAGAGTGCACAACTCCCCCTCCCTCTCATTTGTCATGCAAAAGCCCTACCTTACGCCTTGCCTCTTGGCACTGTTTGCATGACAAGTTCTGGCAGTCCAAATAGCACTGCACTCCTGTCCAAATTTGTCATGGAAAACCTGTATGCAGCTTGCTGACGCTTATATTGCTGTTCATGCAATACAAATGAAGGGGAGGGGGTGGAGTTGTGCACTCTCATACCCGACTCCAAAACCACATCGCCGCAATGTCGTCGTCGAAGTACATGGCGTAGACGCCCCCGTTATCAAGTGTAAAAGTGTCTGGGTCTGAAAGAATGCAACTTGTCATGCTGATTTTGGATTCTAGGTAAAAAAATCTGTATTGCATGAGCAGCAAAGAGAGTCCAAGTTTTGCTACACGGAAAGACCATTTGTCATGCAGTATAGGCATCAGGAAGCCCTCACCAAATCTGTGATGCTAGGGCATGCATCACAGACATCAGGAGTCATGCAAAATGTGCATGACAAACCTGGCAATCTTCGAGACCCAGACATTTTTACAGTTGATACCCGTTTTGCTTGTTGAACTCCTCCCCCATCGGAATGCCGGCGGTCCCCGTGGCGCACCCCGCGTTCGGGCAATTTTTCTCCTCGACCGTTCCCCACCGCCCGCCGTAGTTGCAGTCATTGGTGTTGCGCGAAAAAGATTTTCCGCCGGGGCGGGTCCAAGGTGTGTACTTGTCCGGCAGCGGGTTCTGCTTCCCCGCCCACGGAAGCTTGCACTCCGGGGACGTCGTGCAAGGCCTTGTACGCACGCCCTCCGCGTTTAGCTTGCCGTCGTTGCGGTCCTTGCACGGACTGGCGTGCAGGGTGGACAGGCCCTCCTGTTCCAATATTGCAAGGAAAAATCCCCCCTCCCCATATCAAAACGAAATTTCTGACGCTGGATTTGTGTACACAAATAATCAGCTTTGTATTGCAGGAAGGCATTCCGCCCAGAGCCCCAGGGTAGGTAGGGGCGTATGGGTCTAGTTGCTCAGCATGGCAAACGGCTCCCCTTTAAGCCCACCAGCATGACAAATCGCTTCCCTAATAAGGCGGAAGCTTCTGCCCTTGTCGTCTTGCAAGACGCATTTGATTTGTGACCTCAAATCAGCAACACAAATTTTCGGAAACATAGGTTTTCAATATGGGGAGCAGGGGGGATTTTCCATTTTGATATCCAAATTGACGTGTTCCATGATGTCGATCTCCATCCCGGCGGGCCAGGTGGTGTATTACGGTGAAAAATGCCCCCACCCCGAAAATTGAAATAATTTCTGATGCGAAGTTTCCAAATGAAAACTGTTTGTCTTGCCTGAAAGGACTAACTATGAATCTTTCTGGTGCAGGGTCTAGTCGTATAGTACAGCATCGCTTGCATGACATGCGCCCCCCTTGCTGGGATCTTTTGCAATACAGATTTTTGCTCTTCACGACTGAAAATCTGTGATGCTGATACATGCAACACGGCGAGTGTTTCCCTTGAAAAGGTTTGCAATACAAATGCTCCCAAGTTCTGGGGCGGGGGGGGGCATTTTTCATTGTAATATGGTGCCCGGATGGTTCTCGCCGTGGTTCGTCCACAGGGCCGGCCAGGTGCCCAGCCCCGCCGGCATGGCCAGCACGTCGACAAACGCAATCGACTTTTTCGGCAGCGGTTTCACCGTGGTGAGACGGACAGATTGGCGGACTGACTTTCCCTGCCACTCGTCGTCAACCAGGGTGCGGAGGATTTTTTTGTTCGCGGAAGTGGCAACTGGGTCGTCGATCACCTGAACCAACTTTTTCTTCATGTCTTCAGTCAGCTTGTAGTTGACCGGCCCGTTTGTCGGATCGCCTTCTTTATTGTAGTGCTCAAAGCACTCGGGGGACACGAAATTCTCCGGCCCACAATCGAAAAGCGTCGTAAAAACTTGACTTCCGGACGTGGTGAGCTGGGTATTAGTAGTAGTACCCGGACCAGTACTTCCGTTTGACGAAGGAGCAAGTGTCGAATCTTCAGTCGGTGGAGCATCGGTTGCAACCCATGGAGTTGTACCAGGGCAGGCTTCTTTTTGTTCCTTCTGCAAGAAATTTGCGGTAGATGGTCCAGCTCGCAGCGGCGTCGTCGTGTCACTTTCATCTACCGCACTCGTTGTGCTGGAAGTAGGGGGCTTGTTCATCTTCATTCCCATTTTGTGTAGAAAAGACGAGCCCCCCTTTTGAAGTGCTGCGCCGTTCTTGGGGGTCATAGTTTTCTTGCGCTGGGTCTGTTGATAAAAATTCGTCGTGCTGCTCTTCTTCGTATCTACCAACTTCCGATCATTTTTCCCGGCCGCAGCATGGGTCATCTTCGTCCCCACGGAGACCGAAGGATTTGTTCCGAGCAGTACAGCTGCCGCTGCCCATGATGTCGTGGAGGTGCTGCGACAGAGAGAAATAGATTGCGTCATCCTGATGTGCACTAGAAGCGTGGTCAGGGTCACCAGCACAAAAGCTTAATATTTCCTGAAACGAAGTTCAAGTTTCCGACGGTAGAAGGGGTAGTCGTGAAAGAATGTCTTGTTGGGAGAACGAGCTTTTTAGAATAAAAATAGTCGTATTCGTTTAAACCTTTGTAAGAAGCCAAAGACGAAAGACCTGAGTTGCGGTTTGAATCAAATACTCGTGCGTTTCGGGGAGATTTGTGTGAAAGAGGTTCTTGCAAGAACGCGTACGCACCTACGAACGACGAACAAATCACTGTGGACGACAAAGCACACGAATCTTCTGGCGCACGCACCAACCAACGACGAACAAACCCCTGGAAGCGGCTGGGTCGGAAGGTCGGCCGCCACTTGGCATGGCAGTGGGGCGCCCCACAAGGCGGCGCGCCGCCGGTTTCTGGGTCTGCGCGGCAGGGGCGCGGGGGCGGGTTGTGGGCGCCATGCATCAGGGGAACGTGGCGGGCGCCCCCCCGCCGCGGTGGGAATATTGCCCTGCGCCGGCTGCCTCGATCTTTCGGCCAAGGCTTCGAACACGCCCCCCAGGGAGGCCCACTCCCCAGGCCCAGGAGCGCGGCGGCTACAATTATGGCCGCGAAGCTGATCCCAGCTTTTGGCCCCGGCATCACGCTGCAGGGGCGCACAGAGCCGCAGACCACCTCGGGAGCCCCGGAAGGCGTGCTCGCCTGCAGCCAGTGTTGTGGCGCTGCTGTCAGGTTGGGGGAACTGCAGCCAGGCAGGCTCCTGGCGCAAGGGCGCCACACTCGTCAGGCCACGTTCGTCCGCGTCTTTTGCAATTATTTTGGTGCGCGGAAGCCGCGCCCCCCAGGTTGTGGGATTCCTTCGCAGACTCCCCGCACCCGCTCCGCGGCACCACTGCGAAGGCCCAGGCATGTTGGTTCGCCAGGGCCTTGTCGCTGCCGATCCATTTCTTGCGGCGCGGCAAAGAAATGGCGCCTCCTTCTGTGGTGCATGGCCTCGGCATTCCCAGACCGCATCACGCGCGGGCAGTGTCACGCTAGGTCTGTTACTAGCCACATCGCAGCGTCGGCCTTTCTTTAGGAATTGCCGTGACGTGCGCTAGCTTGGTTCTTTGCCTGTCCCCTGGCCTCATGGCCACAGGTCAGCAGTCAGGCACACTGCTGCGAGAGGGCAAAGCATCCTTTCTACTTTCAAGTAGCGGCGGAGCAAAAAATATCTTGAACGAAATTTTTTTAGAAGCTTTTGCAGCCGCTATAGCACGCACCAACCAACGACGAACAAATCACTGTGGACGACAAAGCAGACGAATCTTCAGGCGAAAGTAGTGGACGATACGTTTACAGACTGGCGTAGGTTGGATTTTTTGACAGACTGAACGAATGTTGTAGTACATTGGACGGATATTTACGAACGACAAGCTTATTTGCTCTACTTCATGCCAGGAGACTATGCTTGGTCAACATGTAGCATTACGAACAAAAACTTTTGGTACCAAAAATCAAACAGTGCATCAAAATATTGCCCTGTTCTGCCGCAAGAAGGAGCGTCATTTTGAACTTCCTTTTCCTCCTTTTCGACGTAGTCGCAATAAAAATAGAGAGTGACCCGGCCGGTGGGGTTGGTCATAGCATGCGGGAAAAAGTGAAAATTTGCGACTTTTGTTCTAAGACGACCTGACTCAACTTGAAAAGTTGACTTTTTTTTTGAAAAGCAAAAGAGCAGAAAAAAAAGAAACAACCTGAGAAAATCGCTGGAAGTTGTGCAGGATCTACCGCGCGCGCGCGCGCGTTTTACCGGATTCGGCTTGGCTTTTTTTGCAAGTTTTCCCGGATTTGCCAAATTCATCAGCTTCACCAGCTTCACCAGCTTCGCCAACTTTCTCGGATTTGCGAAATTTGGCAAATTCATCAGCTTCACCAGCTTCGCCAGCTTTCTCGGATTTCTGAAATTTGGCAAATTCATCAGCTTCACCAGCTTCACCAGCTTCGCCGACTTCGGAAATGACCGGGGCCCGTGTGTTTTGTTTGACGCGCGCGCGCGCGTTTTACAGGATTCTACCTCTGCCGCCTGTAGGTGGCGTGTTTCTGTTTCGTGTTGTGTCTGCTAGACAAGAAATACAAGGCGCGAACGAAGAAACAACGGGCAAGCAGACAGGGCCGAGACAAACGACAGACCGAGGGCGATCCTACGGAGCGAACGGCAGACCGAGGCTGATCCTTTGTAGCGAACTGCAGACCGAGGCTGGTCTTCTGTAGCGAGCGGCAGACCGAGGCGGACCCTCTGAAGCGAGCGACAGACTGCGACGGGTTCCGTGTATGTTTATATGCTTGCTGGTCAGACAAGGGGGCGCCACCGGCCGACCCAGCGACCCGGCACAGAACACAAAACAAAAAACGAAGGCGCTGAGGCACTCGGGCCCGCTTTCCACGCGCTTGGGGGCGCCGGTGCGCAACGAGGCGCCCCAGCCTCTTACTCTTGGGCGTGCTCTACAAACAAAGGATCTACCTGCGTAGCGCGGTTCGCTCATCGCCGCGGTTGTCAGGTCTCATTATCCTCGTGTGTCAAAGTTCGGAGGCCTTCAGGCATAGCACACAGGACCACCTGCATGGCGTAGATACGTCCACGCCACAAGTGTCCACCTGTGTAAGTATTCAGAAAAGAAGTGCAGGCGTGGAAGCAGGAAAGCCCGCTTGCCACTGTTGCACATAGCTCACTCAGAGGCCTTCATAGCAGAGAGGCGCACTCACATAGAGCCACCCGGCCGGCGCGAGTCGCTCATCGCCGCGGGTAGTGGTTCCGTGTTTGCAAGTACTCAGAAAGGCCGCGGCGGAGCAGGCTTCCCCTTTGATATCAGCGCCCGTCGGTTCCGACCCCGATGGGCCATCCCCCTCCTCAGAGGGTTCATCCTGCTCGGCCATCTCCCGGGATTTTTGGCAAACTCCGTCGGGCCCTCTATGTCAGCGCCCGTCGATTTTATTTGTCTCCTCCTTTATATCACCGCCCGTCGTTTCCGACCCAGATGGGCCATCCCCCTCCTCAAAGGGTTCATCCTGATCGGCCATCTTCCGCGATTTTTGACAAAGTCCGTCGGATCCTTCACGAGCTCCGTCCTGCTTCCGAGATTTTTCCCAGAGGGTTCATCCTGATCGGCCATCTTCCGGGATTTTGGACAAAGTCCGGCGGATCCTTCACGAGCACCATCCTGCTTCCGAGATTTTTGACAAAGTCCGGCGGTCCCGCGTCCAGCTTTTTCCAACTTTAAAAGGGGGAATGGAGGCGGTCCGGCGGCCAATTTTCTCCAAGTCCAGAAGGGGGGATGGAGGTGGTCGGATTCTTTCCAACTTTAAAAGGGGGAATGGAGACGGTCCGGCGGCCAGGTTTGTCCAAATATAAAAGGGGGAATGGGGGCGGTCCCGCGTACAACTTTCCCCAAATTTAAAAGGGGGAATGGAGACGGTCCCGCGTCCAGCTTTTTCCAACTTTAAAAGGGGGAATGGAGACGGCCCGGCGGCCAATTTTCTCCAAGTCCAGAAGGGGGGACGGAGGTGGTCGGATTTTTTCCAACTTTAAAAGGGGGAATGGAGACGGTCCGGCGGCCAGGTTTGTCCAAATATAAAAGGGGGAATGGGGGCGGTCCCGCGTCCAGCTTTCTCCAAGTTTAAAAGGGGGAATGGAGGCGGTCCCGCGTCCAACTTTTTCCAACTTTAAAAGGGGGAATGGAGACGGTCCGGCTGCCAATTTTCTCCAACTCTAAAAGGGGGAATGGAGACGGTCCGACGGCCAATTTTCTCCAACCCTAAAAGGGGGACGGGCCATCTTCCGGGATTTTTGACAAAGTCCGTCGGATCCCACACGGGGCCCATCCTGTTTTCGGGATTTTTGGCACCCCCCTCCTCA